AAAAATATTTTATTCAAAAATTATTGGAGAATCGAATACAGAAGAAACTGAGATAATTTAAAGTTTTAAGTTAAATGACACACCCTGTATAAAACATCATTATAACATAGATTAACCTTCAAAAATTTTGACTTCAGGCGCGAAACGTTTTAAAAGAAGACAACAAAAACACTTTCTTCGCTAATGGTATAATAATTATAATTAACCAGTGGAGCTCGCAATATGTGTGAAAGCATTTCACAGATTCAACGTCGAATTCTTATGTAACCTAAATGAAGTAAACAAGAAGACAATGCTTTCTTTATTGTGTTTTTCAGTGTGTAAATAAAATATAATAAAATTATTGTAAGGTTCAGATGGACAAAAAAAATCTTCATTTTTGTTTATTAAAAGGTTCAAACTTATTTTTGTGTCTACACAAAATCACAAATTTACTATTTAATGGTCAGATCGATATACTAAACCACCAGTAAAATAAAAACATTATACAAACTTGTATTTATCGCCTCAAACAAAAAAACAAATTGCCAAATTTTAATTTCGAAAATAATGATTATTATAAATAAGGCACATTTTCTAACCATTAAATCTATGTTGTTTGTAAGAAATATGATATATTAATAATTAACAAATGGAATATTGTAACGCAGTGATTGTGTAAGTGCATAATATTATTTTTCTATGGTGTTGAATGCTAACAAAAAAAAAAGATGTTGACACGGGCATTATAGATTCTAAACTATTAAACGGTTTTGAAGATCTGGCTAATACTTTTAAAGGTAAATTTATGAGTTATTAAAAAAATAATAATTGTTATTTCGTATTAGTATTGGCTAAATTTTGGCGCCGTTTGTTTCAAGATGTTTCCACGTGTTTACTAACCCATTAATAATAAATAAAGTATATTTACTATAAATTCACTTGTTAATTATTAATCACATGAATTTAAAGGAAATCAGGTTATATTTATTATTAACAAATTTTTCAGTATTTTCATAAATAAAACAACTTTCATCTACCTACTAGAATTCTAAACCGGACTCAACTAATTTTTTATAAATAACATTTTGTAACCAATATACCTTTTAACAATGGATTTATCCAATGACTAACCTAAGCCAATTAATATTATTAGCATAAAAATATGAACCTATGTAAAATATGCAATAGACACAAACAATTACTTAATAATTGGTCTCTGGTGAAAGTATTACATAATTAATAAATTCAATATTAAATGTCTACTAGAAATTGTTTGTGTTTATGATTTATTAATAAAAAAAGTTTTTTTAAAAGATGCGATTTTTTAAATTTATTATGTTTGAATATTTACATTGTACATTCTATAATTAATTAAAAATCCTTTATATCTAGATTAAATGTTGATTTAATTTAATCAAAATCGGATTGCCCAATTGTAATACAATAGAAAGTATTTACGAAAATAAAAATTGTTTTAATTAATAAATAAATGCGTCTTTAATCCAAATTAAAATTAATATTAAGTTAATTAATTTAATAATTTAAACAATAAAAATAATTAACACTTTTATTGTGTTTTAATCTTTCATGATTTAGTAGATATTACAGCTCAGCTTCCAGATTTTAACCGCAATCAATTATTTTTTTAAATGTTTTAAAAGTCTAAAACCTATCTTCCGTGACTGTTACTCTTTCTACGTTAACCTATATGTTTTCAAATATCTGAGGTAGTAAAATCATACTAAATATATCAGTTCACTAAGTAAATTATACACATCCAAAGCAATCGAATAAAATATAAAATAATAATAAAAATTAAAAGAAATAATTTTTATAACCATTTATGTAAATTGATTCTATCTATCCTCCGTGTTATAATTCAAAAGCTTAAGTTCATTAATTTGCTATTTAAAAACCTATACACAGTTAAGTGTTGTATTGTATTTTTAATAAATATTTTATGTATGTACAATTGTGTTTTTAAAAAATATTAAGGTTTCAAAAGATACAATTTATTTTAAATAAAAAAAACATACGAAATCCTAACCTCCGTGAAGCTACAATATTGAAAATGTATGATTTCTTATTACTACTGGTGCACCATGGCTACCCAAAAAAACCCATTCTAGACACGGTGGTCAAAACTAAAGTATAGGATGAACAAAAATGCCAACTAAAACTGACAGCATAATCTGATTATAGACTCTTTTGGTAACACAAAATTTATTATTATTTATCAAAATCCCAGCTGATCCTTTATTAAATTTTTGCATATTTCTTAGTATTTTAAAATTGTTTATGCCATTTCGATAAAATACTCTAGTACCATTATCAAATGTTTTTAAAAATTTGGCAGATACATGACTGAAATATGGATAAATTACATTATAAATACAAAATAATGTAAAATACAGTTTGCAATATCTTATCTATTGTTTTAAGGTACCTAATACAAAACTAATAAATAACTAAAGATTCTTTGAAGCAAAATCGATTACTGCTTGCCTTAAATTTTTAGTAAAACTTTTTCTTGGGTTTTACATGGAATTGTTTTTAACATGGAAACAGTATTTTTAAATTCTTCAGTCTCTGTACAAACATGCTTCTTACATCTAGCGATATCCCCTAGAAAGGAAGAGCATATCAAAACTTTAGTTCATTCGTCCGTCCTCTTCCCTTAATAATTTTGTATGCCATTTTGCAGATAAAGCACATACATTCTTGGCTGCCGTGAAATTCTCTAGCAATTTCTAAATTTTGAAAATTTGGCAATTGTGGCTATGCAAAAATACCGTTTTTACCATATTGAAGTAGGTTATTTTGATCTCTTAAGTTAAAGTGTTCGTTTGAAAAAGTCTGCAGTAATTTTTATATTTTCTCAGAAACCCTAAACTCTGAATACCTTCTTTCGATTTTCTTCATGGCTTAACTTGAATTTCTGTTTAATTTTCATTTTAAAATACTATTTTTAACTTTATAAAGTATACATTAAATAAACAACTAAAGCAACATGTCACTTGCGTTATAACGTATAGCAATTTTTTTCATAACCACCTTAATTATTGTTTTACAAAATTTGCAAGTTGTAATTATTTCATAGACAAACTTCCAGTATTTTTTCTTATAAAAAATATGTAAGATATAAATCTTCGTTTTTTTTGTTATGTTTTGTTTTGAGTGGTAAAAAATAATAGGTGACTCAATAAATTAATACTGGGGAGTAAAGTAATTGAAATGATACAAAGTTTATTATTTTGCTTAATTTTATTAAAATTGTATAGGTAGTTTTAGTACAATAATTGCAAAATAATATATAGAAATAGAAAAACAAAAAAGTTTGCAAAACTTTAAAATAGGATCAACTGGGATTTTGATAAATACATGTTAGTTAGGGTGATTCATTTCCGCAAAAGTTTTTGTTTTCTTCGGTGCTCAAGCAAAATATTAATCTGCATATAGAAAAAAAATTCTTAACAAGTTTGAGCTCTTAATATAAATTTTAAGTACTTACTACTTAAATTTAAAGTTTTACCGTTTAAAATGCATGTAAAAAATATATATTTTTTTTTCAAATTTCTAATGCTTACCCACCTTTGACAATATTGCAAATCGGTTTAATACACCTTATGGGTAATTTCACGCTCTTTAAAATTGCTTTTAAGTTTTTTTTTGTAACTCGCATTGGTTCACCAGTAGGAGTCGTCAAAGGACAGTTTTTGAAAAAAATCTTTTTTTTTTTAATTTTTTCTAACAAACGCAAAAAGTAGGGAGAAAAAAGGGCTGAATCATAAAAAAAAGTTATCCAACCAATATTTAATGAATTTACAGCCATTTTTATAACTGAAAACGTAAGAAATTGATAATTACCAACTCATTATTTAGATTGATTTTTTCTATTTATTATCATTATATTTCCCTACACTAAGAAGTTTTTTAAAATTATTGATTTCTCACTTATAATGAATATGAAAACAACAGATAAATTCATAAAAAAACAATAAGAAAATTGTAACGTGGATTTTGATTTTTCAACATTTCTGTCATATAGCAAAAAAATATGAATGAAGATTATTTAATTTTTTGAAGCGAAATTTGAAATATGTTACATAACCTTCTGTATATTCCGATTAAAGTTTTGTTGTTTTTTTATGAATTTATGTGTTGTTTTCATATTCATTATGAGTGAGAAATCATAATAATTTTAAAAAAGTTCTTAGTGTAAGGAAATATAATGATAATAAATAGAAAAAATCAATCTAAATAACATTATGGGTTGGTATTTATCAATTTCTTACGTTTTCAGTTATAAAAATGGCAGTAAATTCATTAAATATTGGTTGGATAACTTTTTTTTATGAATCAGCCCTTTTTTCTCACTACTTTCGCGATTTGCTCGAAAAAATAAAAAAAAAACGATTTTTTTCAAAAACTGTCCTTTGACGACTCCTACTGGTGAACCAATGCGAGTTACAAAAAAAACTCAAAAGCAATTTTAAAGAGCGTGAAATTCCCCATAAGGTGTATTAAACCGATTTGCAATATTGTCAAAGGTGGGTAAGCATTAGAAATTTGAAAAAAAAAATATTTTTTACATGCATTTTAAACGGTAAAACTTTAAATTTAAATAGTAAGTGCTTAAAATTAATATTAAGAGCTCAAACTTGTTGAGAATGTTTTTTCCTATATGCAGATTAATATTTTGCTTGAGCACCGAAAAAAACCAAAAACTTTGCGGAAATGAATCACCCTAATGTTAGTGTTACCAAAAGGGTCTATAATCAAAATATGCTATCTAGTTACAAATCTTTACTGCCACCTGCGATGCTTCTACAATAACAACGATACCAACGCCTTCTCCGATATGCGACCTCCAACCCAAGCATCGCCGCCTTGGCCTTCGCAACGCGATCAAGTAGCAAGGGTGCGAGAAAGTGACCCCACCTCGGGGCCCACCACAGCACACTCTTCGCCAAATCTATAAAACTACGCTGGCTCAGGCTTCCACACATGAGTTCATAGTTTTTCCGTTGCGAAGAACTTTACTTGAGTGGTTCTGTGGCTCCCAAAAGTCATGAGGGTCCACTGGAGCCTAGTGGTTAGTGATTTTTATTTTATTTTTTTATATAGTGTTAATTTGTTTATTATACTTTATACCAAAGGACTAAGTGTTCGTGTTACGTTAAGCATAATAAGGATAATGCATGCTAGTGGTTTTTGTGTTCTTGTTCCATTTAAAGGGTTTAAAGGAATCGTGTTACATTTATATAATTATTAAAAAAATCTCTATAAGTCCATAATTAACAAAATTCAATATTTTTGTTTATTTAGGTACCTTTTCCTTTATATCCTTTATTTCGGATATAACTAAGTATAAGTATTAGGGTGGTCCATGTAGTGTGAAAAAATAATTCTGATAAATTTTAACTTTTTCATATTATTATTTCTTTAAATTTAAATAAATTGTTATTTTTTTTATCACAGATACTTTAAAAACAATTTAACATTTTTATAACGAAATTTTGATTCTTTTAAAATTTTTTCATATATTATATCACGAGAACTATGAATTTAATCGGTTAAACTAGGCTCAGTAGTTTTTTGTTTGGTTTTTGTTGGAAAATGTTGAATGCAAAATAATTTAATAAAATCACGAGACCGCGTAGCGGTCGAGGGGTTTTATTTTTAATTATTTTGCATGAAACTATTTTCCAAAAAGAAAAATCAAATAAAAAACTTACTGAGCATAGTTTGACAGATTAAATTTATAGGTTGAGTGATATACGTCTAGATTATTTCTCGAATTAAAGGAAACTATTCGACAATTCATAAAATCTGACGTATGTGTCAAAATTTATAAATATTTTTGTAAAGAAAATTTTATTAATTTAAGGTATGTAATAAGTAATAATTGATATTTCGTAAACTAGATAACTTATTTTTCATTGTTTTTTAAAAAATGTTTGATAAAACTTGTAAATAACACCATAAAATCGTAAACAAAAATCCAATATGGAGGCTAAAATTTAATCGCTGTTAAATAGCTCTAGTGATTTAATCGCTTATTTAAACGAAATTTATTCGAAAATTCAAGGCTTTTGATTGGTTCATATTATAATGAGGGAAATAATCTCTTAAAATAAATTAGTCAAAAATGACTAATTGTCACTAATAATTCTTGTCAACAGAAATTTGTATCCCGAACACTTAGCAGTCAATTTCCATGTAAAATTGTCCCCTGAATCCAAAAATGTCGTCAAAAGTTAGAAAACAGTTTTTGAGATATAGTCAATTTTCCAAATCTCGCTTTACTTTCATACATAAGAATAGGCTGCTAAATGTTGGGCATACCATGGTATAAGTAAAAAGCAGCCACTAATAACTATAGTAACTATTTATTTTTGACTAATTCATTTTTAGAGAGTACCCATTAATGATAACAAAAAGAAGAATCAAATACAAAGTTTAAAAAATGGCGGATGCGCCAGGGTTAATTGGGGGTATTTTGACCATTGCAATTTTTTGTTTTATTACTTTATTTGTGCATTTTTAGTAAAACAAAAAAAGGTTTTTACAAGTGGTAGAAATAAGACGAAAAATCTTAATTAACATAATATGTCGAAAACTGCCAGTCAAGCAAGATACAGGGTGTTGAAGTTCAAAATTAATTAATTAATTAATTTGGCCAAATAATTGTTTTTTTATTCTTTAGTAATTTTTACAGAAAAAGTACTCCTAATGCGTTGCCCTAAGGTGCCTGCCTTTTTCTCGAGATATTTAAATTCGAAAAATATTTGAAAATAAAACAATTTTGACACTTTTTCAAATTTAAAAGTCTTAAGAAATAGTCTTGTAAAAAGTACCTACTAAAAAATAAAAGTAATTAGTAAAAATATTAATTAACTAATTTTTATTAGAACTTTTCGTCTTTTTTATTAGATATTTTATATTATCAATATTTAAAAAAAAATCATATTGGTTGTAGGTTATGACTCAGTTAATTATTTAAAAAAAATCCTGATCTGTGTTTATTTTATATATTGTATATTATGTATCAAGTTTGATAAACGAATTTTAATTAGGCACGAGCGAGCTTTTGAGCGAGTGTTTAATTAAATAAGTGTCTACAAAAATCTATAAACGAGTTGCATACTATACTTTTTTAACTAATTATTTAAAAATTATTAAAATTAAATATTTGTATAGAGCGATATCTATAAAAAATAAATTAACTCGCGTAACTATTTATAATTTCGTGAAAAATATATTTACAGAATATTTTTCAATATTTCAACAAAAAATTGTAATTTAAAACCCTTTTGGGTTTTTTTATTAACTACCAAAAATAAGGAGTTTTTGACAGGTTTTCAGACTTTTTTTTACTATTTGAGAACTACTGATTGTTTATCTAATTTTTAAATTTCATTTGAATAAAAAGGATATCCATACATACCATGCATATTTGGTGCACCCTGTATAGTACATACAAAAGTAAAGCCTTTTTTAAAATTTTACAATCTACCTATAGTAAATAAAATTTGTTTCAATTTAAATAAGATAAAATATGGCTTTCAGCCAAAAATATATTTTATTCTAAAATACCTACCTTTTTGAGCTCCATAATGTGTTTATAATTATTATAATAGTAACACAAATGGTTTAATTTTGGCCGTGAAAGTAAAGAAAATGTTTCCACCCATACACTCGTAAATATATGTAGGTAATCGTTATATGTATACAATTTATATCAATTTCCATATTAGCTTGCAAAGACAATACTTTCTTTTATAAAACTAAAAACTATTAAATTTTATGCTCGAATAAAAATTAATTTCAATCAATCCTCGATAAATAATCAATAAACATTTATTTGCACATTGACAATCTGCAAAAAACCCAATGGCATTTAGATAAACTAGAAAGTTACAATAATATATCAGTATTATACACAACGATAAATATTCTTGTAAACGGTACCCAATACGAGATTTCCTTCTTTTTTCACTTTCTTTTTCTAATTAACATTATCATCATGTCTAACATGTTTGGATTTTATTCCGTGACTTTAATTGAGAAGAAAAAGCCACTTCTAAAAGAAGAAATGTTAAGTAGCTATTGCCATTTTAAACTTAAGAAGGTATGCAGAATATTTTGGATTCAATCTTTATCATTTTTACTTTCTTTAGCGTTTTATATAAAGAATACTTAGTACCTACTTATGAAGGTCTGAATAAGTGTATTTATTAGAGAATACTTTCCCGAAAAGTATTGCATACATTTAAAATTACCATGTCGTTGGTAATTTAAATCTCAAACATTGCTTTGCAGAACTTCTTATTCAATTATATGGATTTTGTGAAAGCAGCTAAGTTTGTTTGATTTTAATTATTTTAATTTTTGAAAATCATACAAGGAGCAGTCTACAGATTTAAATAATTGTGGAAACATGCGATGCCTAGTTAATTGAATTAACAGATTTTTAGAAAACCATTTCGTGTGGATCACTTATTGTTTTTTTTTTAATTAATAATATAGTTTTCACTGAAAGTGACATTTATATTTAATTTAAATCATTTTTAGATAATAATTAGTACCTACCTATTTGTCGTAGAAAAAGTATACGAGTAGTATGCAATTAGTTTATAAACTTTTCTATACGTTTATTTCCGTGACTAAAATGACGTTTATCAAACTTGATACAGAATATACTATTATATTTTGTATTTGTTGTTAATGCTTTTACGCGTATCATTTGGATTTCTTTATTTGTATTACCATTTTTGTCTTTATTTTTGCAGATTACCCTATATGTAATTTTACATATTACTTGGGCAAATGGAAAGGCGATCGAGTCTACATATAATAAGGCAGTTACTAAACCGTGAGTAATTTATTAATGTCTTTTGTCCCACACACACTTAAAATTGAGACATTATATGGTCGAAAACAATGTATAAAGTAAGCTATTGTTACACTAGTTGAATAATAAAAAAGAAAAGGAAGCCAATAATTGTTAATATTGTTGATAATTATTATTATAACATTCCTGTTATATATACACTCACGTGCAAAATAATCGATCCACACAAATTTTCGATGAATTTCAATCGCAAATAACTTTTTTATTTGATGTCGGATTTAAACGAATATTAAAGAATATTGTAGATAAATTAATGGACAATTGCTCACATTTTAAAAAATTACTAAATAATATACGTCCGTTTATAATATACAGGTTTAAATAAAAAGATGTAACTATCTAAAGTAAATTTCGACCAAATTAAATTTAAGGTATAAAATTAATTTTTTTATGGAATTTTTGCAAAATAGATAAAATAGCATAAAGAACTCATTTCATAAGACCTTTTGTCGCACAAATTGTCCGCGTGCGACAAAATGACGTCTTATGACATTAGTTCTTTAATACAGCCCGTTTACAGTAGCTTGTGTGATAAACGACATGACGAAAGGTCGAGCGGGTAAGTCGACTTAAAAAATTAAATGATATTAATGCAAAAAAGGCGAGGCCACGCCCAAAACGTTTCCCTATATTCGGTTTTACTCTGAACGGGCTGTATACTACTACAGCCAGAGATAAATCTATAAATTTTTTACTAAACGAGTACCCATAAGAAAATGTAACACAATTTTCACCTTTTTCAGAAACGTACAAAAAAGAGTGGGCTATGACTACCCGGTACCTTCGGGCGGCGGTCTGAGCAGCGGGGGCGGCGACCAAACCGGTCACGGTTATGGCGGCGCAGGCGCTACCGGCGGCGGCGCCGACCTTCACGGAGGCGGCGGTGGGGGCGGCTGGAGTGCATCTGGCAGCGGACAAGACTACGGAGGCGGCGGCGGTCATGACTTTGGGGGAGGCAGTGCAGGCGGCCAGGACTTTGGTCATTCTGGAGGCGGCGCATTAGGTCACGACCTTGGGGGCGGCGGTCACGATAGCGGGAGCGGTCAGGATTCTGGCGGCTACAGCGGTCAAGATCTTGGAGGCGGGCATGGAGCAAGTTACGAAGGCGGAGATAGTCACGGAGGCGGTGGCATCACCGCCCCTGGTATTAACGGAGGTGAGGAGCACGTATACGAAGACAGTCATGGAGGCCATGACGACCATCATGTCGAAGAACACCATGATCACCACGATCATCACGATCCAGGAATCTGGAAGAAAAAAATGATATGGAAGAAGGGATGGAAGAAAATCTGGAAGCCGGCTAAAAAGCAAATCTGGAAACCGAGTTGGAAGAAGTACTGGAAGCCCATATGGGTGCCGACGAAAAAACCCGGTTGGAAGGAAATCCAAGTGCCGGACTGGAAGAAAATCTGGAAACCGGTGTGGAAACCCATCAAGGTGCCTGCGTGGAAGGAAATACAAGTGCCTGACTGGAAGAAAATCCATAAACCTGTTTGGAAGCCGATTCAAGTTCCAGCCTGGAAGGAAATACAAGTCCCCGACTGGAAGAAAATATGGAAACCGGTCTGGAAACACATAACAGTTCCAGCTTGGAAGGAAATACAAGTACCAGTGTGGAAAAAGCATTACATTCCAGTTTGGGTTAAAGAAGGCATCCACGGCGATCATTATCTAGGTAAAGATCACCATGGAGCTGAATACACGGCACACGACATCTGGAAGAAGAAGTTAATCTGGAAACCAATCTGGAAGAAGTACTGGAAACCAGCCAAGAAGCAAATATGGGTGCCAGATAAGAAGCTTGAATGGGTACCTGCGTGGAAACAAATCTGGCGAACCGAGAAGAAACAAATTTGGGTTTCCGACAAAAAGTTGGTCTGGAAGGAAGCGTGGAAGCAAATCTGGAGGACGGAAAAGAAACAAATCTGGGTGTCCAGCAAAAAACTAGAATGGAAGGAAGCCTGGAAACAAATCTGGCGAACCGAAAAGAAACAAATCTGGCTTCCCGACAAAAAGCTGGAATGGAAAGAGGCGTGGAAGCAAATCTGGATTCCCGACTGGAAGCAAATTTGGGTACCGGGCTGGAAAATGATCTGGAGGCCCGTGATAATCAACGAGTGGTTCCCATCACCAGACCATCACGACCATCACCACGGATGGGACCGTAAAGACAACCAGAAACCAACAGACACCAACAAACTGTACAAGAGAAATACCCAAACCAAAAATGTTGAAGTGCCAAAAGATAAGAACTGGAACTTCCCGTCTTCTTAGCAGGAGAAAGAAAGGATTTTTTCCGTACCTTTTGTAAATATTATTAGTATTATTTAATTTGCATGATGCGTACCTCGACTGATCTTTTATGTATTATATTATGTATTAACTGTGCGTATGCATTTCTTGTTTAACTCGTAGATATAAGATCTAATTGTTGATTTGTTTTAATGTTATTGTTATTTTGTAAATAAATTACAAATATTAATATATTTGCACTTTTATTTTTCTCGGATCCCATCTCATAACAATTAGTGCAAATTTTAGACTTAGATAATACTAGATATACTATTTAATTATGTATATATTTTTTAAAGATAAAGAACTAATTAACTCAATCCTTTTTATCTAAATTTAGATCATCTGTTTTCTCTTGCAATAAAATCACCCAAACGGATTTAAAATCACCCACCATATATTTTTTATTAGGTAGGTATTGCGATTTTGCATCCCACACATAAAAAGTGAAAGCAATTTCTCTCAAAAATTCTTTGCAGCAAAAAACCGGCTTACACATCAACCTTTTATGTAATAACCACATATTTATGATTAAAATTTAAAAATTTTATTATTAAATCTATGTTGTTTGTAAGAAATATGATATATTAATAATTAACAAATGGAGTATTGTAACGCGTAGTAGGTGGTTTACATCTTTGCTGATAAGGGTGGTGCTGGTTTGTGCTCTGTTTGTATTTTTGCATCATTTTTCATGCAATAAGGAAATTTGTATTGCGTATAAACTGTTGCAGTGATTGTGTAAGTATATAATATTATTTTTCTATGGTGTTTAATGATAACAAAAAAAAAGACGTTGACATGGACATAATAGATTCTAAACTGTTAAACGGTTTTGAAGATCTGGCTAATACTTTTAAAGGTAAGTTTATGAGTTATTAAAAAAAATAATAATTAATGCCTTGTTATTTCGTTGAGTATTGGCTGAATTTTGGCGCCGTTTGTTTCAAGATGTTTCCACGTGTTGACTAACCCATTAATAATAAATAAAGTATATATATTTACTATAAATTCACTTGTTAATTATTAATCAGATAAATTTAAAGGAAATCAGGTTATATTTATTATTAACAAATTTTTTTAAAAAATGGAGTAGATTCTTTTAAAGTATTAGCAGATTATTATTATACCTTCTATATCTTTATGTTTAAGTTTATTTATGTTTTTAAAATAATAAGTCTATAAACATAGTTTTAAAATATTAGATTTTATAAAACATATAAATATATATATATATATATATACTTCGCTTTATTAATAAAATCATCTTAAAAAAAAGTATTTTATTTTAAAAATCACCCAAACTGAAGCACATTTTATATCAACATATCGTCTTCAACCTCACAAAGTGATTTATAATTTATAATAATCTACTATTAACTATTCGTCTGTCGCACCAGACAACAAAAATCGTGTGGGGAATTCTGAAAACTCCAAATTTTACTCGCATTTTCTTTTATTTTATATTCTCCACAGATAAACAATAAATAAACAAATCAAGAAAGTATATAATTCGGTATCCCGGTAAACATAATGATGAGATTTTATTTTAACTGTAACACTTCGCGAATGCAAATTAATATTCAAATCGTGTATTCACCATATAAAAACAATTGGACATTATCTTTAACTAACCATTTGATCAGTAGGAAAGGAAGTGTGAAGTTTGTTATTTTCGTTAAAAACCGCGACAATGAAAATTTACGTGAGTTTGTAGAAACTATAGTGGGAAAAGCAAGGAACTTATTTTTACGTTGGGTTTTAGGTGCTTATATTGTTGGCGGTGTTTTTTTGTTTTTACGATAGTTGTGAATCACATCAAAAAAGGTAACTACAAATTATTGTCATATTGTCAAATCCTAACTTTAAATTTTGTCAAAATTAAAACATTAATAATATTTTGTTGTTTTAACTACTAATTCTAGTAATTTCTTATTTTATATTACAGTATTTACCACTACAAAGAAGGTGAGGGACTAGGTGGATTATGGAAATCCAGAGTAGAATGGAAGGTACATTGGGTGAAAGATTGGGAAACCAAAAAAGTAAGAATTGTTACTAAAAATTGTTCTTGCAAAAAATTAATAAAAACTCAATAAATACTAAAGTTTTATGCCCTTAAAGCTCTAATACCCTTCTGTATTTATATACTCATCCAGCTATTAGCTTAAGCAATGATTTTTTCATCTGTTTTTTCTTTGTTTTTGGTTTTGACATTTTTGTAATTAAGCTCAATTTAAACAAAATTTGGCAACTTTTTTGACAGAATCTGGAAACTCTGGTTGTTACCAACCATAAAAAAGTTAAACAATATTAATTAATATAGTTTTAAAACATTCTATTTTCTTTGCCATTCAAAAACTACTGTTTTTAGATTTACGTCCCGAGAATGGTTCCCCCTTCCAAAACCTCCAAAGGACTGGGACCCCCATCCTGCCCACCACTCAACAGTGAAGTCATATTAAAAAGGATAAATTTGTATAACCATACTTTGTGTGCAATTTTGTCCACTTTGGAAAGTAATCAGTGAACATTTATTGGTAATTTGTTCTTTAGAACTTTAGGTAACTTATTGTTTAGTTAGGTATTTATGTTTAAGTTAAGTTTTAAATATTTTTTTTTAATAAAGTTTTTGAAATGTAAAAACGTTGTAAATATATAGATAATTCTTACACTACACTTTCATGTGGTAAATACAAATTTATTTATTATAAACAAATACTTAAGTAGATAAATTTATCTGTGAGAAATAAAATTGTATTAAAAACAACCAAACCCTTATTTATTATAAATATGCCATTTTATTAAGTAATTAATAATTTATTAAAAATTAACAAACTGATATTTTTCAACACATTTTATAGTTATTTGTCAAATTAAAACAATATTCAATAACAAAAATACTATGGGTATTTTATTTTATGTTAAAAATAAATATTTATTAATTTGTATACCGATTTTTTATTTCTGAATTAACATTTTTATGAATAATAATCCTAAATATCTTCAACTTCAATCTAATCTGACTTATCCCACAAAATTTTCAAATTTTACTTTTTATGAAATAATGTCATACAACTTATGGTTTAGAGGTCAAATTTTTATTTAATATTTTTAAATAAATATATATTAATAGGTCGCAAATTTTTTTAAGGGGACGACGAATACATTTCACTGTCAAATTATGACAGTGAGGCGTATTTGTCGTCTCCTGAAGAATTTTACGAATGTAGAATACAACATATTAGAACGTGGGTATCTGAAATATTTGGAAATATTCTCAAAAGTTTCCTAGAAGCCCCATAAGAAACCTTCTAAGAACATTCCAAAAACGTATTCTTAAAACGTTCTTAGGATGCTTTTTAGGAAGGTTTTAAGAAGCTTTTAAGAACCTAATTGCATCATTAAAAGGTATCTATTGAATGTTTTAAAAGTCCCTAAAAACATTCTTAGCATTAATTAAATTATTCCTGGTAATATCTTTTTGAAAGATTCTTAAAATCAAATTTTGCTATAAAGTGTTTCTAACAACGGTTTTTGTATGAAATATTTAGGCTTGAAAAAAAACAATACTATTTAAATTAAAGCTATGTTTTATTTTCCTCTACATCTATATCAACATTTTCAAGTGTCATTGGAAGCAAGTCGCCCCATTTTGTTGCTCTTGCGCAGTGGTAAGTTGTCCTGAAAACCCAATTATAAAAAAGATAAAAATAAATACAAGTTACGTACTTTCCGTGTTTTTTTGAAGTAAAAATGACTTCCCTTATATCCCCATTTGAAGTGCACATTCTACAAATTGTGTGTTTGGATCTAATTAAGGGCGTTCTTACAACTCTTGGCCATTCAGAATCATGGGAATTTTTTTCTCCTATTGAAATAACAAAAAATAATCCACAGAACCAACAAAATTTTAAACTTACCTTTTTTCAAAACCACATAGGAAAAAAGTTCCCTTTTGGCTTCCGGGTGACCATCAAATGGCAATGGCATGTATTTTATTTCAAAGTTACAGGGTGTTCCATCATCCAGGGTGAATCTGGGGCATATAGAATCATGCGGACACTAACAATAAGTACAAGGTTTATAAAAGCTATAAATATTGTTTAAATTGAACTTACAGGGCTAAAAACGTGTCCTGTTCCATATTTTTTGTCTACTTGTAAAATGAAATCCCTAATTTCATTAACAACCTAAGACAAAATATACCTAATGATTAAAAGCACACATAGTTTATTTATTATACATATACAAACTGTACATCTTTTTAAATAAATATGTAGTTTTTTCACAAAATAGGGTCTTACTCGACAAATTTTGTTCAATTGCACAGCTAAATCGCGCACGTTATTTGTCTTTTACGTTGCAAGGAAAAAACTAAAAACTGGTTTAGTACTCGATTTCGATTGATTATTCTTTATATCATTGATTAAGAAACTCAACGCTTAAATGCTTATATAGTTACGTTAGTGTGTGTATTTTATCCAAAGGATCATGTATCAAGTATTGTGTTTTTAATTGTAAATAAAATTCAAGAACTAAATCGTTGCATTTTCATGTTTTGCCAAAGGATCCAATTCGGTAAGTACATTTGTTGGTGCAGAATTAACTACTGATAACTTTACCTAATATAATTTATATTTAAGTTTGGACATTTTTAAGAAATTAGTAAAAAATAATTTTTGCACAAACATAACCTTAAAATCAACCATTTTTATATTTGAGTTCTCTAAAAAACGCCGACATTGCATTTTAAACAACAAAATATACCTACGAATTCATGGCAACATAATATTATATATAATACATAATATAATGGTATTTTACCGTTGAGTGGAGACTTTCTTAATCAACGCTTTTAATAATGCTAAATGCTGTTTAAATTTGGACGACTTATTTTTTTGACGATTTTTACTGAATTGAAATGTTTACACTTTTTACGTTAATCATTACTAAAATGTGTATTTATTGTATCTAATAGATACAATTATCTGATTATCAAAAGTTGTACTTTTGTTACGATGGTAACAGCCGAGTGGTGGCGCTACTAGCGATACTTCTTTAGCGTATTAGGTACCTACCTTAAAGCCTGCATTTGTCCCTTGCTCAACAATAACCAAATATTTTTCAGTCTTATTCCATAGATTTAAAATAGTTTTCAATCTTGCTTCAAGTGAAGGCAGCTCTAGCAAAGAATAGGCAGAAACTACTATATCATAGGTGGTCTGTAAACGTAAAAAATAGAAGGGTAGTTAATTTTTTAACATAATTTTTTGTACTTATGTACAAAAAGCGATATATTTTTGCTATTAAAGATTTTTTTATTATTTCTTTCTACAAATCTATGTGGATTTTTTTTATATTCCGTGTCCGTCATTGTACCTACAATTGTTTTTTTTAATTCGGAATATGACACATTTGATTATGTTGGTACTGTATGTCAAAATACTTGGTGTTTTTAATATTTAAAATTGGTACTCCTGTCCAAGGCCTTAATTTTAAATAATTTGACATTCAATTGTCAGCATTATAATAAACAATGTCAAGGATAACAAAAATTACTAAACAAAGAGAAATTTTAGAAAAAAATAAATTTTGTGGTTATGGATCTATCTTCTTGGTATTGTCATGAAATGAAAATGAAAATTTCTACATATATTTCAGAAAAAAAATAATTAAAATAATTCATTTTTATGTTATTTCAATAGAAAACATTTAAACTTGTTGAGGAACCTCTTAAATTTAAAGTTTTCATGAATTTAATTTTTTTTGAGATAATTAAAAAATAATAAAACAGCATAATAATATTATGTTGCATTACGACGAATTTAATACATAATACCTACATATCCCAAGCAGCATTTTAAGTTTAAGTATTTTTTTACGGTTAACCAAAGCGGTTTTATAACTGTATAGATACGAAAAATTACCAAATTTGGGAAATGCTTTATTTCGTTATTTTACCTACATAATAACCTTTTTGATCTACTAAGAGAATAATGTAATAAAACAATATAAATACCTACCACAAATTTACGTAAATATAACGCTATAATTACCAACTGTTTGCTATCTCTTTGTAAAACATTAACATTCGTAATTTCTTTGTTCTTTTAATTTATATTTTACAAAATGGTACCTACTTACAAAGTAATAAAAACCACCCCAGAGTAAAATTAAAAAATATAACCTAAATTTTCAAAACTAATAATATTTTGCATTAAAACTCAAATGCACATTATTTTATTGATAAAAATAGGCACAAAACATCTTAAAAATTAAACGTCCCCTAAATATTTTACGGTTTAAAAGAATTATTGCTTGGGTAAAAATTCAACAAAACTTAAAACCTTCAAAATTTTATAAAATCTGTTAAAAATCATTTAGTTTTAATAATTTTTTAATAACTTAAATTTCCTTATTATATTTTAGAATAGTATATTATGTAACAGTTTGATAAACGCCATTTTATACGCGAATGAGTGTATAGGAAAGTTTATAAACGAGGTGCATACTATACTGTTTCTACGACAAATACTTATTATTATCTTAAAATGATTTAAATCAAAAATTTGTATAGAGCGCCATCTATGAAACAATAGGGGAATCTGTGTGTCACCGTCAAATGTCACATTTTAGTATTTTATAAACACAGATTATAAAGGTTATAAATCAAACTGTATTTCTTAAAAATTGACAGTTTTTCACAGTGAAAGTAAAGAAAATGTTTTATGAACACTTTACAGTGGAGTCCGTGCCCGAATTTAAGTTATAGTTTACTGCCGGCGAAATTAAAAGGTCAGTACAATGTTCATATAAACTTTTCAAATATTGGCGTTTAGAAACTATATAATACTTTTGTATTTTTGTATTGAGATAAGTTATAAAATAATTTTCACATTTGGTATTATTTTAAGGTTAATTTAAAAAAATATTTATGTACATTAAAACCATAATACAAAAAATAACTTACATTATTAGCAGGCAAAAATTGTCTATAGAAAACACCTTTTAAAGGGACTTGGTTGCCTCTACCTCCCTGTAACAAAATCTGGGACAAATCATTCATCGAAGACGATGAATCCACATTAAAGTACTCAAATAAATATTGTTTCCAGTATAAATTGGCAGCCCTTAAATAACCTTGCATAAAATAGACCTCTAAACACCAAATATAAAGTAGTTTACCACATGGCTGTCCCAACTCCAGCCCCGAAATCAAAAAAACTTTTTGGCCTAAAATTCTCATCTCTTTTGTGAATTTCCCCGAATATTCTCACTAAAACAGCATACTCGGGAGCAAACCTGCTGATTAAATACACAAGAGAGTTATAATCGTCGTAATCCACGGGTTTCCAATTGTAGATTTTCTCCCTTAAAATATCCTTAACCTTATTCCTAACCATCTGCATAAATCTCTCTTTATCAGATTCATTATTAATTTCCACGTTTTTATGCTTTGATAGTACTCTGTCGTAGGCTTTTTTTTCGGTTTCTTTCACTTCCGCTTGCTCCATAGGCGGGACTTTGCCCTTAAGGTGTCTACTTAAGTCTTTGCCAGTTTTAACAAGCTGTGATAAAGGCTGATCTAAAAAGTTATAATTATAAGAAAATTGTATAAATATATAATAGTATTACCTTCAGTAACATTAATTAGGGCCTTTAGTAGCGTGTCGGGTACCGTAACATTCCTTGGTTTACAAATTCCAGGATGATCCCTCAGCCGAACAACTTTACTTTCCAAATCATTTATGATTTCTTCGTTTGGCGTTACATTTATCTTGCTTGTGGTGCTGTATCGTGCCAGACTAATCACCTTTCTGTTTAAAAGTTGTTTAAAACTCATTATCAATCTATATTATTAACAAAAACTATAATTTTAATAAATTTTTGTGTATACATAACCCTAAAATCACTAATATAACCTCACTTTATCGTGCTGTCATTATATCATGCATACTTGGTTGCCTAATTCTTTATTATGTGTATTCAACGAAAAACAACGTCAATGGAAAGTTTAAATATGTTTATGTAAAAAAACAAAGTAAATAAATGTAAAACTAAGCACAAATTGTTTTTATTCATTGTTCTTGGGACGTATTAATTCACTTAAATGGTTGTCGTGCAACTTGTCGACGTTGTCTTTTCTAAAAACGTCGCTTAACATTGCGTGCGAAGCTTTTTGGTCCCTGCAGTCCGTAGAGCTTCTTCCTATCATCCAGTCGCCCGAAATTATTTCGCTCGAACCGCATACTCTACATTCACCTAGGAGAAAAGTTTGGGTTTGCTTATTTTGGTTATTTTACTGTTAAGGCCTGATTTATAGATTGCCTTCCTTCCTTCCTTCCGTAAAAGATGAACAATACGAAGGAAGGCAATCTATAAATCAAGTTGTCCCTAACATTTCTTATTAAAAAAATAATAAATTGAGAGCTAATAGGGTAAACCACATAGTTATTGGACACTTAAGGAATATTATTTATTTATAATTTATCTATGCCGTTGTTTTAAAGATTTTAGTTTTTTTCTTATAAATATATAAAAAGGATAGTTTACGTTTACTTAAAAATAAGAATATTTCAATTTTTAATAATAGTTTTATAAAAACATGCAAAAAAGTATAGTAATTGGCCAACAACTTTACATCAAATAACATAAATTGTTTAATATTTTTTAAAGATAAATTGCTGTTTTAGGTAATTTTTTTATTTCGTTTTTGTAAATATCATATAATTCATATATTTCTTTCTCGGATTCCTCATCTCTTTTCTGGATTCTGAAGGTAACTAGGTACTAATTCCTTGGTCTGACTTTTGAAATTGTTTGTTGCAAATAACATTAAGTGTGGTATCTCTAGTTTGTGAAGTATTTATAATGTTTAGGCCGGAACAGGATGATTTATGTATATCTAATATTTTTTCGGGTGGTATGTTAAAAGTATTTTCCGAATTTATTAATTTTGTTGCCATTAGTTTTTTATGTTCTCTATCATGCACTGTATTTAAATCACTGTTATTCTGCAAGATGTCCTGTGACGAAGAAATCACTATATTACTTACTCTCTAAAAATGAATTAGTCAAAAATGTCATAGCGAAAAAGCAGCCACTAATAATTCTCGTCAACAGCAATTTGTATCCAGGACATTTAGCAGTCAATTCCTATGAAATATTAATTTCTGAATCCGAAAATGTCGTCAAAAGTTATAAAAGTATAACAGTTTTTGAAATATAATCAATTTTACATATAATATGGAAAAACTGCTTAACTTTTATAGTTTTTGACGGTCTTTTCGGATTCAGGGAACAATTTTAAATAAGAATTGGCTGCTAAATGTCCGGGATACAAATAGAGCATGATATTGGACATACGTCCAATAATAGAAATTTACATTTTTTTTCAACCCGTAATTGGACACTGGCCATTTTACTGTTTGTTTTCAGAATTAAAATTAAAACGCATTAAAGTTACAATGTTTAAACCATGAGGAACACATTTATACCACACACAGATCTGATAAAAAAAACAAAAATCTTACCACCAAAGACAAACTTTTTTATCCTACACTGAAAAAAATTATTACATTTAAATTTAAAGTTACAGGATTATTACCATATAAATTCCTTATTTTTACAACAAATTGTAAAATTACCTTTATTTTCGTCTAATTTTTATATATTTCAAGTAAATAAACATTTTTGTTTGTAAAATTACTAATGTTATGTATTAATTATTGATACAACAAGTAAATTTAACGAACTAAATGTAAAAAATACAATTATAACGTCTTACTGCATTATTTCAAATGTAAATATACGTTATTAGTCTTAATATTTCAGGTTTAAATGTTTTTTTACATTCGGAGTGTAGTAAAAATCGCAAAATTACATTCCATATGTAACCGGAGAAGAAGCCTATTGGCTGGGAATTCGCGCATGCTGCCCACGCATCGGCATGTTAATGTTATCATGTATAAATACATTTCAAATAAAAAATATATTACATTAAAAATGTAATTTTACATAAAAAATATAAATGAGTTACACATCAATTATGCTATTACATTTTACATGTAAAATAATAATGAAATGGAGTATTTCAGTTATCAACAAGGCATCAAAATAACCAATCTCCATTACCGGAAATTTACATGATTTTTTTTCAGTGTATATTGGACACAAAATAAAGTTGTTCTATATTATTACCGACTGAGATATTTATAATTGAATAAAGCGTCATCTAATGATTTGACTTTAAGGTAACTATTTATAGAACTCTTGTTTTTACAGTATTAATGTTAATTGTCCAATAACTATAAAGTGTCCGATAACTGTCTACTTTACCCTATTTTTAAATATTTTTCCGTTACACCTTATGTCAAAAGGTATTCAGTATTTTAATACATTACATTAATTACATAACACCCTGTATATTGTGTTATCTGCCTATTGTTAATATATGTCAAGTTGAAGAGATAAAATACATTTACATGTGCGGATTTTTTTGATCCGGTCCAACCTCCCTTCTCAGGGAATCGCTCAAAAGGGAATGGGCTGTTTTTTGTTCGCCATTCTCTTGTTCTATCATCCAGTCGCCTTGGATTGACTCCCGTTGTCCGCACACCCTACATTCACCTAGAAAACAAATTTACAGTGATTACCAATCTCGAAAAAAAAAATACAAAGTGATTCTTGTTTTGATAAAGTTTTAAACCACCCTGTATTTATTGTTTATCAAAAGTTTTCTAGATGATGTAACGTATTTTATGTTTTCAAAAGAACAAGCACTTCTTGTATTTACAGGGTGTTTCATGGAAAATAAATAAAACAACCTGCTATAGGTATGCAAATCAACGAAAGAAATGGTTATTTATACAACATTTTATCTTCAAAGCACTTTATGTAGGTCAATTTAATTCAACATCAAAGCGGCCTAACCTCGCTTTTTTAGAATCTCATTTATTTATTAGCTAAAGATTGCATTAAATATACCATAATTATTATTGCTTTTAGAAGCAGTAATAGTTTGACAATACCTAGCAACATTATTTAAGTAGAAATGGATTTTTGCTATTACATTGAATTCAATTAATTGTTTAATAAATAGGTAGGTATCTAATTTCAATTTGTTTGGATTTTTATTTAAAAAATAGGTAGTTTGGAATGTTTAAGCTGTGTTTAACATTTAATTTCACTGAAAACTTAAAGCAAATTAAAACTTAAAGATAATTTAAATCGTAGAAAAAGAATCGTGCGTTTTCTTGGTTGCCTAACCTCACTTTTTGTTTTATTATTCATATTTAATTTTACAATAATTTAATGAAAAATATTAGACATTAACAGTAAAACAAACAAATTAGTGCTTATTATAAATAAATTAAACCAGTTTAGTACGTTAATTTCTTAGAAAAGGATTAATTTGTCAAAAAAACCCCTAGCGAGAAAAAATCGAAGTAATTACTTGCCTCATAAAAATTTTTATCGGCCTAGGCCATAACAAGGTATTTCTTTATCGAATGTTGGCAACAATAAAGTTTAAATTATAGACCGCGTGGAGATAAAAACTTTTTCACTCTCTGAATCAACTGTACCTACCTATGAAAGTGGCGATCTTCTTGCCCTCCTTTCTTGTGGCCACCAGAAGCACCATGGAGGAATGTTGAAATGGTGTTTGACATATCATGCTCCAATCTCCTTCGCTCAAAAAGCCGGAGGTCATTATCGGGGAAACAGTTCGTTTTATTTCGACGCGACCGGTCATGTTTTGGTCTATTTGGGGGATTGTCAGCTCCATTCCCCCAGCGGTCGATATCCAAGGTCCTGACACGTTGCAAAGCGCACCTGAACAGGTGAGATTGAAATTTTAAATTATAAAAATCATAGCGAGAATTCCATATGTACCTCACAGCAAACGGAAAAATATAGAAGTGTATAGGATGAGTCCTAGTTTGAACACTAAATCTTGCACGACTATAGTTAAAGTCAAACTCAATGGTGTTTTACAAGATACATTATTTTGATTTTCTATATTCAACAGAGAGGTAGAAACTCGACCCTGTCGAATGGCGAAGTCATTAACTTCTCTAGAAATTATTGCCTAAAGGTTGCTTCAGTTGTTCCTATATATAAAAAAGGCTGCCAGGATAGCAAAGTGAATACAGGCCGATTTCAGTACTCTGTGCAAAAAATATCGAAAAAATAATATACAATAGAATGGTAGATTTTCTAAAAAAGTATAACCTAATAACTGACTCATAACACGGTTTCAGAAAAAACTTTTCAACTGAAACAGCTGCCATTCATCTTATGCAGTTTGTTTTTGATGAACTGGATAAAGGTAAACATGTTATGGGTCTATTTTATGACCTTAGTAAGGCTTTTGACACAATAAATGCAAGCTTCCTTATAGAAAAATTATCTAAAATTGGGTTTAGAGGTGAAATTTTGGAATGGTTGCGATCATATGTGTCAAATAGGCAGTTTAAAGTAAAAGTTAACAATTCCTTATCTGAAAACTTTAAAAATGATCTAGGTGTTCAGGGTGCGGTTCTAGGTCCTCTTTTGTTTTCAATTTATATAAATGACTTACCTAAATTTATTATGGGTAAACTTACAATGTATGCCGATGATACATTGGTTGTGGTATCAGCACCGAATCCTGAGAAACTTAAACAATATGTTGATGAGGTTAACAACAGTTTTAAAAAATGGTGCACCCGAAATCGTCTTATTTTAAATTCTGAAAAAACTGAATATGTATACTTCTCTCTCCGTTTAAGTGGATTGAGTAACCTTAATAACCTTAATTTAAAAATATCGAAAAAGGTGAAATTTTTGGGGCTAATAGTGGAAGCTCAGATAAACTGGGATAACCATATAGATAACCTTTGCCAAAAAATAAGCGCTTCAAACTTTGCCTTAATGACACTAAACAACAGTCTATCTTATACATCACTCTTAAATGCCTATTATGGACTTTTTTACTCGCACATATCTTATAATATAATTTTTTGGGGAAGAGGAACATCAGCAAATAGAGTATTTATTATGCAAAAGCGCGCAATCCGAATAATGTTTAACCTACCTGGTAGGGCTTCCTGTAGAGATACTTTTATAAATAAAAAATTATTAACGTTGTATGGAATTTATATATATATATATATATATATAGTATTATGAAGTTTGTTTTTAATAACTTAGGAAAATTCCCAACTAATAGTAATTTTCACTCATATTCCACAAGAAGTGGCTCAAGATTATGTATACCGAGACACACAACTTCTTTGTTTAAAAAGTCACCCTATTTTTCTGGCATCAAAATTTTTAACAATTTGCCCAATTATATTAAGGAAACAAAAAGGTTATAATGTTTTTAAAAGAAAACTGAAAGACTTTTTAATTGAGGAATGTCCTTATGAACTGAATAAGTTTTTAGAATAAATTTGTAGTGTAGTTCGTGTATTGTATTTCTGTGACTTGTCCTATACATATGAATGTTATCTATGTCAATTATATTAATAAAATTATTAATATTATTATTGAAAAAGGGGGCAGTCCAATGGTGCAGCAACTTCGGATTCTTATTCTCTTCAGAGACATAGAAACTCAAGCTTTTCGAATTTTACTGGCAATTATTTTCGTTAATGTCCCCGAGAATCATAAAAAACAGCGCAATGCAATATCGCAACGGTTTCGACTTCTCTTCACTCTACCAAGTTATAGAAACTGGAGTCTTTCTAATTAGTATTAATACTGTTCTAATCAATATTTCTGAGAGCATAAAAAGAGGGTGTATTTCAATATTGCAAGAAGTTTTGATCTTTTGATGGATGACTGAGGAATACAAATTTATACCGTGGCGAGATTTAGTAATCTGTAAATGTGGCGTCATCTAATGCACTTCTATATTTGTCCGTTTGCTGTGTTACAGTACATTTCAGTTCTGTCAACCTAGGAACAATAATACTAATTGGGAAGTTGGTTAAAGATTGTGCAAGAAACCCAAAAACTGTAAAAACAAGGATTTAATAAAAATATTACCTTCAACCCCGTGCTTCCAAGATTTACTATGCTTAATTTTCTCCAAATTCTCCACATCGTCCATAATCCTGTCAATAATCATATCGTCATGGGAATTACCTCCCCCACCACCACTAGTACGATAAATATCGGCCCTGAAACACACTTTAAAATAACAAAAAAATACATGTCCAATCCTTACCCCAGCGGAACCACCAAAGGCAAAACAGTAAAGTCCTCAGCCAGCCTGCCAGTGCTATTATTGTCCTCCCCCTTTTTGTGACACCTCGTGCTGCCCCCCCCAAAACCTGGAGGACCTCCTGGAACCCCTTGAGCCCCCGGACCGCCGGTGACCCCGAAATCAGAGGCCACAGTGGGGTTGGTTATGATGCTGATCTCGGGTATGTTGACGTCGGTGAGAGGCATCACCTCGCCGTCCTTGATGATGTACATGTGGCTTTTGTCGAGTTTCTCCAGTTCGCCTCGCTTCACCCTGTCGCTTGCCTCTTGGTTTCGATGGCTGTCGATGAAACTCTGCAGTTCCCGGCTGATGCCTTTCTCCTTGGCGTATTGACGCTCTTTTTGCTGGAACATCCGCTTGGCTCGCTTCAGAAGGTCGGGGTTCAGCTCGTCCGTGTTGGAACATTCCAGGAAGACAATTATGCTAATCGTTATAAGCAATGCTGTTTGCATCGGTGATGGAAGCGGTGAACATAAGTTTTTTTGGTGGGTTTGTTAGGTTTGTAAAAGAAATAAGCTTGAAAAGGTCATATTATGACGTTTATGTGTCATTTTCTATGAACTTGATCCTAACTAAACAAAAATATTTACACTAGTCTTTGTCATATTGCTAATCAAGTAAAATTTGTTGTTTACAATTCTTATGCTTTGGGTTTGTGTTGTTTAATAATTGTTTTAAACGTTGTGTTTCTCACAGAGGCACTTGTAAGCCTCAAATAAGGCCTTTAAGTGCTAAGGACAACCATTTTACTCCTCTTTTATAATAAATATAACTTATTCTATCAGTGCTGTCAAATGACAATTTGAAGGTTAATTTGTGGGTTATAATTTAACCTTAAAATTGACATTTGACAGTTTTGTGACAGCCCTGATAGAATAAAGTTTATTTTTTTACAATAGAGGAGTAAAATGGTTGTTCTTAGCACTTTAAGGACTCTTTTAAGGCTTACTATGAAAAACAACGTTTAAAACGATTATTAATCTGTATAAACAGAGCACAAACCCAAAGCACAAAAATTGTAAACAACAAAAATGGCGGCCGTTAAACTGTGCAGTGTTGCAGTGATTTCTGTATTTTTAGTACGAGATAGAACGTTCTGTACAGACCTTGTTGTGTGGATTGTGCCAATATCATAGTATTTAATTTAATGAATTTAAATTTAATAATTTCCATTTTTTATTCAAAACGTTATATTCAAAATGTTATATATAATTCGTTGATACAAATTAATTAATAGCTTTCTAAACTAAACCTTGTTAGATAGTTGACAAAATAAAAAATACCAATTTTATGTTGGCAACTCTATCAGTTCCATATATTTTAAGAATTGACAAGATATATTATTTTTAGCTTCTTTTAAAAATGTGTTGAGTATACTTATTTATACTTTTATTTATTTTATTTGAACATGTTGCTTTTTTTCGTTTTCGTTTTAACTGTTGTGTAAAGAAAAATACAAAATGGAGAAATTCATCAACTACAAAAATCAATGTTTTTTAGATTTTTTGTTAAATATAAGGGTGAATATATTGAGATGTCTCCCAAGTGAAAATGAACATTTTTTATTTTTGGTTTTTTCACTGTTAGTCTAGAATGGGGTTTTTTGGAAGCCACCAGGTCTAGTAATAACATAACATAAGTGGTTCTGCACTAATGCAAGAATTTTAAGAAATCATAAATTTTGAATATTAGAGCTTCACGGAGGTTAGGATTTCTTATGTTTTTTTTGACCTTCAGGAATCACATGCATCTATAATGTCGTAAACAGAGGTTTTTGCTTATTTAAAATGATTAAAGCGCCATCCGTTGCATAAAATTTAAATAAAAAACAGATTCACGGAGGATAGAATCAATTTTTGTAACACCTACATAAATGGTTATAAAAATTATTTCTTTTAATTTTTAATAATATTTTATATTTGATTCGATTGCTTTGGATGTGTTTAATTTACTTAGTACTGATATTTTTAGTATGCTTTTACTACCTCAGATATTTGAAAACATATAGGTTAACCTAGAAAGAGTAACAGTCACGGAGGATAGGTTTTAGACTTTTAAAACATTGTAAAAAATAATTAATTGCGGTTAAAAATCTGGAACCTGAGCTGTAATATCTACTTAATTATGAAAGATTAAAATAAAATAAAAGTGTAGGTCAAACTCATTTAGTTTTATTAAATATCACGGGGTAACACCTTCGTGAGATTCACCCAAATAATTCGTATAAATATAGTATAACTTTCAGGTAGAATATAAATTTTACAATATTGGACAATTTCTTCGGGAGTGAAGCATCACACCACCTAAGACAACCAATAAAATGATTTCCCGCTTGAAATAAGACGCCAGACGGTCGCTCAACTGCAATCTGCATCGTCAGTTTGCAGTTTTAGTTAGTGTTAGGAAGTGTATCATTGTGAGGTTAGTACCACATTTCTGGTGAGTAATTGTTAATTGAATATTATTTTTCCGAATAGGTAGGTAACTGAATCAGGGACTGGGATAAATCAATAATTATGACTATGGATGAAGATAACAAGTGTTTCTATGTTTGTTTGAAGGTGTTATGATTATAATCATATTTTTTTTGCTGGACTGTTTTTGATGATTCACCAAGTATTAATTAGTTCATAGAACTAACTAACTTTGGTTAGTTAGTATTTTTCATAGAAAATGACACACATAAACGTCATAATATGACCTTTTCGAACGTATTTCTTTAACAAACCTAACAAACCCACACAAAAATCGAATGCTGCACCGATGCAAACAGCATTGTTTGTAACGATTAGCATAATTGTCTTCCTGGAATGCTCCAACGCCGACGAGCTGAACCCGAAACTGCTGAAGCGAGCCAAGCGGATGTTCCAGCAAAAAGAACGTCAATACGCCAAGGAGAAAGGCATCAGCCGCGAGCTAAAGAGTTTTATCGACAGCCACCGAAACCAAGAGGCAAGCGACAGGGTGAAGCGAGGCGAACTGGAAAAACTCGACAAAAGCCACATGTACATCATCAAGGACGGCGAGGTGATGCCTCTCACCGACGTCAACATACCCGAGATCAGCATCATAACCAACCCCACTGTGGCCTCTGATTTGGGGGTCACCGGAGGTCCAGGGGGTTCAACGAAGTGCTACAAAAAGGGGGAGGAGAATAATAGCACTGGGAGACTCGCTGAGGATTTTACTGTTTTGCCTTTGGTGGTTCCGCTTGGGTAAGGATTGGGCTTGTATTTTTTTTGTAATTTTAAAATGTGTTTTAGGGCTGATATTTATCGCAATGGTGGTGGTGGAGGGGGTAATTCCCATGACGATATGATTATTGATAGGATTATGGACGATGTGGAAAATTTGGAAAAAATTAAGCATAGTAAATCTTGGAAACATGGGATCGACGGTAATATTTTGCAGATATCCTTGTTTTCCTTTTTAAACTGCTTTTATGTTTCTTATATTTTAATACTTCAATAAAACACAGGAAATCAAATTTCGAATAGTTTATTGATAACAAAAAAAACTTTCTTCTGACAACTCCCTAGTAGCAATGGAATGGGACAAGATTCTCCAGCAAGATACTTGGAGAAGCACTTTATACACAATTTGACAATTCTTGATCAAGACACTTGACCAAGATTCTTTATCCAGACTGGCTCCAGACTTGAGCCAGTCTTTGACCATAATTTGACCAGATTCTTGGCCCAGAGTCTTAAGAACATTATGAATTGTGAATGAAACTACTGTAAAATGAGAACCTCTACTATATAGAATAGTCCCTAAGTTTAGTAACAGATGGCCTCAGACTTCTGGTCAAATTCTTGACAAATTCTGGCCACAGTCTGGCCCAAGTCTTGCCCAATGATCTTGATCAAGAATCTGGACCAATTCTTGTACAATTCTTGATCAACAATCTGTTCCAAGTATCTTGACCCATGCTTGGACAAGGCTTTTCCAAAATTGCTACTAGGGCTGAAATCAATATATGGGTTATTTCAGGTGCAAGTTGCAACGTGTCCGGAGCTTGGATATCAACCGCTGGGGGCATGGAGCTGACAATCCCCCAAATAGACCAAAACATGACCGGTCGCGTCGAACTAAAACGAACTGTTTCCCCCATAATGACCTCTGGCTTTTTGAGCGAAGGAGATTGGAGCATGATATGTCAAACACCATTTCAACATTCCTCCATGGTGCTTCTGGTGGCCACAAGAAAAGAGGGCAAGAAAATCGCAACTTTCATAGGTAGGTATAGTTGATTCAGAGAGTGGGAAAAAGTTTTCTCATTCATTGATATCCTATGAAATAGGGTTGGTGTAAATACCAGAAGTGCTTGTTCTTTTGAAAACATAAAATACGTTACATCATCTAGAAAACTTTTAATACCAAATTGATACAGGGTGGTTTGAAACTTTGCCGAAAGAAGAATCACTTTGTATTTATTTTTCGAGATTGGTAATCATTAAATTTGTTTTCTAGGTGAATGTAGAGTATGTGGGCAACGGAAATCTCTACAAGGTTACTGGATGATAGGACAGGAAAAAGGCGATCATTCCCTTTTGAGCGATGCCCTGAAAATGAAAGATGAAGTGTATCATAAGAACTCGTATTTCTAAATGTATTTCATTTCCTCAATTTGACATATAACACTGTGCGAAAATTTGGGGTGACCAATTTTAAACAGGGTTTCACTGATTTTTCCTCAAATATACCTATTTAATAATTTGTTGGAGAGTCTGTGCAGTCTGTGCCTAACTTTATAAGAACTTTTACAACCCAGGAATGGTTTCTACTATTAAATAGGTGTACTTTCAGGAAAAAACAATTACAATTTTGTGTTGCACTGTGTAAAACTTATTATAGATCGAAATACTCAAACTCAAGCTTTTCTCATAGGTGAATGTAGAGTATGCGGAACTAGCGAAGTAATTTCGGGCGACTGGATGATAGGAAGGAGTTCTACAGATTGCAGGGACCAAAAAGCTTCGCACGCTATGTTAAGCGACGTTTTTAGGAAGGACAATGTGGACATGTTACACGACCACCATTTAAGTGAATTAATACGTCCCACGCATATCCCTGACAATCTTTGATCATCAACATTTTTAATTAGGACCATAAATATTGAATATAGAGTATTTTTAGAATACCTCAGATTTTACACCAATAAGGACACATCTTGTATTTCTCATAAAAATATTAAATACACTAAAAAACTTTCTAAAATTTGTTTTTTTTAATACATGATTGATTTTTTTTATTACTATAATTGCAAAATATTATCACAAAGTATTAAAAATTTCTACACAGGAAATGTTAATGGTGACAATAACGTAATGTTCATCTTCTACGGGAGGAAGGAAGGAAGGAAGGCAATCTATAATTCAGGCTTTACAATAAGCTACTTTTTTTTGAGTTGGCGATACTGTTTCTGTTGTAGTGTAGGTCTTAGAGAAATTCGATTCTCTATTCGAATCAATGCGATATAATGACGTCAGCAGTACCAACTTAGAATTGTTAATTTACTACCGTTAAATTTGCTTTTTTAAGGCGTAATTCTGATGTGATATAAATTATCATTCATTTGCGTATTGTTTACCAAGAACTGTAACAATTTCACTGTTTTAAAACGTATTTTTACGAAATTGTGAAAATAAAACCTTTCACTTAGTAATTTGTGTGTGTGCCTGTTGCTAATAGCTTAAGGCTGGCCCGCACCGTTCAATATTATTGATGGGTCGCCGTCATTTTATATTTAACGTTTTTTTGTAATTTTGACATTTCGTCCGTAAGCATCGTTATTATAAATACACAATTAAAAATTTATAAAATTTGTGTTAAAAATAATGCGTGTTAAATAAAAAATTTAAAAGTTTACATAGTGTTTATAACATAAATGTGACCTAGGTTAACCTATATGTTTTCAAATATCTGAGGTAGTAAAAGCATACTAAAAATATCAGTTCACTAAGTAAATTAAACACATCCAAAGCAATCGAATCAAATTTAAAATATTATTAAAAATTAAAAGAAATAATTTTTATAACCATTTATGTAGGTGTTGAAAAATTGATTCTATCCTCCGTGAATCTGTTTTTGCTTTAAATTTTATGCAACGGATGGTGCTTTAATCATTTTAAATAAGCAAAAACCTCGGTTTACGACATTATAGATGCATGTGATTCCTGTAGGTAGGTCAGTTAGAATGTATATGCAGATGAGATTGTTGCTGTTTTATAATTCAAAAGTTTAAGTTCATTAATTTGCTATTTAAAAACCTATCCACCGTGAAGTGTAATATCTCAGTAAGTAGATTTTATGTTATGTTATTACTAGAACTGGTGGCTTCCCAAAAAACCCATTCTAGACACTTTCACTTGGGGGACATCTCAATAACAAATTGTACAAAAGAGTAACATTTATTTTTGATTTAAATCCTGTATTACATTGCTAAGAAAAAGCCCTGCTGGTTAGTTCTAAAAATACTCAATTTGAATTTTCATCGAATCTAATTGAAAATATTGGTGATTGTGGAGCGTCAAGTACATGTGTAGTCGCCGAGAATAGCATTCGACATGAGGATGTTGTTAAATACGACTGGTCAGTAGGCTCTGAACGATTCGCTGGTGTTTTACGAGGCTACTTTGATTATATTTATAGGTGTCATTACTGAAATGTTGAATAAAGTGAATGCTCGATAAAATTAGGTGCGTAACGTGTTAAAGTAATGTGTTTGGTTGAATACGTAAATTTTAGCGAATATTTATAAATAAACCTGTAAGTCTCTAAAGCGCACTGCCAAAATTAAATTTGTTTACTAATTTTAAGACCGTTTTGGATTAAAAGGTATTTACAAAATCAATCAGTTTGTTTTATCTAATTTGCAGGAAGTTATTCGGACTTTTATGTTGTGTTAATTTATAAATTAAATGTGTTTTCTTTTCATTTTATATGCTGAGATTTGTTGGCATAGAGTCGAATTGTTTTGACCCATGAAAATAGTCTTTTATTTCTGTTATTCATTGTAGCTAAGCAAAATTAAATGATTCGGGGCATTATGAATTTGTTATATTGTGTCACCATCAAATTTTTAAACCTACTAAAATAGTAGTCTGGATTTTTTTATTTCAACTATAGGAAGAAGTACACAAAATTTTAGGTTTTGTTTATTTATTTTTTATATTTTGTATCATTACTAGATTTTTTTATTTTTATTGTCAAAATGCGTTTAATTGTTTTAAAATCGATTTTATTTATAAAATCAAAACCAGAACTTTTCTAAATGATTTTAATAATAAAAATAATAATAAAAAAATATTTTAGCCTGGCGCATCCGCCATTTTTTAAACTTTTTAGTGAAAAGGTAAAAAATATGAAACAAAAATTGAAATAAAAAGTTAAAAAAGCAATAGCGCAGTTGCAACATTTCCTACTAATAGAATAAAAATCATTTTTGATGAAATTATACTTTGATAAATCAAAATCATTTCTATTTTTTCTTCCACTGTTAAAAAATCCATTATAAATAACTGCTTAACAAAAGAAGGTCTTTTTGTTTGCAAATTAATCTTCGACTAAATTGATTAAATAATGCTAAACTATAAAAAGTTGCTTTATACCTTAATAATAATTATTATTTATAACCAAATACCATTTTTTATACCTCAATTAAGATTAATTTAATTAATTGACAAAATAATTGTGACAATACCAATCTCTTTACGGAGTAGGATGTTATAGCTATTTTTATACACCAAGGGTGATAAAATTATTTCACTTAAAGTTGAACTTAAGTATCAGTTGAACTGCATTTTGTAAATTTTATTAAAAAATAAAAAATATTATGTTTTCAAATGTTGAAAGAGTTCACTAAAGTAATTTTGAAACAGATGGCCTGAGTAGTTACTAAAATTAATAGTACATATATTATGTATCAAGCCGTTTTAGTCACGAACGAGCTTGCAAGCGAGTGTTTAATTAAATAGGTGTCTAGGAAGTTTTATAAAAGATTTTTAAAAATGACTTAAATTAAACATTTGTATATAGCGACATCTTTGTTTTAAAATGTGTCCGATTTAATTTCTTGCAAAAGTATCGTCTGTCTTGCTATAACAAATAGCGTTGGCACCCCCATGTTTGAGCTGCTCTGTTGCTGGCTGCTGACCAATTCAATGATATTTAGCCAGATTGACTGACCCACTCTTTATATAGATCAATTGCATCGAGTTTTTTCGCATACAGTAGTTCCTACATCCTTTCATAGCAAAAGACATTGAATCCTAAGTATACGACAATTTTAATTTTTAGTGACTGTGCATATTTATTTAGTGCATACTATTTAATAATACGAAGATAAGGTAACATATATGTTTAACATAAAGGATGAATTCGTTTTAAATTTTACCATGACCAGTGTTTAAATATTTCCAATGCCTTTTTCTACGACTTAATATGGCATCAATATTTACCCTTATTTTTTGTGATATATTTTTTAAAAGGGCCTAAATTTGAGCTACGCAAATGTCCCACTGAAAACAAAAGTATACGGGTATCAAACTCAAATGGAGATACTACCTTAAACACCTTGATTATTTATTTGAATATAGCTTTAGCACGTGCTCTACTTTGTTATTTATGGTCGAAATATCTATTTACAATGACAGAAATAAATATATGGTAATGACTATTTGCCAAAATTGATATTGAATGCTTCATTCAATCTTAATGTTGACATTCAGCATTATAAATATAACTTAGAACTAGGCAAACCACTTAAGAAATATTATTTATTTAGAATTTTTAATAATAGTTTTATAAAAACATGCAAAAAAGTATAGTAATTGGACATTTTATGCAGTAATTGGACACATGGACCATAGTTATTGGACATACAATTTTTATATAAACATAACAACTTTACATCAAATAACATAAATTGTCAAATTTTTTTTGTAAGTATCATATAACTCATATATTTCTTTCTCGGATTCCTCATCCCTTTTCTGGATTCTGAAGGTAACTACTAATTTCTTGGTCTGACTTCTGAAATAGTTTGTTGCAAGTATCATTAACTGTGGTATCTCTAGTTTGTGAAGCATTTATAATGTTTAGGCCGGCACAGGATGATTTATATATATATCTAATATTTTTTTGGGTGGTATGTTAAAAGTATTTTCCGAATTTATTAATTTTGTTACCATTAGTTTTTTATGTTCTCTATCATGCACTGTATTTAAATCACTGTTAATCTGCAAGATGTCCTGTGACGAAGAAATCACTATATTACTCACTTTCTAAAAATGAATTAGTCAAAAATGTCATAGCGAAAAAGCAGCTACTAATAATTATCGTCAACAGCAATTTGTATCCAGGACATTTAGCAGTCAATTCCTATGAAATATTATTCGCTGAATCGGAAAATATCGTCAAAAGTTATAAAAGTAGAACAGCTTTTGAAATATAATCAATTTTACATATAATATGGAATTGACTATATCTCAAAAACTGCTTAACTTTTATAGTTTTTGACGGTCTTTTCGGATTCAGGGGACAATTTTACATAAGAATTGGCTGGTAAATGTCCGGGATACAAATAAAGTATGATATTGGACATATGTGCAATAATAGAAATTTACATTTTTTACCAACCAGAAATTGGACGCTGGCCATTTACTGTTTGTTTTCAGAATTAAAATAATATAAGATAAAACCATTATTCACTACTATATTTTATTCACACTGTATTTAAATAAAATATTTTAATTATTTTTAGATTATAAGAATGAGTAATGGCATCTAAAGAAAAGGCGACAAATGTAAGTTATTTATTATTTTATTAATTAATTGGTAAGTAAAGTGTACAAATAATATATTTAATTACAAGTTTTAAACGTTTAAAATTTAACATTTAGGTACATTGTATTTGCATTTAATTTAGTTGTTCCCAAGTAATAATGCATGCTCTTGTTATGTATAAGTAATGTTATGTATTGTCTTTTGTTTATAGATATTAGTAACGATTTACACGCACACACAAGACACCAAAATTCGAATTGACGTTAAGAAGAAACGATTCGATAGTCATGGATGACTACGACCTGATATTTAAATTGCGCTCTCCAGTAGGTTTTTGATTAGCTTTATTTGTTTTTTTAAATATTTTTTATAATAATTTAGGAAAAGTTTGTATAGCTTATATTTGTTTTTCTTCATTGCTTTATAGTATTCTGCCTTATAAGTTCAAAAGACACTAAGTCTTGTTAACTGATCAATGGGGTAGTTAAATTTTTTCTGACCTATACTTTTTATGGTTTTATTCAAGGCGTTTTGTAATTTTAAACATTTCTGTGAAATCGGAATTTCAATTGAGTTTAACGTTTTCGAGATATTTACAAAAATAATCTCCTAATTACGTCACTAGGCTATTGACAACGTTGCCAGCTTTTTCTATGGTTGCCAGTGTGTTTAGTTTAGAGGAATCTTGTGGAATGGTTGGTTATATTGAACATTGGAGCTTTTAAACAAATAAAGTACCTATAATTATAATCATATTTTGTCGTAAATGCATTTCATTAGTATAATGCCTAGTTCTTTATATTCTTTTAGATATATCTTGGACTCTAAAATATCAAACAGTAATATGATACCTTAATGAATTTGGTGACCATCTTTCACTCAACTGACAGTGACAGTATTTGTACATAACCTCTTCGGGTATTTTCTGACATAACCGAATGAAATCATTAACAAGACAACTTGACAACAGGGTAATTTTCAACCAATAGAAATCTTAAAATGTTGGTCACATGGCGAGGTTTCTGACGTCATAAAAATTTATATTTTTTGTAAATATCTCGAAAACGGTAAACTCAATTGAAATTCTGATTTCACAGAAATGTTTAAAATTACAAAACGCCTTGAATAAAACCATAAAAAGTATAGGTCAGAAAAAATGTAACTACCCCATTGTAAAAACATCTTTTTAACATGTACGGTAGTATTATATGTAGCTTTACTTTACTGGAGTACAAAATTTTACGAAAATCATCATCTATTTACTGCAAACACTCACTAACTCATAACGTTTTCCTTTTCGTAGGCACGTAATCTAAAATGTAAATAAAAAGGTATATTGTTGTAATTTTGGCTTAAGATTTAGTGAAATTAATAATGTTTTACATTGCTCAGGTTATTGGAGAAATCCTTATAGCCTGGCAAAAGTATACAGCATGCAGTTCCGATGAAATAAATCTCAAGGAAGGTGATGTAGTAGAACTACTTGATACGGTTGATCCAGTCTCAGCTGCAAAGTAAGTATTCTTATAAATACGAGGTGTGTTCAGAAAATATCGGGAATTTTCGTTTTTTGAAACAAATATTTATTTATTCGTCTACATTAATGTTGTCGCCTTCAAAATAGTCCCCATTGGATATTATGCACATGTGCCAGCTCTTCTTCCAATACTCGAAACACTTCTAAAACTCGATCTTTGGGATAGCCTTTAGTTCTTTCAGCGATGCGCTTTTAATGCCATCTATGCTTGCAAAACGACGGCCCTTTAAGGTTCTCTTTATTTTTGGGAATAGGAAAAAGTCAGACAGAGGCATGTCTGGCGAATATGAAGGCTGGGGCATTATTACAGTATTGTTTTTGGCCAAAAATTTTGTTCAAAATTTAACAATTTTCTGCCTTCATACCCAAAACATTCGAAAAAATTTCATGGGATGAGCCAATCGATATACCAACATCATCAGCGACTTATCTGATGGTTTATAACCATTTCTTCCACTTTTTCCATGTTTTTATCGGTTGTTAATGTGCTTGTGCGTTCGGGGCGTTCGTCATCTTCAACGTCTTCACGGCCATCTTGGAAACTCTTATACCACTTGTAAACTCTTGTATTACTTATATCAGACTCACTATAGGCTTTGTTAACATTTCACAGAATTTATTTCATTTTTTAAGCAAAATTGGATACATTTCCATTTCTTTTAACGAACAAAAAATCGCCGAGCTCATAAAACACGTCTAACCTTAGCGGCTGCCACAGACAAAGTAAATAATGAAAACAGCTAAAGTTTTTATCATACTTCGGGGGCATGTACCTATACCAACATAATAAAGAAATTTTTATGACAACCGGACCCTCCGAACCCGCGAAATTTAACAATTCCCGTTATTTTCTGAACACACCCCGTATTATAATAATAACAATCCACACAACAAACCCTGTTTTATCTTGTTTCGCGCATACTAAAAATCACTGCAACACTGCACAGAATCGGCGGCCATTTTTATGTTTATACAGAATAAAAACGTTGTGTTTCTTACAGAGGCACTTGTAAGCCTTAAATGAGGCCTTTAAGTGCTAAGAACAATCATTTTAAACCTTATTCTATCAGGGCTGTCATCAAACTATTAAATTTAAATTTGTGGGTTATGGTAAATTAACCTTAAAATTGAAATTTGACAGTTAATGACAGCCCTGATAGAATAAGGTTTATTTTTACCTAAAGAGGAGTAAAACGGTTGTTCTTAGCACTTTTAGGCTTACAAGCGCCTCTGTAAGAAACTCAACGTTTAAAACGATTATTAATCTGTATTGGGACCACCAATTTTTCCTAAAAAAAGTTAAAACTAACCTAAAAACTAAAACACTGACAGTGGCAATGTCAACCATATAATTAAGGTCGTTTCACACTACGATTTTATATAGAATTTCTAATATTAAGCTGCACATTATAGTTCTCCCACCTCTAATCATTCTGCTAAAGCACGCCTGTGATTGGCTACTTTATTTTATTATAATAACTAATTAATATGTTTTGTTTTATTTGCAGAAAGTTAAAATTAGATCCCGATCTAGATACGGTGTCTGGAGAACTTTTGGATACATCAGCGGCTCGTCACAAACTCTCTGTGAAACCCCGAAGAAAACACGCCAGTTCCAGACATTCCCCAACCAGACTCAATATTAATGCAAGGTGAAGAATCACATATAATAATATACAATTTATTACCTAAAACACTACTGTCTAATCAGAAGTTCAATCAATTGGAACAACCAGAGCTGGAAGTATCTTGAAAAAAAAGATACTTAAAGTATCTAAGATACTTTATCTAAGATACTTTCAAGTAACTTAGATACTCTAAAGTAAATAAGATACTTTGATTCAAAGTAATTACCTACCCAAACAGCAATTTTGGTTCCAAAAACCATTGCAAAGTGGTGATAACTTTAAATTAGTTAAGTATACTAAACAGCTACTTTAATTTTTACTTAAAAGTAATTCTAACTTTTAAATAGCAATATTTTGTAACAGAAACTTAATTCTTTCCTTAAATGGTTACTATAAAGTAATAAACATTTAAGTAAAACTTGGGGGCAACCAAGAAGACTTTGCAACTTTAAAAAAGGTGTTATAAGTAAAAAAAAACTTTTAAGTAAATTTAATTTGTAACAGTTACTTTTGGTTGCTACCTAAAGATTACATTATAATTATTGTTACTTTGTAGTCCCTTTGCAAGTTAAAATCTCGAAACTGGAACATGAGTTAAAAACTACAAAGTTAATAACTTAAAAGTTATTATTTTAGTATTTGGAACGTTTATGGTACTAACCGAAACTACCGTAAAGTAAATTAAGGTGGAAAAAAACTTTAAAGTAGCAAAAACTACTTCAAAGGAAAATGCTTCTTATCGGCCATTTTTTACTGTACAGTACCACGTGGAAATGTAAATAATAAATTAATTTAATTGTTTGTAAATGGTTGTTTACTATTTAATAAATAGTAATTTTGTTGGTAATAGACGGTATTAAAATTAAATTAAAATAAAAAATTAATAATAAATATTAAGATTTTTTTATTTATGAACATTATTAAATAAATAATTTGTTTATACTTAAATATTGATGAAGCGTATCTATTTATTTCACAAAAACTAATTCATAAGTTCACCAGTAAAATTTAAAGGGTTTATAAATTGACCTGTCTAATTAAACATTATATTGTTAATCTGGAAGTTATAAACTACCAGTACATATTTAATAAACGACGACCATTTAAAAAAGGAGGATAGTATAATCTAATATAAGTTTAACAAAGACAGTTAATATAGAAGTAAAAACAAATAAATAAAAGTAATTATAACGCTCTAGCAACGATATTGAAACGTTCTAGTAACGTAGCAGCTACGTTCCAAATAGTAGCAGGGCTTATAGCTAGTGACATATTTGCTACCTTTTTGGAACTCAATAATTGTTCCCCACTTTAGTCGTAACTTAGTAATGAAAGAGTAATATAAAGAGACCGGCGACTGTCGCAAAACACTTTAAAGTTTATTCAATAGTCCCATATACGTAACAAATACTTAAATTGTTGCTTGGGTACAACTTGTTGAATTTTTATAATTTTATAGTTTTTATTCAAACTTAAAAGTAACTTAGTTACTCAAAAGTATCTTAGTAACTTAAAAGTTTCTTAGTTACTCAAAAGTATCTTGGAAAAGTAACTAGATATTTTTCAGAAGTAACTTTCCCAGCTCTGGGAATAACATATTGGTTCTGGTTTGAAATAAATGCTTTAAATCATATAATAAACCATAATTTATATGTTTAGATGGCTTGTTAAAGACACAAACAGCAAAAAACAAGGATGGGTACCATGCAGAGTTCTTCAGACAGCTGACGATCCCGTTCCAGGATCAGGATTGCCAGGGGATGCAGAATTCAGAAGAATGTAAGTGAAAAACAAATTTAACCAAAAAATGTAGATTTGGGTTGTTTTAGGGCGGTTGTAAAAGAACTGGTGGAGACTGAACAGGAGTTTGTTAAAGATGTGGATAAGGTAGTCAAAAAATATTTGAGCATGGAGATTGGGAAAGTCCCGAAGGTTGTTAGAGACAACTTCGAAGTGATTTTCGGGAATTTGACGGAAATTGCGGAATTTCATAGAACGTAAGGAAAACTTTATTTCTTATTATGTTTAAGATCCTTTCCAACTTTTTCTTGAGTCTCTTCTGGATACAAAAGTTTTATTTAGATTTGATATTGTTTTTCTTGTTGCAGTGTTCTTATGGAAGGTGTGAAATACTACGCAAACGAACCTCTACTAATTGGGAAAACTTTTCTAAGATTAGAAAGGGATTTCGACAAACACGTCAGCTATTGTAGGGACGAACCTTCAGCTCAGGAATTTTTGGACACTAACGATGAGGCCAATGATTATTTCGAGGTTAGTAAAAGTTTGTAAGGACTGAAATAAAAGAAAGAAGGTTAAACCTTTTTGTGAAAAACTAGTAGTTAATTTTCCTGTCTTTGAAAATAGCACCCATTTGGTTTGAAAAAGATAAGCAATAATCAGGAAACTTTTTCTTCTTTTAATTTGCAAGTTACTGATCATTAATAGTCCTTGACAATATATACTAGGGTGATTCATTTCCGCAAAGTTTTTGTTTTCTTCGGTGCTCAAGCAAAATATTAATCTGCATATAGAAAAAAAAATTCACAACAAGTTTGAGCTCTTAATATAAATTTTAAGTACTTACTATTTAAATTTAAAGTTTTACCATTTAAAATGCATGTAAAAAATATATTTTTTTTTCAAATTTCTAATGCTTACCCACCTTTGACAATATTGCAAATCGGTTTAATACACTTTATGGGGAATTTCACGCTCTTTAAAATTGCTTTTGAGTTTTTTTTTGTAACTCGCATTGGTTCACCAGTAGGAGTCGTCAAAGGACAGTTTTTGAAAAAATCGTTTTTTTTTATTTTTTCGAGAAAATGGCCGATAAGAAGCATTTTCCTTTGAAGGAATATTCGCTACTTTAAAGTTTTTTTCCACCTTAATTTACTTTACGGTAGTTTCGGTTAGTACCATAAACGTTCCAAATACTAAAATAATAACTTTTAAGTAATTAACTTTGTAGTTTTTAACTCATGTTCCAGTTTCGGGATTTTAACTTGCAAAGCGACTACAAAGTAAAAATAATTATAATGTAATCTTTAAGGAAAGAATGAAGTTTCTGTTACAAAAACAACAAAGTTGCTGTTTAGTATACTTAACTAATTTAAAGTTATCACCACTTTTGTAATGGTTTTTGGATCAACAAATGTTGCTTGGGTAGTTACTTAAATTTAAACAGTTTAAAAAATAAAAAAATTTAAACTTTAAAATGTTTTATTTTGACTATTTTAAAGCTATTTATTGCAATCTGCAATGTTGAAGGTCTATTTAAAAATAAATCGAATACACTATCCTAATTATTTTAGACTTGTTCTAGCGTTACTCACTGTTTACGCAAAACCAAAAATAAATCAACATTTTAATACATACAATTTATAAATGGAATATAACATTTTATGTATTTATAATGTATTGTTAAATTGTATTGATTTCAACTTTAAATTATATTTTAAAGTGTCTTGTAATAAGGCGTTTAATGATAATGGACTGGGTCCAACCAAAATTATCAATTTAGTAACGCGGCAACACAGAATACACAACTGTGTTGAAAAGTCTATATTAAAAGAAAGTTTGAAATAAAAACATTCTATGTAAAAAAAACATTTAAAAAACACTTTCAACATTATCTTATGGTGACTAATATTGTTACTAATCAAATAAATATTTATTATTATTATTCTTTCCAAACCAATATGATTTTATTAACTTTCCCTTTACATTTTATCATAGACATAATTGGCGCCTATTGAAATTAAAACCATTTAATTTTACACCTTTAAAAATAAGATTTTAATTAGGCGTAACAAGTGTCACTATTTATTAAACAGTAATTGTGTGCTTGTGCAATTAAATAAAATAATATTTCGTGCGAGTATAATTATAATGGATAGATCGTTTGTATGAGAAACAAACATACGGATCGCTAATTATATAGATCTATTTCCGGCCCAGCAAACATCATAATGTTGCGTAAAATTCACCAAGCCATTATTAAGTGAAAAAAATCGAACTAAAACCATTAAAATAGGACTGTTTTTTATTTTCTTGTATCGTATTTTGAATGGTCAAGGATTTAAATTTTGATTTTTTTGCAATTATTGACTATCTAAATTTTCTTTTCCATAGTATACTATGTATTATACAGGATAAGTCATTTAACATAAAACTTTGAACACTCCCGTTTGTAGTAAACTGCTTGACTGTACGGTGAAATGAAATACGTGATCGAATTTTATCCGGAAAACGCTGAGCGTAGATATTAACAGCATCATCAAGATTCCTGCCTGCTTCCCCATAAATCAAAATCATTTCTATTTTTTCTTCCACTGTTAAAAAATCCATTATGAATAACTGCTTAACGAAAGGTGGTCTTTTTGTTTGCAAATTAATCTTCGAACTTAATTGATTAAATAATGCTATATGTATAAATAGTTTCTTTATACCTCAATATTAATTATTATTTATAACAAAATACAATTTTTTTATATCTTAATTAGGATTAAATTAATTAATTGACAAAATAATGGTTTTTTACGTTATATGAGGTATTTTTATTAAAAATTTTAAATTAAAGGATTTAATGCTGGCAGGTAAAAAGTGACCATGGTGCGCAATTGATAATTATCACCGAATGAAATAATGTATAAAACTTAAACCAAAGGAAAAAAATCGTGGGTACTAAAATCATATTTAATTTAATAAGATAATTATTACCCAAAAAGTGATATTTTTATAGAAAAAGTATTGCAGAATCATATATAGAAGAAAAATCGAACAAAATTGTTTTTTTTTTCATTAAAGAGCCATTTATTACAAATAGAAAAAATGTTTTAGACAAATATTTCTTAGTATTTTAAAATAATATATGCCATTTCGATAAAATACTCTAAAACAATTATCAAATGTTTTTAAAAATTTGGCAGATACATGACTGAAATATGGATAAATTACATTATAAATACAAAATAATGTAAAATACAGTTATTTATTGTTTTAAGGTATCTAATACAAAACTAATAAATAACTAAAGATTCTTTGAAGCAAAATCGATTACTGCTTGCTTGCCTTAAAAATTCAGTAAAACTTTTTCTTGGGTTTTACATGGCATTGTTTTTAACATGGAAACAGTATTTTTAAATTCTTCAGTCTCTGTACAAACATGCTTCTTACATCTAGCGATATCCCCTAGAAAGGAAGAGCATATCAAAACTTTAGTTCGTTCGTTCGTCCTCTTCCCTTAATAATTTTTTATGCCCTTTATATCTTGCCATTTTGCATATAAAGCACATACTGTCTGTCCACTCTAAGTTGGCGGAACTAAGGAATTTTGTAGTTTAGATATTAAAGAATTGTCGTACTGTGTGCTTTTAAAACACATTTTATATTATAAATAATACTAGTACATATTATATACTAGTATTATTTATAATATAAAATCTGTTTTAAAAGCACACAGTACGACAATTCTTTAATATCTAAACAACAAAATTCCTTAGTTCAGCCAACTTAGAGTGGACAGACAGTACATTCATGGGTGCCGCGAATTTCTTTAGCAATTTCTAAATTTTGAAAATTTGGCAATTGTGGCAATGCAAAAATGCCGTTTTTACCATATTGAAGTAGGTAATTTTGAATCACTTAAGTTAAAGTGTTCGTTTGAAAAAGTCTGCAGTAATTTTTATATTTTCTCAGAAACCCTAAACTCTGAATTTTTCGATTACCAAAAACAATTTTGTCTCCACAGCCAGCACATACCTTCTTTCGATTTTCTTCATGGCTTAACTTGAATTCCGGTTTAATTTTAATTTTAAAGTACTATTTTTAACTTTATAAAGTATACATTAAATAAACCACTAAAGCAAAATGTCACTTGCGTTATAACGTATAGCAATTTTTTTCATAACTACCTTAATTATATAAATCTTCGTTTTTTTGTTATGTTTTGTTTTGAGTGGTAAAAAATAATTGGTGACTCAATAAATTAATACTGGGGAGTAAAGTAATTTAAATGATCGAATCATTTAATTTTTATTTTAAATTTTTTTTCGTAAAATTCATATTCAATATAATTAAAACGAAAATTCCATATTATAATATGGAAATGGAATAATATGGAATATATATAAACAAACAACAACAAATTTCAAGCAAATTCTAGAATGCACCGATCTCCAAAAACTATTTAATCGCATCATCCAAACGGTGAATCAAAACGCTGAAATAATCCAGCGGGCGTCTCAGGCGTCTCGATCACGCAAATACAACGACTAAGCTCGACGACGTCCAAGTATAGCGTCGCGACGTCCAGTCGTAGCGCGTCTTTCTAGTGTGTGTGCTTCTCCTGCTGAACCTAGAAAACCTGCACGTGGATTTATCCCCCAATCCACAGGTAGGCAGTGACGTCATTCTTAACCGTTTTGTTTTGGCCGTACTTGCCCGGTTTACCGGTATATGGAAATAAGTTATATACGAGGTGTGTTCAGAAAATATCGGGAATTTTCGTTTTTTGAAACAAATATTTATTTATTCGTCTGCATTAATGTTGTCGCCTTCAAAATAGTCCCCATTGGATATTATGCACATGTGCCAGCTCTTCTTCCAATACTCGAAACACTTCTAAAACTCGATCTTTGGGATATCCTTTAGTTCTTTCAGCGATGCGCTTTTAATGTCATCTATGCTTGCAAAACGACGGCCCTTTGAGGTTCTCTTTATTTTTGGGAATAGGAAAAAGTCAGACAGAGGCATGTCTGGCGAATATGGAGGCTGGGGCATCATTACAGTATTGTTTTTTGTCCAAAAATGTTGTTCAAAATTTAACAATTTTTGCTGCCACGCGTTTCATACCCAAATCATTCGAAAAAATTTCATGGGATGAGCCAATCGATATACCAACATCATCAGCGACTTCTCTGATGGTTTATAACCATTTATTCCACTTTTTCCATGTTTTTATCGGTTGTTAATGTGCTCGTGCGTTCGGGGCGTTCGTTATCTTCAACGTCTTCACGGCCATCTTGGAAACTCTTAAACCACTTGTAAACTCTTGTTTTACTTATAGCAGACTCACCATAGGCCTTTGTTAACATTTCACAGAATTTATTTCATTTTTTAAGCAAAATTGGATACAAATTCTTTGATCCATTTCTTTTAAGGAACGAAAAATCGCCGAGCTCATAAAACACGTCTTACCTTAGCGGCTGCCACAGACAAAGTAAACAATGAAAACAGCTAAAGTTTTTATCATACTTCGGGGGCATGTATACCAACATAATAAAGAAAATTTTATGACAACCGGACCCTCCGAACCCGCGAAATTTAACAATTTCCGTTATTTTCTGCACACACCTCGTAAATAAAACATTTTTGTGAGAATTTATTGGCAAAGTTAAAAGATATTTGCTGGTTACAAAATTTTTTTTCAGAACATTTCGTTCATATAGCTTTTTTTACTAAGAAATTAAAATTTTTAAATTAGTAATATTTTAAAGTTTCAAAATAAATTAACCTACTCAAAATTTTCCTGTTGATAGCAACAAAATTAATGGATGTTATATTTATAAATACCTAAACTTAAACTGTAAACATTTTAGTTTTCCTTTAACTTTTTGCAAAGCATAATAGATACATACATAAGTCAAATATAATAATAGATTTATTTTAAGATAAACAATTTTAATTTATTTGTGCAAGGTTTAAAAATAACTTTACTTTAATCACCAGATTTATTGGAGATTTTAAAAGGTAAAATATTTTACGCAATTAATTATTTTTTACAATGTTTTAAACGTCTAAAACCTATCCTCCGTGACTGTTACTCTTTCTAGGTTAACCAATATGTTTTCAAATATCTAAGGTAGTAAAATATCAGTTCACTAAGTAAATTAAACACATCCAAAGTAATCGAATCAAATATAAAATATTATTAAAAATTAAAAGAAATAATTTTTATAACCATTTATGTAAAAATTAATTCTATCCTCCGTGAATCTGTTTTTTGCTTTAAATTTTATGCAACGGATGGCGCTTTAATTGTTTTAAATAAGCAAAAACCTCTGTTTACGACATTATAGATGCATGTCATTCCTGAAGGTCAGTTAGAATTTATATGCAGATGAGAGTGTTGCTGTTTTATATTTAAAAAGTTTAAGTTCATTAATTTGCTATTTAAAAACCTATCCACCGTGAAGTGTAATATCTCAGTAAGTAGATTTTTTTATAAATATTTTATGTATGTACATTGTACATTGTACAATTGTATTTTAAAAAAATATTAAGGTGTCAAAAGATACAATAACTTATTTTAAATATACAAAGGGATGTTTTAAAAAAACATGCGAAATCCTAACCTCCGTGAAGCTCTTATATTCAAAATATATGATCTCTTAAAATTCTTGCATTAGTGCAGAACCACTTATGTTATGTTATTACTAGACCTGGTGGCTTCCCAAAAACCCCATTCTAGACTAACAGTAAAACAACCAAAAATAAAAAATAATAATTTTCACTTCAATGAATTTAATACTGTGATCAACAGTTTGATGTATAATTTAATTATAATTTAATTATAATTCTGTATGAATGGCCACATAGTAGCTTATTTAGAAATTGTTTAAAAATACAGGGTGATTCAAAACTCGAGGCGAAAAATTAAAAAATGTATACAGTTTTATATTCTTGATAAAAAATGTAAAATAAAATTTTTGGAGATATGGCTTTGTTTCCGAAATATTAGACTTTAAAGTTTCTGTATGCGACCAATTTAATTTCATAAATTACAGTAAGCCTAGAAATAAGTGAGTTTACTCACCTGGTGACAAAAATTGTTTACAAATTTAAAAGTTGTTTGGTTGTTTTGTAAATCATGCAGTTTTGTAACGAAGAATATGCAGATATTATTTTTGTGATGGCAACGCATTAAAAGCTTGTCGGGAGTACAACAAAATATCTCGCCGGGTGTATTCCGACTCTTATCAAAGGCTTCGACAGTTTGGAATTGGTAATTCCCGTACTGGTTGGTGCTGGTGGTGCTACCCGAAATAATTATTATGAGGCTCTGAGGGAAGAAGAAGTGATAGATTCCAGAAATTAGTATCGGACGCATTGCTGCCCGTCTTAATGTATTCCAAAGTTTTGCTTGGAGAACCTTAAAAACCGAAGTTTTACATCCATTTCATAAACAAAAAGTCCATAATTTGCACCCAGAAGATAACATGCAACGACTCGCCTTTTGTCAATGGCTTCTTCAGCAGCATGAACAAAATGAAAATTTCTTCAGAGAGACGCTTTGGTCGGACGAAGCTATTTTTACTCGGGATGGCATAAATACCTGCCGTAATGAACATGTATGGTCTCTAGAAAATCCTCACGCTTTTAAAGTAAGAAGTTTTCAACAAAGATTCTCTATTAATGTATGGGGCGAAGTCTTTAACGGACAATTACTTCCGATTCAAGTCCTTCCTAATCGTTTGGATCGTTTGCAATTTTTAGAAAACAATCTCATAAATTTGCTGGAAGATTTTCTTGTGGATTTGGTATACAATCGTATGTGGTATCAAGTGCTATGACCTGCGAGATCACCTGACTTGAACCCTTTGGACTATTTTGTATGGGGCCATTTAAAACAACTGGTTTACCCAGTGAAAATTAATAACCAAGAGCATTTATTGGAACAAATAAATAATGCAGTCGAATGCACTCAAAATAGTCAAAACATGCAATTAGTGTACGATTCCCTTATTTTGCTTTGCCAAGCCTGTATTAGTGCTAATGGTGGTATTTTTGAACATTTGATTTAATTATTTTTTATATTATGTATTAAAGTTAAAATTGATCACATGCAAATACTTTGAAGTCTAATATCTTGGAAACAAAGCCATATCTCCAAAAAATTTATTTTATATTTTTTATCAAGAATATAAAACTGTATACATTTCTTCATTTTTCGCCTCGAGTTTTGAATCACCCTGTATATCTATTAAAATAAATGGAATTATTACCTTAAAAAAAGCAAAATAAACCACCATTGTATTTTAATATCGAAACCGACGTCTTTAGTTCTAAACAAAAACACAAAACAAACTTGCTAAGTGGGCGATGACATTTTGGTTCACATCTACAATACACAAATCAAAAACTAAAAATGAAGTCAATTTTTTTTAGATCAACTTTTTTAATAATAATAATCATGATAAACTTATAAGCCAAATTTGGGTTCATCATTAATAATATAGATTTTAACCCATAAAGGGATATAAAAAATAACTTTAACAACGGAATGCAGAATAAACCACTATTGTATTTTAACATTTAACCCACAACACTAAAGTTGACAATGAGATTTTGGTACACAACGTTATTTTAATAACCTAAAAACAACGTGCCCAAAAATATTGTCAAATTTTTTAAACACCCTTTTCATCAATTAAGTTATATTTTTTTTTCTTTTGTTTAGGAGTTGTCACATCGCCTAGGTGACGACAAAAGTATTTCCGAACATTTGAAACTTCCGATACAACGTATAAACGACTATCAACTTCTTTTAAAGGTAAGAAAATAGTTTTAAGGTAAAATTGAAAATGTATATTCATTATTGTACAGCGTACAAAAATGAAGTCTTATGAGTGTTATAATATGAAAATATGGAAAATTATTATAAAATTATTATATTCTCTCTAAAAACTTCGCCTTAAAAAAATTCCTTTCATATTTTTTTTTTGGATCTCTGCCAAGAGTTGACACTAGGTAGATTGAAAGTGATATCGGGTAGAATACAAAGCAAAATATTTTTGAAAAACAAAACAAAAATGCATTAATATAAAATACAATTTAATGAAAAGATTGGCTGTAGTCGAAATTTTAAATTCGTGGCATTGCGGATGGTAGGTGGTTTTTGAACTGGGTCAACATTTTCTATTTTTGAAATTCTAAATTTACAATTGGGGACTGCGAAAATTCTACGAACGAAGTTACTGTGGTCTGACCCTCGCTGAATATTAGAAATATTTTGTAAAAAGACGAGTCATTTAAAATAAATAAGTTTTATAAATAATATATTTGTAATTGCTTTAAATTTTACTTGTAAATTAACTGTAAAGTTTACTTAAATAAAAAGTCAATGAAACAAAAATATCATAATAGCATTCTAAATGTAAAAAATAAAAAATTCTTGGCTCAAAAAATCTAATTTTAAAACGTTGTTCCATAATAAAAAGCTCATTGAAATTACGATACAATATTGCATAAAAAATATTTTAAAAATAGATTTTTTTTAAGAAATAAAAAAAATATTATTTCATAACTCAAATTTTAGATAAATGTATTTTTTGGAATCTTTCCACCACCTATGTTGTAAATAAATACCGATAACTTTATTTTGCAATCTAATGGAATGCAAACAAATTTTTGGAATGCAGAAAAATGAAACAAATTATATTTTGAATTGCAATTGAGATATGAGTACATTAGATGCAAAACTCGGTTTTTGCACATTTTAAAAAAATATATATTTTATCTTATTTATGATCATAACTGCACTGCCCACAGCATAACTAAGTAAACCAGATGCATAAGTTAATATTTGTAGAATAAAATACATTTATAAACTTACCGCAGCTGCAAAACTGGGTATTTGTCGGATGCAAAACTCGGTATTTGACCAATCACCAATCACGTCGCTAGTATACGCATTAACTGACGGCATAACAATCACCTGATTAATTGTTATTTTTTTGGTATTTGCACTTTTCACTTGCAAAACTTGGTCTTTGAACGAGGAAGATGCAAAACTATGTTTTTAAATCTTTTGATTTCAATTATTTACTAAACTACTTAATTTTAAAGGACTTTTTTTTACATTTTTGAATAAGAAATGATGCAAAAGCACGTCTATACGATTTTTGTATTTTTGTTTTCAAATATGACCTTATGAGCGGTTTTTCGTGTTTTTCTTAAAATCACTTATCCTGCAAATACAGAGTTGTGCATCTAATGTACTCATATTAATTTTGAAAATGCGTTTTTGGCAGGTACAAACACCTAAATAAAAAATTGGCAATGAATGTTCCAACAGGTGAATTTTAATTAAAACATAAATAAACAAAAAACAAGATTATTTATACAGGTTGTTAGAGATTTTAGTTTTTTTCAAGAATTTAGTTTTTTTCTTATAAATATATAAAAAAGGATAGTTTGTTTGTTTAATCTTTATTAACATTTACTTAAAAATAAGAATATTTGAATTTTTAATAATAGTTTTATAAAAACATGCAAAAAAATAAAGTAATTGGACATTTTATATACACTCACGTGCAAAATAATCGATCCACACAAATTTTCGATGAATTTCAATCGCAAATAACTTTTTTATTTGATGTCGGATTTAAACGAATATTAAAGAATATTGTAGATAAATTAATGGACAATCGCTCACATTTTAAAAAAAATATTAAAAAATAGACGTACGTTTATAATATACAGGTTTAAACAAAAAGATGTTTTGTACCATACGTTTGACAATCTGTAGAGTGGCAAAACCGTATATTGTTCTAAATTAAGTTTTATTTATTAAGTCACATCTATTCTTAACAGTTTTGTTTTTGGTTCACTAAGGTTGCTATGGTCCATCCATAGCATATGGAGAATGGCAGTGACAGTTTTGTTGAATCATCCCATAATTGGACATGTCATATACAGCTTTCAAATGCTATCAAATTGTTTTTTGTAAATTAATATGTTAATTTTGAGGTGTCTTCTTACTTTTAAAAATGTCTCCGACTGATGTTGCCCTTTGTACTTTACTTCTTATGACGCTTAAAACACTTGCCACGTAATACTCTGACCGTCCATCCTGGATTAAATTAATAGCTCTGGCAACATCAGTCAGAGACATATCCATTTTATAAAGTAAGAAGACACCTCAATATTTAAACATTAATTTGCAAAAAACAATTTGATAGCTTTTGAAAGCCGTGTATGACATGTCCAAGTATGGAATGATTCAACAAAACTGTCACTGTCATTCTCCATAGCCTATGGATGGACCATAGCAACCTTAGTTCTTCATACAGAAAAATATTGGAAATTGCAATGTTTTTTAAAAAAATCCATATTTTCCACAAAAATAAATATATCGAGGTGAACCAAAAACAAAACTGTTAAGAATGGATGTGACTTTATAAATAAAACTTAATTTAGAACAATATACGGTTTTGCCACTCTACAGAGTGTCTTAAACTTATGGTAAAAAACATCTTTTTGTTTAAACCTGTATATTATAAACGTACGTCTATTTTTTAGTATTTTTTTTAAAATGTGAGCGATTGTCCATTAATTTATTTACAATATTCTTTAATATTCGTTTAAATCCGACATCAAATAAAAAAGTTATTTGCGATTGAAATTCATCGAAAATTTGTGTGGATCGATTATTTTGCACGTGAGTGTATAATCAATTTTACATATAATATGGAATTGACTATCTCAGAAACTGCTTTACTTTACCACGAAAGTAACGTGCGAACTTTTTTGTCCTATATTGGACCCAAAATAAAGTAGTTCTATATTATTACCGACTGAGATAGTTATAATTGTATAGAGCGTCATCTAATGATTTGACTTTAAGGTAACTATTTATAGAACTCTTGTTTTTACAGTATTAATGTTAATTGTCCAATAACTGTAACTTAAATTCACATAAAATTTTACGAATTCCTTCTATTTTGACGTTGTCAAATATAAATTTTAACCTAAATTCCAGTAAACAAAACATGTGTCAACTAGCCGCTCTTTTAGACCTAGAAGAATGTGAACCCATAATGTATCTGATATCCACAGGCATGTTACTATACGCGGCCTACTTTATTTATAAAGAAAGAACTGCTGACACCATAGAAACTGTTTTAGGCATTATTTATCCTAATTATTGTTGGAAATATATACAACGCATAACTCTTGGTACAAGAAGAGGCCCTCTTCTGGTTCCAAGACCCAAGAACCTATAGTATTATTCGTTTTATTTTCCAGGAGTTGGTAAGGTATAGTGCGTGTCTTGGCGAAAACAACACCGATCTCCAAAAGGCCCTTGATTTGATGCTAAGTATCCCCTACAGGGCACAAGACGATAAATTCACTTCCAGCATCGAAGGTTATAAAGGTAGCATCCACAAGTTGGGTCGGTTGTTAGCCCATGATAGGTTTTCCGTTACATTTGGAGAAACAACCAAGGAACGCTACTTGTTCCTTTTTAAGGCACGCATTCTTATAACAAAAGTACGAAGAATATCCGACGATAGATCCATATTTCAACTGAAGGATATCATAAGGGTAAGTCATCTTATTTTGTAAATGTGAATGATTTTATCAACAGGTGTCGACTATTCCAAAATAGAAACACAATGAAATATACTTTAAAAAATTATTCGGTTAATGTGCCAAAACAATTTTGCTTCATGAATCGTTTAAGCTGGATAGACTTCAGATTTAGAGCGCCAGAAATTGTACCAAGTATTTTTTTTATCTAGTTTTAATTATGGTTATGGCACTTACATTCATAGCATTCAATGTTTAAGATTTTGATAGGAGCACTCCAAACAAAAATATCTTCTGTCATTCTAGCTTCCCCAAGTTGAAATCAAAGATCATCCTGAAGATAACCAACTTTTCGAACTAGTAGATAAAGTAGGTGGCCAAGCTTTATCCCTTAGAGCTCATAGAGATAATATCAAAGAGTTTTGGCTGCAAGAAATCAGAGAGTTCGCTAAAAACTTCGGTAAGCATATTTCACGAATCAATTATTTGTATTTTTATGCATGACACGATCATTTTTTAAATAGTCGGGCAACAGATCAACCCACTCGAAATGTATTTTCGCCTATAAAAGTGTGGGAGAATCTATTTTTATCCCGCTTAATCACTGTACTACAATTTGGGCATTTATTTAGCACAAATCTCAATGATTGCACTAGCATCATTCAAAACTCATTGTGATGCCTCAATAACATAAAACTTATTTCTCGAAAAATTCTTGTTGTGAAACATAATCTGGCTCCAGCGTAACTAAAAATACAATTTGTTGGCAGATTTTCACTTTTCATCTATCCACCAAACGCGTTAGATAACTCGTCTTGAATACGCTCCCGATAAATTAAACCACCGATTTTTGCAGGCGAATCAGAGGAGGCCGCTGGTAGCGACGAGTTTGCTATCGCGTCACCGCCCACCGAGTTAAGTCACGAAGAAAAGTTAAAGAAAAAAGTTCCCGAAGTCAAAGTTCAAAAGGTTGAAGTCAAAACTGCCGAAGTTAAGTCTAAAACATCGACTATCAAGACCAGTGAAGTTAAAACAGTTGCTGTAGAGTCGAAAACAGTTTCTGTCGCGTCTAAAATATCGAAGACAGTCGAGGAAAAACAAGTAGCCACCAAAACAAGCGCTAAGGTTGAGGCAGTCAAGAAGGAAGAGGTCAAAGTTGGTAAACCCAGTGAAGCTACTGCAAAAGTTGTTCCCAAAGTCGAAACACCGAAGCCTACAAAAGCTGTCGAACCAAAACCTACTGAAACTAAGGTTGTTCCAAAAGTAGAGGCCAAACCTGTTGAAACACCCAAGCCTACGAAGGTAGAGACCAAACCTGCTGAAACACCTAAACCTACGAAGGTAGAGACGAAACCAGTTGAAACACCAAAGCCTACGAAGGTAGAGACCAAACCTGTTGAAACACCCAAGCCTACGAAGGTAGAGACCAAACCTGCTGAAACACCTAAGCCTACGAAAGCTGTTGAAACAAAACCTACTGAAACAGTTGTAAAGGAAGAACCAAAGTCAACAAAAGAAGTAGTCACACAGAAATCAAGTGATTCAACCACAACTTCCCAAGTCATATCTCTAGATGCTTCCATCGAGACCAAAAAAAGAACAGTAGAGCTAAGCGAGGAGGAAGAGCTTTCGGCAGAACACCATTTGAAGCGCATCAAAGCAGTGGAACCTTTAGTGCATCTACACGACAAAAAAGTTCTCGAGGAAATCATCCCGTATGTGCCAAAGAAGCCACCACAAGTGTCTGGTAGTGCTCTAGATAAGTTGTACAGTGTAGAATCTTTGGGTGTTAGTGATACCATTATAACCGAATATAAAGTTGGCGTTGAAGTCAATGTTGAAGTCGACGATATGAGTAGGAAGTACACTTCTTCCTCTGCAAGGGCAGGTTAGTTTTGTGTGAATTATAATAAAAAGTTTTAATACTAACATTGTGTTTTATTCTATGCTTGATTAATATCCAAGTGTTTAGCTAAGGTTTGGCCTTCAAATATGCAGTTAACAAGTAAAAATTATTTAAAGGTCAAACCTTCTTTTTAACCAGTGTTTCCCATACTCATACACTCCACACTTCATTTATCAAGAAGTAAAAATACGCTATGGATTCTACGCTTACGCATAACATCTTCAAGCTCCGCAAAACTCCTCTTAAACAAACATAAAATGTAACCTCCTTATTCACAGAGGGAAATTTAGAATCATCGTATAGTAGTAGCAGAAAAACTGGTTCCTCTTCCTATGGAGCTGATGGTTTATCATCCAAGTACAGCAGTGATTACTCTAGCAAATACGGCACTGATTCTGCCTTGGGAGGAACTAAATACGATTCGCTAACCTCCAAATACTCATCCGCATCATCAAAATCGTACTTGGAAGGAGGCGATACCTCTAAATACTCATCAGCCTCATCGAAATCTTACCTTGAAGGAGGCGATAGTTCATCTTACTCGCGTAAAGCTTTATCCAGCGATGCTGATAAAGATTACTCGTACTCGTCAAGACCATTTAAATCCAATGTAGGCGATGAAGACATCATCAATAGCTACTCGAGAAAAATGGGTGGCCTTACCAGCGGTGACGATGAAGGTGGTTACTCCAGCTACACCAAGAGGTCTACCAGATCCGTTACTCAATCCCACGAAGAAGGTGATGGAGATGGTAGCTATAGCTACAGTAGAAGATCTATCCGTGGGGCAGTAGAGGGCGTTGGTGACGGTGACTCGTACTCGGTGAGGAAGTCCATAAGAACCTCCGTGGAAGGCACTGGTTTAGATGCCCCAGAAGTTAACTCTTACTCCACCAGTTACTCCAAACGTTTGGGTGACGATTCAAAGTACTCCATCAGAGGTACTTCAACTGGAGACGAGAGTGATTACACTAGCAAATACTCGAGAAAATCTCGACTCGATGACTCGGAGACTGAACAATTACTCGCTAAATATTCGGGCAAATACGAATCTATTGCGGGAGAAGAAGAGGAAGATAAGTACGAAAAATACAGAAGGAAGTATTCCAGGACTGATTCTTCCGCAGAACCCACTACCAAAGACGAAGAAGCCTCAAAGTACACCAAGAGGTACTCCAGAACAAGTTCGCTGGATAAAAAAGCCGAAGAGGATGACCCATACGAAAAGTACGCCCGTAAGTATCTTAGAGCTGAGTCTAGGGAGAACAGCCGAGCGAGAACTGAATCTGTGGAGAGAAAAATTCAAGAGGAAGAAAGTTTTTCTTCCAAGAAATACTCTAGGGTGGATTCGGTGGATTTGCCACCAAAACCCAAAAAGAAATCCGATGGTGAGTAACTAAATCGAAAAAACACTTAACACTGCATTTATTCTGTAGTTTTTTTGTAACGTCAATAGTGCAGTAGTATTATGTTCCATATTTAATATAATTACTATTTTTTTAGAAACTACTTCCGTTAAATCGTCAATTGAAGAATCAAAATCAGAAATTAAAGCCGAATCTCACACTGAATCACACGAATCAGTTTCATCTTCAGTAAAAGTTAGCGAATCATCGACTGAGCAAGTCAAGGTAAGTTCTACGGAGTCAGCAAAGATCAGCGAAAAATCATCAGTAACTGAAAAAACTACCGAACAAGCCAAAGCAGCTGAAGAAGCAAAAATGGCTGCTAGAATTCCAGAACCAGTCAAGGTTGCCGAGCCAGCAAAAGTGTCTCTCACCGAGAAATCAGCGCAGAAAGTCACAATGAGCAAGGAATCCGCTGTACACGAAAAAACCGCCACCGAAAAGCTGATCGAGTATACATCTGAATCCGACGATCGTCCTAGGTTCATCAAAACCATACGTGGTGCTAATATAGAACGTAAGTCACCAATATATTTATTATAGTTGCATTCTTCACTTTCATAACTGCTTTTCCTAACAACAGCCGGAGAAAGTGTAACATTAGACGTAGAGCTCAACTCTGAACCCTCATCGTTCATGTGGTTAAAAGACAACAAATATTTGAGCGAAGACGCGGAGATGTCAGGTAGGATTCAGGCTACCAAGTGCGAACAAAGACACGAATACATGCTTAAAATAACGCAGGCGAGGGTCGAGGATTCGGGAATGTATTCCGCCATTGCAATGACTGACACATGGAGAGCCAGCTGCTCTGCGCATCTTATAGTTCATGAACGTTAGTTGCTTTTTGCTTGCATTGTCTCTAAATGTCTTGTCCTTTTCAGGGTTTTAACTGTCCAAATGTGTAGTGTAAATAAATGTATTTCTTTTTGGTTACAGAGTATTTAAACAAATAAATGTCGTTTTTATTTTGTTGCTTGTAGAGAGATAATCAATTGATTGCAATTTATATTTTAGTTACAACTGATGAAAGACAGGAACGAGAATTAACAGATCACCCAGTCTTTATCGTGTCAATGAAAGATGCTGAATTATTGGAAGACACATACCTTCGTTTCATGGTTAAAGTTGCTGGTGAACCTAATCCAGAAGTTTGCTTGTAAGTGCATCCACTAAATTAATGATAATAAATTAATAATACCACTTAAATTGCAGCTTCAAAGATGGTTTAAAGATCATAGAGAGTAACGATCACTTTGAAGTGGTTAAGGAACACTCAGATAAAGGTTTTTACGAACTTATTATCCCAGTGGTGAAAAAAGAAGACGCCGGTGTATACAAGTGTGTTGCCACCAATAAATTCGGTGAAGCACACTCAGAATCAACTGTTACAGTAACAGGTATGTTACATCAGCATTAGGGTGATTCATTTCCGCAAAGTTTTTGTTTTTTTCGGTGCTCAAGCAAAATATTAATCTGCATATAGGAAAAAACATTCTCACCAAGTTCGAGCTCTTAATATTAATTTTAAGCACTTACTATTTAAATTTAAAGTTTTACCGTTTAAAATGAATGTAAAAAATATATATTTTTTTTCAAATTTCTAATGCTTACCCACCTTTGACAATATTGCAAATCGGTTTAATACACCTTATGGGGAATTTCACGCTCTTTAAAATTGCTTTTGAGTTTTTTTTTGTAACTCGCATTGGTTCACCAGTAGGAGTCGTCAAAGGACAGTTTTTTTTTTTTATTTTTTCGAGCAAATCGCCAAAAGTAGTGAGAAAAAAGGGCTGATTCATAAAAAAAAAAGTTATCCAACCAATATTTAATGAATTTACTGCCATTTTTATAACTGAAAACGTAAGAAATTGATAAATACCAACCCATAATGTTATTAAGATTAATTTTTTCTATTTATTATCATTATATTTCCCTACACTAAGAACTTTTTTAAAATTATTATGACTTCTCACTCATAATGAATATGAAAACAACACATAAATTCATAAAAAAACAACAAAACTTTAATAGGAATATACAGAAGGTTATGTAACATATTTCAAATTTCAAAAAATTAAATAATCTTCATTTATATTTTTTGCTATATGACAGAAATGTTGAAAAATTGCAAAATCCACGTTACAATTTTCTTATTGTTTTTTTATGAATTTATCTGTTGTTTTTATATTCATTATAAGTGAGAAATCAATAATTTTAAAAAACTTCTTAGTGTAGGGATATATAATGATAATAAATAGAAAAAATCAATCTAAATAACATTATGAGTTGGTAATTATCAATTTCTTACGTTTTCAGTTATAAAAATGGCTGTAAATTCATTAAATATTGGTTGGATAACTTTTTTTATGATTCAGCCCTTTTTTCTCCCTACTTTTTGCGGTTTGTTAGAAAAAATTTAAAAAAAAAACGATATTTTTCAAAAACAGTCCTTTGACGACTCCTACTGGTGAACCAATGCGAGTTACAAAAAAAAACTCAAAAGCAATTTTAAAGAGCGTGAAATTCCCCATAAAGTGTATTAAACCGATTTGCAATATTGTCAAAGGTGGGTAAGCATTAGAAATTTGAAAAAATATATATATTTTTTACATGCATTTTAAACGGTAAAACTTTAAATTTAAATAGTAAGTACTTAAAATTTATATTAAGAGCTCAAACTTGTTGAGAATTTTTTTTTTCTATATGCAGATTAATATTTTGCTTGAGCATACAAAATCATTATATTATAACGTAATAATTTCAGACAACAAACAAATTTTCGAAGATATGCCAGAAGGTGAAATCTTGGGCCCTGGTAGGCGTTCGTCGTTCCACTGGAAGAAGGACGGAGTTCCTTTTGAACCGGAAGAACGTTTCAAAGTTCTAATGGGCGATGACGAGGATTCCCTCGCCCTAGTCTTCCAACACGTTAAACCCGATGACGTAGGTCTTTACACTTGCGTAGCTCAAACGTCCCGAGGCCACATAAGTTGCAGCGCTGAGCTTACAGTCCACGGCACTGTGAATCAGTTGTTCAGAGAACCCGAGAAGCCCAAGCTCGTTATAGAAAAGAGAGATCCTATTGTGAACGCTGGAGGATCGGCTATGCTGGAATTACAAGTTAAAGGTTACCCCAAGCCTCACGTCAAAGTTGAACACGACGGCAAAGAATGTGAAGTTGGATCTAAATACAAGTGAGTAATAGTTTTTATTAGGTCTATAGCTATAGTACACAAAAAACAACATACAAATGTCATATTTTGTTCATTCAGGAAAAAGGAAAAAATTGTTAAAACCAGCTCAGACGAAAGTGAGCAAAAATATGTGTAAGTGAATAGAAATATTATTTCTATGTATGCACAACTATTTTCTGTTTCTTGGCACTCCTCCACTATAATCTACACCATAAGCTTTTGTTGTTTACAAAAAAAATTAAAAAACAGATTTTCATATATACTTTCTTAGGTTCCTTTATGAAGACGATGAAACTATGTCTGTGGTAATCAAGGATGTTCAAAATGAAGATGCTGGTAAATACACAATCACAGCCTCCAACGATCTCGGCGTAGACTCTGCTGAGATGTCTCTTACAGTCAAATGTAAACATATGCAACAAAAACTAGATTACCAAGATTAACTCTACCATTTTAGCCCCTCCCAAAATCAAATCTGAGATCAAGGATATGGAATCCCACGCTGAATTGACGATCAAAATGGAGGTCGATTTGGAAGGTACGCCAAAACCTACGGTGGCCTTCTACAAGGACGGTAAAGTCGTAAAGAAATCGGACAGGATTAAAATTCTCGAAGAGGCCACCAAACATACTCTCGTCATCGAGAAATCCACTCTTAAAGATTCTGGTATGAAGTTTACCTCTTGATTAAATATATATTTACTAACTTGTAATATTTTAGGCTCCTATTCGATTGTAGCGACGAATGAGCTAGCGCAGGTATCGAAATTCTGGAATTTGGATGTTTACAGCAAACCCAAGTTGCTTTCCAAGTTGGGCACTGAAAAAGTGGTATCTCAAAACGAAAACTTCGAACTGAAGGTCAAAATAGAGGCTGAGCCCAAGCCAGAGGTCAAATGGTACAAGGACGAAGAAGAAATTAAATCAACCGATCATTTTATGGTGAAAGAGGATGGTGATTGCTACATTCTAAGGGTGACAGGTGCTGTTACAACCGATGCCGCCAAATATAAGTGTAAGGCTGTTAATATACATGGAAGCGTTGATGATGACATTACGGTGTGGGTTAAAAAGGCGCCCAAGATTATCAAGGGCCTTCAAAATATGACGGTTACGGAACACGATAAAGATGTTACATTCGATGTTAAGATGGAGTCGTACCCCAAACCAGCGGTGAAATGGTACCTCGATGAAGTCGAAATTAAAGAAACTAGATCGGAATTTACTAGAATGGAATCGGACGATGGGGTTAAACTGATAATAAAAGAAGTAACTAGCGAACTTTCAGGGCAGTATACTTGCAAACTAACCAACGAATGCGGCGGCTGCGAAACTTCAGCGAAGTTAACAGTAAACTGCGCCCCACGCATCATCAAAAAACTCAAAGACGTAACTGTGGAAGAGGGATCAACTCTACACTTAGAGGTAGATGTAGAAGGTTGCCCACAACCAACTGTAAAATGGTTGAGGAATGGAAGGGAAGTATCAGCTGATGCGAGAATCAAAATAAGTCGCGACACGCAAAGACAAGAGACGTACAATCTCGCAGTGAACTTGATCAAGTACGAGGAACAAGGAGAATACGAAGTCATAGTGACCAATCAGTTGGGCACTGTGAGCTGCAAGAGTTTTGTTACCGTACATAGTAAGTATTCGATCATTAATTTATTTAAAAGACATACTTCGAGTATTTGTAAGTAGTTCTCCTTAAACGTACTGTAAACATGTTTTCCCCTGTGATGTTATGTTTGTTTCCCTTACCAACCTTACAGAGGTAACACACACTGACGCCATAGAGGAAACAGGGGAACCACCCCAAAAACTCAAAGTCGAGGTTGTAGAAGACGAACCTGAAATCGCCCAGAAAGCCGATAAAGAAGCAATCGAAGAAAAGAAACCCGAAGAAGCGAAAAAACCCAAGGTTGAGGAGCCCAAAAAGGGTCAAGGTATACTTTTAACATTTTTTACCAATCAAACAATGAACCGTTACATATTATCAGTAACTGTGATTTTACGCTTATTTGCAACAGCTTTTGTCCTTTGTTTAAAGCAATTACAGTAGTTTTGCCCCCCTAAATTACAAGTTACGTAAATAAAAACAATAAACATGTAATATTACATATACATTAAACAAAACTAGGTACACTAGCAGACAAGAAAACTCTCGAAGTAAAAGATCAAACTCCAGAACCAATCGTAGAAGAACCAATGTCCCCTCAAAACTTGCAAAGATGCATTTCTGCTTCAATTGAAGAAAGGACTGAGAACGCATTGGGAGACGATTTTAAACCCAAATCAGCTGAAGAACAAGACGTGCCCAAGCCAAAATCAAAACGTAGCAAGTCGGTGCATATAGAGGAAATTATTGAGAGCGAAGTTGAAACACCTGCACAAACCAATGCGGATGCCAACAAAAAATTGAAGAGAGGCATATCAGCTACCAAAGAAACCATCGAAGTAGTAGAAGAAGAAGAAGACCTAAAAGCAAAGAAGCAAGATGTCTCTGAATTGGACACCAATAAAAAATTAAGGCGCGGTTCTTCAGCTACCACCGAAGAAATCGAAGTAATTGAGGAAAGTAAACCGAAGAAGGCTAAAGAAGCCGACCTGGAAGTGGACTCTAACAGAAAGTTGAAGAGGGCGATATCGGCGAGAAAAGAGTCCATAGAGGTAATAGAAGAGGAGAAATCTCCTGAGAAGCCCGAAGAAACCGACTTGGATTCTAATAGAAAGTTAAAGAGAGGCATATCGGCAAGGAAGGAGTCCATAGAAATAATCGAAGAAGAAAAAACCGCCCGTAAAGTATCAAGAACTGATTCTATCGATGAAGATTCTAAACCTAAGCCGCGACAAGGCAGACGAGCCACTATTGAAGAAATAAAAGTAGAAGAAAATGAAGACACCAAGAAACCAGAAATCAAGAAACTTGAAGACACCAAACCTGGCAAACCTGAAGGTATAACAACAATGTATTATTTGTGCACACAACTATACACTTATGTCTTGAATAATAAAACACTATAAATACTTTTATACGCAAATACACTATGCATGCTCTCAAATGTGGTATTAAATATAGTCTTATTCAAACAGTCATTAACATCATTACCGGATTTATTAAAAGTTCAGTGTTTAGTTTGAATAAAACTATACGTATCTAGTACTTTTATGTTTTTATGTGCACCGCTTTAGATACATGTGCTGATTTAACGGCAAGCTCAAAATGCACTGCTTTTACTGTAATCAGGTAAGAATAGGTTTTTTATCACATAACTTAACTGCTTTGTATATGGCACACGTAAGTTACGTATTATGTATGTACTATGCTCCACACCTCAAAGTCCCACCACGTGACCACGTACGGAACGCAGTCTTTTGAAAATTTGCCATTTAAGGCTTTTCAGGTTATGTATCTGTCAAAGTATATTCAATGAAAGAAATAATATTTATAGGGTTACAACTTATGTTTAAGCGTTAAAAGTTAATAAATCTTTATAGTATCACAATAACAATGATTGGTTTAAGAATTTAGGAATATAAATACTGCATTTAATGAAATTCCAAAGTGTAAGGTGCAATTTAAGTTATATTTTTGTGCATTGGGTCTACATTTCTCCATAAAATAGTTTTAACTAAACAGCATTTATTAAAAAAAATCTAACTTCTCTATTATGAAATAAGAATATCTGTATCAAAAGTAGGTTAATGTATAAGAACAAAAAATATCATCTAATTTTGTATTTTAAGGTTAGAAAAATCTATTTTGACCAAAATAAATAAGTGGATTATTTGAAAGAGTGTGTTAATATGGTCATAAATAAATATAGGTATACTAAATAATTGTTGAATATAGTTCAAATTAAATTGAAGCTTTTATACTTCTAACGACAAAACTTGTGCATACCTCTCGGCATACTTACTTAAAGTTAGATTATAAGAAAATAAACAATTTTTAGAGAAACTTGCAATGTGAAAATATTTAATACTCCCATGACATGTGATTTATTAAATGATTTTTTGATGTAGATCAAATTCAGTCGAAGCTTTTTAACTATTTGTATTGACAAAACTTTATGTAGGTAAACTTTAAGCTGGATAAGAAAACCTACCACATTTTTAAATACCATATTATACAGTCTTTTAAATAATCCAAAATACTTATTTATTTTGGTCAAAATAAATTTTTCTAACCTTAAAATTACAAAATTAGATGATATTTTTGTTATAATATATTAACCTACCTTTAATACAGATATTCTTATTCCATAATAGAGAAGCTAGTTTTTTTTTAAATAAATGCAGTTTAGTTAAAATTATTTTATGGAGATATTTGGACCAAATGCACAAACATATTACTTATTTGGCACCATACACTTTAGAATTTCATTAAATGCAGTATTTATATTCTTAAATTCTTAAACCATCCATTGTTATTGTAATGTTATAAAGATTTATACATTTTTAACGCCTAAACATAATATTATTTCTTTCGTTGACTATACTTTGACAGATACATAACCTGAAAAGCCTTAAATGCCAAATTTTCAAAAGACTGCGTTCCGTACTTGGTCACATGGTGGGACTTTTGAGATGTGGAGCATAGTCCTTTAACCTGCAATCATTCTTAAATTTATTTTGATTTATTCAGCTGTGCCAGTCATTTTGGACACGAACATGAAGGATGGTTCTCGTCCAGAGTCTTTGGACGTTACTTACATAGTAAATGGGACCGCCAACCCATTACCAGTGGCCACATGGACTTTAAACGGTAAAGAAATCAAACCCGATGCTCATTTAAGAATGACAACGAGTCAAAACGGTGAGGAGTTCCGCTTGGAAATAAAGAAATTGGAAATGAGAGATGCTGGTACCTACGAGGTTATTTTGACCAATGCTTTGGGAGAAGCTAGGCAACAAGCTGTGCTAGATGTTACACGTAAGGAGATAGGAGAGTTTTAAAATAGTGTTTACGTAATTAATTTCAGCTGAGAAAGATCTTAGAAGACCGAAGATCAAACAAGGACTGAAAGATGAGGAAATCATCAAGAAAAATTCAGTCACATTCAAGGCTGTGGTGATTGGAGATCCAATCCCTGAAGTAACATGGATTAAGAATGGGAAAACGCTTAAGGAAAAAGATTTCGAAGCTTCCAAGATGATTTTGGAGTCAGAAGACCACGAAATAGAAGATGGTCTTAAAGAGTGCACTTTCTCATTGACAATACCCAGATGTAATAATCATATTATTAAAAACAATACAAAAATACCATAACAATATTTTAGGTGAAAGAAGCAATGCTGGCGACTACACATTCAAAGCCAAAAACAAGTGGGGCGAAGCTGAGAGTTCAGCCCATCTGGAAATAATTCTCAGGCCTGAAATTGAAGGTCCAGAAGATACGTCGGTGGTACCAGGAGAAGCGACATTATTCGAATGCGTAATTCAATCGAACCCAGTTCCCAAAGTAGTTTGGAGTAAGGATGACCAAGTGGTGGAAGCTGGCGAATTCATTAAGATCATAGAAGATGTACCCAACGAGAAATACACGTTAATTTTCGATAAAGTATTGTTGGCAGATGAGGGACACTACAAGGTCACAGCTACCAATAAGTTGGGAGAGACATCCTCCGAAGCCAGATTGAAGACTATCAGTAAGTTTTTTTGATAACACTATGATAGTTTTACAAACTTTTTTCCTAACATTAAGTACTCCAGCTTGGTTTAACTAATTTTGGGCCGCTGGTTTCAAATTTCAATTCTTTCCGCTATACCTCTAGATTTGCAATTACTTGGTGAAATCGTTCTCCATGTTCATCAGTTCGGCAAATTTATCAGGATGAAAAAAAAAGAAAATGTATTTTAAATGACATATTAACGCTAATTCTTTGCAAAACGGAAAGCATTTTTTCAATGAATTGGCGGCAATTTTAGGCCCGATACGAACCAAGAACATTTTCAATGGCAGCTTTAACACTGCCATATGCGACAAGCTCGTCAACTTTGTGAGCATTTTTGAATGCTTGATCTTTCATTAAACGTCGTATATCAGGTCCATTTAATATTCCTGCAAAATTAAAGTAGTAGGTGTATCTCATAAAATTTTGTAATGAAATATTGCGTTGGTTTTTCTTGGGCGTAAAGGTACCGCAACAAAAACAAAACAAATTTACAACGACGACATAAATCTCTTTCTCTGTCACTTCCATTACCACTTTCATTTCCTGCTCTTTTTTCATTTTTGGTTCTTAAAATCACTTTCAAGTAAAAATACAATTTAAAGTTTAAATTTTAAATGGCACTTTAGTGTGCTTGAACGATAAAGTAGATAAAGGCGCCTTTATACTTCAATTCGATATTAAATTTTGATAAGACTTAATAAATAAGATTCGAGATTAAATTTTTACGTACTTTAGGCATGATGTGAATAAAAACATATTAAATAATAGTCGAAAAGTAATGCTTATACCTAAACCCATTTACTTGTTTGCCTTTTCCATTTAATTAGTAATTAAAAAAACGACACAAAAATTTCAAAAAATAATACTTTTTACCAAAAAAACATTATAATTTTAGTGTTGGTATTTAATAAAGCACTTCGAAGATCTCTGCAGAAAAGTGCTTTATTAAATATCCCTTATACAATACTACTATAGTATACGGCTACAATGGAACAAACAAAATTTCTATTTGACATTTATCTACCGATGACTTTGTATGGAGTTCCTGTATATTTTTGACAAAAAATCGATGGTTATTTGACAAAACATCGTAAGCGGCAAAACCTAAATTTTACAGGAGAGATTTTTTTTGTGTGGGAGCTTTATTTTTTAAGTTATTTATCTGAAAACTGATGAGGCATTATTTTATTAATGTAGAACTTAAATATTTAAGTTAGATCGAATCCAATCTAAAATGTTCATTAAATTTTGTGGCATACGATATTTTATAAGAACATCTTTAGGAAAATGTAAAAATAGTCTTGTCGCTTAAGTTACATTTACGTTACTTTGTGGGATATAGATTTGATGATTACTTTTGTCAAAACATTGTTAGCGACATTTACTTTTTTACTTTTATTATCAAATAAAAAATAATTACAATAAAATTAATTTATATCACCAACGATATATTGCCAAACAATGTTTGAAAATCTAGCTTTCTTTGAAAAAAACGAAAGATTTTTATTCACAAACCAGTATCTAACCCATGGAGCCTACACAAGGAGCCCGAACTTAATGTCTGTGCAAACCAACCTTTAGGGACATTTTTGACAAGATGACAAGCAGTTTCAAAAAGTTGACAGAGAATCTAACCTTAAAACAATACAATCAACAATGAAATACGTCAAACTGACAACTTTCAGAAAGTAAGGTTAGAGGTTACTAAAGGCAGTTTTACATTTTGAAATCAACTGAATGACAGGTCGTTCGAAATTTTTTGGCCGTCATCTAACCGTTATAAATTTGAGTTAAATTATTTGACGTTATAACAACATACAATTACTACAAAAAACACTTTTAACGTAAAAACAATTATAATTAGGATAACTATTATTAATGCAATGATAAAAAGGAATTATAAGCTTTTGATCAAATAAAATATTGTTTTAAAACTTGGTAGCAATCACAATTCACATTGTGGATTGTGGTAGCAATCGCCACGATGCAGGTATACCCACGAATAAACTGTTTAGAGCGGGAATAACGCCTTGATAGATCAAGGCGGGAGCACAATATTATCGTAAGCGACACAATGTTAAATCGCGAACGCCATGTCTCGGAGTTGCTTACGATTATTTGTCAGGAACATATAGGCGCTTACGTTATAAATCGGTAACAAATTAAAAAGAAGAGGCGCTTACAATAATAAAAATATTCAAACTGACCAATATTAGATTCCAAAATTGGAATAACTATTATGTTAACATGTGCAGCTTATCGTAACTGACATTTTGATAAAATAAAAAGTAATTCAACAAAATTGTCGCTTACGATGTTTTGTCAAATAACCATCGATATACTGAACATCCAAACTAGATTAAAGGCAAAATAATTTAGTATATAATCAAAATAGCATTTTATTACGCAATTATTTCGAATCCTAGACGTCCTGGAGCAAAACGAGTGGCATTTTTGAAATCAGCAGCCCAAAATTAGGTAATATAGGTGGGCGTACTCAATGTTACTAAATTGATTATAGTGTAATTTTATGTTAGTGTCAACACATAAAACCACATGATATTAACAAACCTTTACATTTACAGAAGAGACCGAACCAACGAGTAAGTTTGAACGCTTAGCGAAATGTATATAAGACCTAATTTGCTTAAAGCGTTTTACATAATGTTTATAACACAACTATTAGATACCTATATGCACTTATTTTAATGTTACACGCACTGTAGATTTAAATGCCAACCAAATGTACTACTTTAAGTTTATTTTAACGCATTCGTTTAATAGCCGAAAGACCAAAGTTCATCAGTCCTCTAACGGATGACCAAGTGGAAGACACCGGTGAAACCACTTTGCATGTTAGAGCTGATGGTTTACCCAAACCGGAAATACGGTGGTACCTCAACGGCAATCCGATGGTGGAAGATGAACACCACAAAATCTCCACCGAGACTGGTACCCAAGTCACCAGCAACCTCACTATTTCGAACTACAACCTGGCTGATGTCGGATACGTAAGATGTTTGTTTTATAGTTTAAAAAAAAATATTTGAATATTACTTGTAGTACAAAGCTGTGGCTATAAATGTTGTTGGAGAAGCGGAGACGTCTGCGCGGGTTTCCATGCAACAAACTCCACCAACGTTCGGCAAACGCCTCGATAGAAATGAAGAATGCAACGAGGGCGAACCTTTGGAACTAAAAGCCAAAATACACGGCAGCCCGAAACCAACTGTGGCGTGGTTTAAAGACGGCGAACCAATCGATCCCAACGACGAAAACATCAAGACCACTTTACTACCCGATGGTACCGTCAAGTTGAATATACTGAATGCTAAACCAGGGGACAGTGGGGCTTATAAGCTGGTTGTAAGAAATGCTAACGGTGAAACGTCTTGCCTGTGTGCTGTGGCAGTAACACGTGAGTAAATAATAATAATAATAATAACTTTATTTAGCAATAGCTATTTACATTCACAAGTTATAAAACAAAACAAGTCACTCTTAAAAACTACTTTTAACATAAACGTTTAAAGATTGGTAAGTTATCACAGTTTTTAATATCATCAGATAAATTATTATACAGACTAAAACCTTTAAAAAACACACTGTTGAAAGTTCTAGTAGTGTTACAGGTTTTCATATAAAAATCATTTCTGTTTCTAGTATCATGATTATGAACTTCATAAGCATATGTTACATTTTCTAAAAGATAATTTGGCAACAGTTTATTTTCTATTTTGTGTATAAATTCTAATGTTTTAAAAACAATTTTTTGTTTAACAAACATAAAATTAAGAACATTTAACATGGTTACAATAGGTGTATATCTATTACAACATAAAACAACACGCATAGCTCGATTTTGAATTTTTTGTATTTTATTTATGTCACCTTGGTTTGAGTTAATAATAATATTGTAGAGCAAAATTCTAAATGAGGTAAAATTATTGACTTGTAAATTAAAATTTCTATTTAAAAAGTAAACTTTTTTTGACATTTTATTCATTAAATAAATTGCGTGATTCCTAAATGATAACGTTTCATCAAAAATTATACCTAAATATTTTATTTCTGTTACTCTCTCAAGTTTTATTCTATTAATATAGACATTTAAAGGAGCATTTCACCAAATGAGCCTATATTTTGAGCCAAACACGATAAACTTACTCTTTTTTACATTTATACATAAGCCATCTATATATATGATATAAATCATTATTAATACATATGTATTAATAATGATTTAGATCAATATTGTAACATGTGTAAAACATCTTTTCCACATATATACAACATAGTATCATCTGCAAACATGCATATTTAACATTTTTTTACAACTTTTACAATATCGTTAATATATAGAATAAAAAGAATAGGACCTAACACTGTACCTTGTGGGACACCATGGTCATTTATGATTTCAGTTGATTGACAATTGTTATATTTAACATTTTGAGTCCTACCGGTAAGGTATGATTCAAACCACTTTAATACAGTCCCACCAAGACCAATCTTATTCAGTTTTCTTAGCAAAAAATCTCTGTTTATTGTTTCAAAGGCTCTACGAAAATCTAGATAGAATACTGCTATAACATATTCACCTTTGTCAAGGGCCTTAAGCCAAACATCACTTACATTTATTATCACAGCCTCACAGGAATGTTTATATCTAAATCCAGATTGGGTTTGTACTATCACAGAATTGTTATCACAGTATTTAAGTAGCTGATCCTTTACGGCTAGTTCTAAAATCTTCTCATATGGGGGGACAGTGTTTATTGGACGAAATTCTTCACAATTTATAGTATTTGGAACTTTTGGGACAGGTACTATTGCAGAGGTTTTCCAATTACTTGGAACTATTCCATCATTTAAAGAATTATTTATAACGTCTAGAAAACGATTTCCAATCACATTGAAACTATTTAATAGGACATTTGTTGAAATACCGGTTTTTTAATGTTTTTATATATTTTTTTAATGTATGCATATCCAAATTTTCAAATTTGTCAAATTTTTCATGTGTATCTATGTCATGAAGAATGTTTACATGATCTTCAAACTTATTAATTTTCTTTATTATATCTTTTATACTTTCAACAAAAAAACTATTGAATTTATCAGGAATATTTGGACCTGATACTTTATTATTTTCAAATTTAATTTCATCAGGTAGAGAACTTTCCATTTTATTTGGTAATAAGAGTTTCCATAATTCTCCACTGTTTTTTTATTTGAGTCTAGTACATCATGAAAGTCATTTCTGGCTATTTTGTATTGTAACCAGTCATTTTCAGTATTAGTAATTGTTGCAATTTTATTTTTATTATCTCTATTTTTCATTAACTCTATAATTTTTCCATTCATCGATTTTTTGTTTGCATGTTTTGATGTAATAAAATATACAATTACGAGCATAAATTTATTTGCAGAAAAACCCAGAAGACCGAAATTCTTGAAGGTATTCAAGGACGTTAAGGTTCCTCTAGGCGAAGAACTGCGTTTGGAGGCCAAAATTGAGGCGTATCCTCCACCGGAAGTCAAGTGGATCAAAGACGGTCTCCCTGTACGCGCCTCGTCAAACATCCACATGGAAAAACACCCGGATGGTATTATCGCTCTTGTGGTGGACTGCATGAGGCCTGAGAACGCCGGCAAATACCAAGTTATAATTTCGAATAGGTTGGGAGATTGTACGGGTGACGCTAAGGTTGATATCGAAAAAAAACCATCTAAACCTGAATTCACCACCAAGCTGATCCCGCAAACGGTCGTTGAGGGTTTCCCTGTTAGGTTCGAGGTTAAAGCCGAGGGGTTACCCGCGCCGAAAATTTCGTGGCACAGAAACGGTACGGAGGTGATTTCAGATAACAAACACATCAAAATTATAGACCAACCTGACGGAAGCAGTGCTTTAATCTTGGACGCGGCCGATGAAATTCGCGATGCCCTAACGTACAGAGCCGTAGCTACAAATGACGCTGGTGCAGCTGAAACCTCGGCACTCCTCACAGTAATAACCTCTAAGAGAGACGAGGAACCGGAAGAGAGACCGCAATTCATGCACAACATCAAAGATGTGCAAGTGGATGAAGGACAACCACTTATCATGGAAACACCGTTCACTGGCAATCCGATTCCCAACGTTGAGTGGACCAAAGACGGTCAAAAGATCGAGCCATCTGACAGAATTTTGATGACCTGTGATGGTAGAAGGGTTGGAATAAGGATCGATAAAGCCTTGCCCACAGATGCCGGCGAATATGGAATAACCCTAGAAAATCCTTTAGGGAAGGACTCGACAAGTGGAAAAGCTATTGTACACAAGGTGTTTCAGCCACCCACATTCACACAGAGCTTCACCGACTTCCAACAGGTAATTTACAAAGTTTATTATACTACACTCACGTGCAAATTCCACACTAATTTTCGATTTTCGATTTTTAAAAAACATTGCAATTTCCAATATTTTTCCTGTATGAAGAACTAAGGTTGCTATGGTCCATCCATAGCCTATGGAGAATGACAGTGACAGTTTTGTTGAATCATCCCATACTTGGACATGTCATATGTCATAGCAACCTTAGTTCTTCATACAGAAAAAATATTGGGAATCGCAATTTTAAAAATCCATATTTTCCACAAAAATAAATATATCGAGGTGAACCAAAAACAAAACTGTTAAGAACAGATGTGACTTGATAAATAAATCTTAATTTAGAACAATATACGGTTTTGTCACTCTACAGAGTGTCTTAAACTTATGGTAAAAAACATCTTTTTGTTTAAACCTGTATATTATAAACGTACATCTATTTTTTAGTAATTTTTTAAAATGTGAGCGATTGTACATTATTTATCTACAATATTCTTTAATATTCGTTTAAATCCGACATCAAATAAAAAAGTTATTTGCGATTGAAATTCATCGAAAATTTGTGTGGATCGATTATTTTGCCTGTGAGTGTAGGTGGGCGTACTCAATGTTAATAATTCGAACTATCATATTGTTATTTACAAAAACATTTTAGCTACCAAATAGAGACGCCAAGTTCCCATGCAGGGTGTCAGGTGTACCTCAGCCAGAAATCCAATGGACCAAAGATGGCGAACCCATTACAGAGTCCGATAAATATCACATCAAACGCGATGGTGATGCTTGCTGTCTTTACGTGATGAACTGTCAACCCGAAGACGCTGGTGTGATTAGAGCCACTGCTACCAACAAAGAGGGGCAAGATGTGTGCACTGCGGCCTTGGAAGTCGTCAAAGAAATGTAAGTTGTTATAGAATGGGGTAGTACTTTTTATGGTTTTATTCAAGGCGTTTTGTAATATTAAACATTTCTGTGAAATCGGAATTTCAATTGAGTTTACCGTTTTCGAGATATTTACAAAAAATATAAATTTTTATGACGTCACAAACCTCGCCATGTGACCAACATTCTAAGATTTCTATTGGTTGAAAATTATCCTGTTGTCAAGTTGTCTTGTTAATGATTTCATTCGGTTATGTCAGAAAATACCCGAAGAGGTTATGTACAAATACTGTCACTGTCAGTTGAGTGAAAGATGGTCACCAAATTCATTAAGTACCTATCTTCCTTATTACGAGGTATCATATTACTGTTTGATATTTTAGAGTCCAAGATATATCTAAAAGAACATAAAGAACTAGGCATTATACTAATAAAATGCATTTACGACAAAATATGATTGTAATTATAGGTACTTACTTTATTTGTTTAAAAGCTCCAATGTTCAATGTAACCAACCATTCCACAAGATTCCTCTGCTTTGGAGTCCGTTATTAATAAATCCCTTATCTAATATCAATTACAAATAACATAACAATAACATTGATTTTCAATAATCTAAATTTTAAAAAAACATAAACCGAAAAAAAAAGAAACGTCAAAAACTAAAATTATAGATCAAGTGGTTTTAAAACTAAAATATTATAACGTGGCGCCATCTATCGTAAGAATCTTAAACTAAACACACTGGCAACCATAGAAAGAGCTGGCAACGTTGTCAATAGCCTAGTGACGTAATTAGGAGATTTTTTTTTGTAAATATCTCGAAAACGGTAAACTCAATTGAAATTCCGATTTCACAGAAATGTTTAAAATTGACTTTGACTCATAAACGTTTTTATTGCAGCAAATCGCCTAAAAAGATCGAATCGCCGGTGTTCTTGAAACGCATCGGCGATACCGAGTTGTTTAAGGCGATGACCGCTAAATTCACTGCCTGCGCTTCGGGTATACCCGAGCCGGAAGTCGAATGGTTCCACAACGACGTAAAAATGTTCCCGTCGAAGAGAATCCGTATGGAGAGAGATTTAGCGGGTTTGCTACGCCTTACAATTTCGGGTGTAGATGTAGATGATCTCGGCAAATACTCTTGCAAGATTAGCAACGAACACGGCAGTGATATTTGCCACGCAACGCTTAAATTCGATGAAGGCATAGAACCTAAAGCTAAGAGACCGATTGCAGATCAGTATACAGAGTACGATAAGTATAAGAGAAGCGGTGCGCCTGTACCAATATCCGACCCACCGATTATCTCCCAAATGACCGATAGGCACTGCACTTTATCCTGGAACCCATCCATACCATCCGGACCTAGAGCTCCGGTAACCTACCAGTTAGAGATGTGTGAGTTGCCTAACGGAGATTGGTTCACAGTGAGATCAGGCATTAGAAGTTGCACTTGTGGTGTTAGAAACCTGGAACCGTTCCGGGACTACAAGTTTAGAGTGCGCGTGGAAAACAAATACGGCATCAGCGAACCATCACCGTACGCCTTAACACACAGAGCCAAATTGGAACCGGAACAACCCAAATTCAGACCGTATCTACCACCGGAAATCGACTTCCGCCCGGAAACATCGCCCTACTTCCCCAGAGACTTCGATATCGAACGCCCACCACACGACGGTATGGCGCAAGCGCCTAGATTCCTGCGCCAAGAGCACGACACTCAATACGGCGTGAAGGACCAAAACACCAACCTCTTCTGGTTCGTTTACGGCTACCCAAAACCCAAGGTTACATTTTACTTCAACGACGAAATCATAGAACCCGGCGGTAGATTCGACTCGAGCTACACGAGGAACGGACAGGCGACTCTCTTTATCAACAAGATGTTGGATCGGGACGTGGGTTACTACGAAGCCGTGGCTAGAAATGAACACGGTGAATCCCGCCAGAGAGTGCGATTGGAGATAGCTGAAGCCCCCTACTTCCTCAAGAGGCCGGATATCGAATACGCCCTCATGAGAGGTCGGGTTAAATTCGAAGCAAGAATCCTTGGGGTACCATACCCTGATGTTAAGTGGTACAAGGATTGGAAACCACTCGCCGATTCAAGCAGAATCAAGGTAGGTACATAATAATCTTCAGCTTGTTTTTTAACATCTTGGAACATTTGGAATATTCTTAGAACCTTCCCTTATTGCTAAGAATGTTCTTAGGGACTTTTAAAACATTCAATAGATACCCTTTTAATGATGCAAATGTATTTGTTGTCCCCTTAAAAAATAAATATTTGGGTTGTGTTTTTTACTTAATATTTAATACTAAGTATAGGTACCTTTATACGTAGATTATGGTATATTTTACTATTATATAGGTACCTAACTGAACTGAATATGCTTAACAGAATGTTCCAGGAATATTCCTAAATGAACTTTCTATAGCAATTACTCTCTCAACATTCTAAGCATATGTTTAGAGTGGATTAATTTTTACCACTAAACTTGGCACCTTCTAAGAACCTGCCTATAGGCCAGTGAGAATATTCTTAGGATTATGCTATATTTCTTTTAAGCATGTTCTTTAGAAGAAATATAGCATGATCCTAAGAATATTCCCACTGGAAGGTTTAAAAAACATTCTTAGAATAAACTGTGCTGTCAGGGTTAGGAACGGTTCAGAACAAAATATAAATATGGAAGCAAATAATTACCTTATTATTGCACCGCAAAATCACTTTATGAGAAACAACGTATTCTTTTTACTTTGTATTGCTGTAACTGACTAATTCCCGCGTTATTAATACAAATTTTATTGCTGGGGTAGTATGTTCAATTGCGTATGGGAACGGTTAAGGAATAACAATTTCAGGACACTTTTTGAAGCCGAAATTTAAAAAAGGTTTAAAGGATATTTTACTCCGCCAAGTATTTTAGTTAAAACATTTTTTTATAGAATTATTATAGTTTATTCATATTGAAGTATTTCTAGATAAGTTAAAAAACAGGTTTGGGACAAGGTAGATAGTAATTACTATCACAACAAAAATCTTTCCCTTATAAGGGAAAGATTTTTGTTTTAAATATAGCTAATTCCAAACGTTTGCGGAGTCATGTCAAATTTAAATTTTGAATAATGTTTTCAATGAAAAAAGTACGTAAAAACTCAAAAAATTCCAATAATGCACTTTATTTAGGTTTTCATTAAAGAATAAACATACAATACAAAAAAAGAAAAAAAAAGAAAAGAAAAATCGTCAAAAAGCTGAATTTTGGTCTTCCACTAAAAACTTTGCCGTTTTTCAATGTATTTTTATCAACATTAGCTTGTTTTTTGTAAAAATGTCAGCTTCACGAAAAAAAAATTCAAACTGGAGTTATCTGTTTGATTAAAATCTTTCCCAGGACGATATGTAAATTTTCGACCTCAATTTTTGCAATAAAAACGATTTTTTTAAGTTATTTATTTATTTTTTCCAATAATACAATATTACATTGTGTTGGACAAGTCAAAGTCAAAGAAGTCAAAAAAGTCAAATGAATGTATCCAAAAAAAAATTTAATTATCCATTGAAAAAATCACTAACTGAATAAAATGTTTGAGACAATATAGATATAGATTAGATGGTTCAAATACCTTCAAGTGAATGGCTTGTTTGACCAAATCCATCAATTAGATTTCAAGCTATACTCAAAAACGTCAAAACACCTCCGAAAATTGAAGAAAAAAAAACAATTGAAAATTCATATTTCAAAAACGCTTCCATAAAAAAAAGATTGAGTGTGATTTTCGTGTTTAGTATGTCAAAATACATGGGGAAATTATAATGGGATATGGTGGGCAAAATTAAAAATTAACAGCATTGGATAAAAAATAATTATTTTTGCATTATAAAATGGCTAGAGCCCCAAAATATAATGCCATAGGCAAGATGTTATTTCTTTTATATAAATTATTTATTTGTGATTGCCATGTTAACTTTCTATCAAAGTAAATACCCAAAAACCTTGGTTTCCGCAGACTCACTTGATTTACCCATAATTGAAATAAAAAGATCATAATCTGGTGAAACATTTTTTGGTAAAAATCTCATATAAAATGTTTTGTTTTTGTTAATGGTTAGACCATTTTCTTCACACCATATATTCAATAAATTAGATTTTAAAGAAGTTTCAGATCAAGTTTAAATATTACTATTTTGAATTATAACGTTTGTATCATCTGCATACAGAATAAGTTGCTCATTTATATTTGTGTTTAAATTCAAATCATTTACAAATATTAAAAATGGAAGTGGTCCCAATATCGATCCTTGAGGTACTCTGGATATATCCGATTTTTTTACCATTTATAGATACTACTTGGGTTCTGTCTAATAAATATGATTCTACCCATTTATTTGCAAAACCTCTAACTCTTATATTTTCATCTATGATTAATAGTATCAAATATTGCTGTGTTAGTGGACTTATTTCTCTTAAACCCATTTTGAAATTGAAAGAGTAGTTTGTATGATTCTAAAAAATTCTGTAAACGATTGTAATAAAAAGTATCAAAGTCAGACTACATTCTATTTTCTTATATAATTTATTCTACAGATGACTTTCACAGAACCAGACCTGTGCATCCTGACAATCTCGGACATCATCCTCAAAGACGAAGGTTTGTATTCGGCGAGCGCCCGCAACGTTGCCGGTTCCTCGTCCGCCAGTGCGATGTTGCACGTGGAAGAAAACAACCTGGAGTACAACTGGAGAACGTACAACAACCTCTGCCCCATCAAGGGCCACAGAAGACCGATCTTGGACCTCTACGACCTCGGAGACGAGTTGGGTCGAGGAACGCAGGGCATCACCTATCACGCGGTGGAAAGGCTGAACGGCAGGAACTTTGCGGCGAAAGTAATGCACGGTACGGGAGATTTAAGGCCGTTTATGTACAATGAGTTGGAGATGATGAACGAGTTGAGGCACAAGAAGTTGATTTCTTTACACGATGCCTACGAAACTGATGATTCCCTGGCGCTTATTTTGGAGTTGGCTTCTGGGGGAGAGTTGGTATCCGATTTGCTGTTAAAGCAAGACTACTACACTGAAGGGGATATTGCCGGGTACATCAGGCAGGTGTTATGGGGTTTGGATTATATGCACGGAAAAGGTTTTGCTCATATGGGACTTAACGTGAGTATTACAACAACGTTGTATCTTTACAAAAGAGTCAATCCAAATGAAAACACCAAAAATGAATGTCATTTTCTTCTTACTGCCTAGTAAGTATGTTTTCAATATTACTTATTATTATCTAATTAGTTCATCTCATAAAAGAATGGTAAACCACTAAAGATTCGTGATAATTTGCCAATTTTTGTGATTTTTGTCTGGCTCCTGTGCCTATTCTGCTAAATCTAGAAAGTTGCTTTTTTTCAGGTATCATGTACTTATACAATAAAAAACGTAACTAGTATTGAAACTTCATAATTTTCAAAATCAGCCAATTTTGCCCTCAGAAATCATTATGTTGAGGAAAAAATAAAAATCTGAAACTTTCAGGAAATGTAGTCCCCACCTTCATCTGTTCAGTCCAGTTAGTCTTGTTTTGTTATTTTTATTCCTTTAAAAGGTATATTAATTTTTTTAATGCCCGTTTAGTAGCGATATTGTTAGTTTTATTTATAATTTAAAATTTAGATGGCTTTCATGTTTGGTGGAGAAGTGCCAGAACTGTCAAAAATATTTCATAAATATTATTTGTGCGTATTTCCTTGGTAAATTTTGTATACCTCAAAACTTTTTAAAATCACCAAAGGAATACCACAAATAATAATTATGAAATATTTTTGACAGTTTTGATATATTTGGTAGTTATGTTATATTTTATGTATTGTATATACATATACATAAATATATGATTATATATTATATACATTATAATGAAGTATTTAATTGGCTAATTGGTGTTTAAAGAAGAAGAATGTAAAAAATATACGATCCTTATGGTTTATATCGTAAAGTATAATAAGTGAAACTAATAAAGAGTTAATTTAAACATATAAAAATGCGTTAAGCAGTTTTTTGTCGGTTTCTTTCACAATTTAAACCAAGTTAGTCTTGTTCTATTATTTTGATCCCTTTAGTAAGGCACTGAATAGTTAAAAGTTATATGTTTGTATTTTAAATGTTAGTGTTGGAAAAAAATTTACACAATCTGTAAATACTTCTTTTAATTTTAATTTTTAGGTAACTGGGTAAAATAAAACATGTTATAATAAAGGGGTTTATTTAGAATATTTTTTGGTTTTTGCTTATTTTTAACAATTTAAAACTTCTTAGAACTTGAATATTTTCTATGAGAAAGAGGTACAAAATTATGATATGCTCTTGCATTTTTAATTGCAATTAAATTCATGAATCTCGAACACTCATTTATTACACTTGCAAACTTGCAAACTTTTTGAAATCACAATTTAAATACGCACAAATAATATTTATGAAATATTTTTGACAGTTCTGACATTTCTCTACCAAACATGAATTGACTAAGTCAAAGCCATCTAAATTTTAAATTATAAATAAAACTAACAATATCGCTACTTAACTGCATTAAAAAAATTATTATATCTTTTACATGGATAAAAATAACAAAACAAGACTAACTAGACTGAACAGATGAAGGTGGGGACTACATTTCCTGAAAGTTTCAGATTTTTATTTTTTCCTCAACATAGTGATTTCTGAGGGCAAAATTGGCTAATTTTGAAAATTATCAAGTTTCAATAATTTTTTTAATAAAGAAAATGATAGTCTAGAAACTTAATATAATAGTAACGTTTTCTATTGTATAAGTACTTGATACCTGAAAAAAAACAACTTTCTAGATTTTGCAGAATAGGCACAGGAGCTAGACAAAAATCACAAAAATTGGCAAATTATTACAAATCTTTAGCGGTTTACCTTTCTTTTATGAGATGAACTAATCAGATAATAATAATTAATATTGAAAACATACTTTGTTGGCATTAAAATAAAATTACAATCATTTCAATAATCGCCACAGAAAAAAAGTTTTATCCTTATAAGAGAGAAAGAAAATGACACGATTTCAAGTTTCTAAAGGGTGCCGATTAAAAATAAAGCAACTAAAAATTAAAACGGCAACGGAAATCATTTTATATTTTAGCTTGGGGATTTGTTGATCGCCCACCCAGGCGGTGATGACTTGAAGATAACGGACTTCGGTCTCACCAGAAGAATTCAGTACGGGAGATACGCTCCGTTGTACTACGGTGTGCCGGAATATGTTTCCCCGGAATGCGCTAACGGTGAAGGTGTGGGTTTCGGTCACGACATGTGGAGTTTGGGTGTTATAACCTACATTCTTCTATCGGGAAGATCGCCTTTCAGAGGCGGAAACGATATGGAGACGTTGATAAGAATCAGGGAAGGTAAGTGGATTTTCGAGGACGAATGGTGGTCGAGAATCAGCTTGGAGGGTAGAGATTTCATCTCGAAACTGCTGGTGTACCAGGCTGACGATAGGATGGACGTGACTACAGCCTTGAGACACCCTTGGTTGGAAAGGGCGGATAAAAGATACCAGGATGACTTCCAAATCAGCTCGAGATATCTCGGGGACTACTGGGGACTCTACAGGTAATTTTATCGTTTGTTATTGTTTTTTGTTGGCACCGTACGCCAATACTCGGGCCAAAAGACTCGTCAATACTTCTATTTATACAACGAATGATCCCGTTTATTTAATCTTCTTGTTGTGTTTAAATGAACAGCATCACTCGACGATGGAAGAAAACAAAGATATATTTAACTACAGCATAAAATTGCACGATGGTATCGACAAATTGTTTGCGCACAAAAAAATCTACTACATATCGGAATACGAGTTGTTCAAACTCGAGATGATGCTAACGTGCTTTTCAAATTCCTGCACAAACAACAATCTATATAACAACCTTCTATATTTTCAGGGAATGGTACGATAACGCTTCGTGCAGAAGATGGTTCAGACGTAGGCCGTTGGAGGGCGCTTTTACCCATCCTTCGAGGATGGTGTACCCCCCGGGTGAGTTTTACACGCCGAGGTCGACCCCTGCTCCCCCAGAGAGGGCAGCAAGACCGAAATCCTCATGGGAGGACCAATTGCCCACGAGGTCGCCTCTCAACTACGAGATTGGAGCCTTCAAATCTGAGAGCCAGTGAGTACTTGCATTACTGTTTAAGTGTTTTGATTATCTCGAGTTTTCAGCTATCAAAACGGCCCAGACACGTATCTTCTGCAACTGAGAGATGTGGATTTCCCAGTGCGTTTGCGCGAATACATGAAGGTGGCTGGAAATCGAGGACCCGGTGCTGGATATATCGTTTCCAACGAGAATGGGTACGACTGGAATGTAAGTAACAATACTAGTTGTAAAGAAATTAAATAAATGTGTTTTATTTATGTATTTTAGACCCCCATAATCCGTGAAAGACGTCGCTTCACCGATATAATGGATGAAGAAATCGACGATGAAAGAAGGACTAGAATTAACAGATACGGCGCTGAACCCCAGCCCTATACGCGCAGATTAAAGCACGAATTAGGTAAGTACACTGTTCAAAATTTCACGACCATTTTAACACCAAATTAACACCACACACGACGGAAAATATCCACTTTGTTGTGGAAAAATTCTATTGCGTTACCCTAAATTCCATTGCGTTACCATAAGGTAACATAGTGGACTCGGTAACGCAGTGGACAAAGTTTTGTAAAACCATATTTAAAAAATAATAATAAGACATTATAGTCATTAATTACTCTCAATGAGCTTTAGTGCCCTAAAATAAACATAAACATGAAAAATAGTATTTTTCTTACCTTATTTTTATTATTTTTTTTGAGTAACTTAGCGGACATACAATTATTACATTTCCGTTACCCGCACCTGTTTCAACAGATATCTTCTTCCTTATTGAATAAATAAATTCAATATTAAATGGTATTATTTTTCTTATAATAAATCGATTTAATCGAAATTATATTTCTATTCTAAAATAAACACTATCGCCATCTTGTAGCCATCACAGTAACCAATAAAATAAATACAGATTCCTTCTTTAGGTTTGTTTTGGTTATAAAATTCTGAACTGTTTAAAGAACAAATCTGTGGTTATTTACGCAATATTTTGTTTATTATTTTTCTATGAGTTTGTCTATTTTATGATTCTTTTGTAAGTGGTTTATTCTGTGGGTTTAGTCAATTGAACTTGGTGATTATGTGGATTTAGTCATTATGGATATTTCGGTGATAAATTGTACCGATATTGTTGACCTTCACGTGGTTCTTGCTGAACAATGAAATATTAATTAGACAAAAATGAGGTTTATTTAAAATGAACGTCATTTTTACAATAAAATATATTTCATTGACAGGATCCCGCCTTGATACATACGTGGAAGCCGAGGCTTTCCTGGAAAGCAAACAGGATGGCAGACTACCATTCTTCAGAGAGAAACCTCAATTCACAGCAATGCAGGAAGGTAAAGACCTCCAGTTAAGCTGCATGGCGGTTGGAGAACCACAACCCATCGTCCAATGGTTCAAGTAAGAATAGAGACATTTAAAAAGTGTTTTTGTACCTACATTAGGGTGTCCCTTATTTTTATTTTTTTTACGCATACCCTCTAATTATATTTATTACTTGTTTATATACTCCCAGTAAAAATTTCAGCTCATTCTATAAACGGGAACCCGTGCCGACTTGCATCTAAACCCTCCGTTAGCCAACGTTAGGCGCGCGCGGTATTTTGTAACACGAAACACTTTAAAAAGAAGATATACTTCATGACTTTATTTTTCTAATGATTTTATTAAATATGATTACTAATTAATATTATTGCTTTTGTTTCTATCATTTGTTTCACTAATTTAGTTGATTTTATCCCTTAAATATATTAATATACTAATTAGTATTGCTAAAATATACTGTTATATGAAATTTCAGCTTTTTGTAAGCATTTCTTTTCTTGATGTCCTCCCAAAAATATTTCAGACAGTTCAATAAGTTTTCGGTAGTCATCTCTCACAATAGACTCTTTTAGTTATTTAGAGTAAAACCCATTAAGTTTATCAATTTCAGAGTTTACGGCCTATTCACCAGACCCTTCCGGGTAACTAGCCATTTCCTGTGAAAATATACGTTTTTATCAAAGTATACACATAAATAAAATTAAATTTTAACATTTGTCAATAATTTATAATATAAGGGTCACATAATAACAAACACAAAATGACTTACGATCGAAGACCTCGCGACCAACCGTGTTACAAAATACCGCGCGCCTAACATGCAAGTCGGCACGGGTTCCTGTTTATAGAATGAGCTGAAATTTTTACTGGGAGTATATAAACACGTAATAAATATAATTAGAGGGTATGCGTAAAAAAATAAAAATAAGGGACACCCTAACCTACATACATTGATTTATTTTTTGTAGGAACGACGCCATAGTAGCCGAGTCGCACAGGATTAAAATCGTCACGGACGACGACGGTAGGTCGCATTACAAACTATCGCCGGCTCTAGCTTTCGATCAAGGAATGTATAAAGTGGTGGCGCGCAATAAAGTCGGGCAAACCATCGCGAGAACCAGAATCGTTCTTGGGTTGGTACCGGACGAACCTGACTCCCCGGAAGCCACGGAAGTCTCAGATACCGAAATCCTTCTGCACTGGAAACCTCCAAAGAACGACGGAAACTCCACCGTTGTTTGCTACAAGTTGGAGTACAAACTTTCCGACGAAATGGAGTGGATAAAGAAAGCCGACAACATCGATCACGAGTTCTACTTGATGAAGGGGTTGGAACCCAGCAGAAGTTACATCTTCAGGCTGTCCGCTATGAATGCTATTGGTTGGAGTGACGCCGGGGTACCATCAGCTGCCATACAAACCAAAATCGATGGTAAGTGTTCATTAGGGTGATTCATTTCCGCAAAGTTTTTGTTTTTTTTCGGTGCTCAAGCAAAATATTAATCTGCATATAGGAAAAAACATTCTCACCAAGTTTGACCTCTTAATATTAATTTTAAGCACTTACTATTTAAATTTAAAGTTTTACCGTTTAAAATGCATGTAAAAAATAATTTTTTTTTTCAAATTTCTAATGCTTACCCACCTTTGACAATATTGCAAATCGGTTTAATACACCTTAAGATGCGAATTTACGAATTTGCGAAATACGAATATTCGCATTTCGCAGCTCCTATTCATATAGATGCGAATTGTCGGAACCATTTTAGGGACATTGTTTTATCACTAGGCGATATTTGCCATGGTATTTTAGAGACATTATTTTCTCTCCAGGTGATATTTGCCATACTTGGTTAACATTTTCTATAGGTAGGTACTTAAATAGTAAATTTACTTCTAAAAAAATATGCTACTATAAGGTAAAATAAGAAACTAATGTACCTCCAAAAACTCTTTGTCCATTATAAAGAACAAAAAACAACTTTAGCAAGAAACAGTTCAAATAAAACTCAACAACGATGCAAAACAAATGAAATAAACACATAACATAAACAAAAATGGCGCGGGTACATATAACAAATACGTATAATAGGCATCTGCATTAATGCGCATGCGCATCGCGCCAAATTCGTGCGATTTTCGCAAAATATTGGATCAATCTCAAGATTCCCGCCCCCCAGATTTCAAATCTTGCGAATTCGCAGAATCTGTCGAAACGTCGAAACACTTTTCCCGCCAAATCAAATGGACCAATGAAAACATTTTCGCATTTCGCAAATTCGCATGTCGCATCTATATGAACCAGGCTTTATGGGGAATTTCACGATCTTTAAAATTGCTTTTGAGTTTTTTTTGTAACTCGCATTGGTTCACCAGTAGGAGTCGTCAAAGGACAGTTTTTGAAAAAAATCGTTTTTTTTATTTTTTCGAGCAAATCGCCAAAAGTAGTGAGAAAAAAGGGCTGATTCATAAAAAAAAGTTATCCAACCAATATTTAATGAATTTACAGCCATTTTTATAACTGAAAACGTAAGAAATTGATAATTACCAACCCATAATGTTATTTAGATTGATTTTTTCTATTTATTATCATTATATTTCCCCACACTAAGAAGTTTTTTAAAATTATTGATTTCTCAATTATAATGAATATGAAAACAACAGATAAATTCATAAAAAACAATAAGAAAATTGTAACGTAGATTTTGCAATTTTTCAACATTTCTGTCATATAGCAAAAAAATATAAATGAAGATTATTTAATTTTTTGAAGCGAAATATGTTACATAACCTTCTGTATATTCCGATTAAAGTTTTGTTGTTTTTTTTTATGAATTTATGTGTTGTTTTCATATTCATTATGAGTGAGAAATCATAATAATTTTAAAACAGTTCTTAGTGTAGGGAAATATAATGATAATAAATAGAAAAAATCAATCTAAATAACATTATGGGTTGGTATTTATCAATTTCTTACGTTTTCAGTTATAAAAATGGCTGTAAATTCATTAAATATTGGTTGGATAACTTTTTTTTTATGAATCAGCCCTTGTTTCTCACTACTTTTGGCAATTTGCTCGCAAAAATAAAAAAACGATTTTTTTCAAAAACTGTCCTTTGACGACTCCTACTTGTGAACCAATGCGAGTTACAAAAAAAAACTCAAAAGCAATTTTAAAGAGCGTGAAATTCCCCATAAGGCGTATTAAACCGATTTGCAATATTGTCAAAGGTGGGTAAGCATTAGAAATTTGAAAAAAATATATGTTTTTTACATGCATTTTAAACGGTAAAATTTTAAATTTAAATAGTAAGTACTTAAAATTTATATTAAGAGCTCAAACTTGTTGAGAATTTTTTTTTCTATATGCAGATTAATAATTTGCTTGAGCACCGAAAAAAAAACAAAAACTTTGCGGAAATGAATCACCCTAGCCCTGATAGCAAAATTTGATTCTAAGAATCTTCTAAGAAGATATGACTCGGAATTATGGAATATTCTTAGAACCTTCCCTTATTGCTAAGAATGTTCTTAGGCACTTTTAAAACATTCAATAGATACCCTTTTAATGATGCAATTAGATTCTTAGAAGCTTCTTAAATCCTTCCTAAAAAGCATTCTAAGAACATTTTAAGAATACGTTTTTGGAATGTTCTTAGAAGGTTTCTTATGGAGCTTCTAGGAAGCTTTTGGGAATATTTCCAAGTATGTCAGAACCCACGTTTTAATATGTTGGATTCTACATTCGTAAAATTCTTCAGGAGGCGACAAATACGCCTCACTGTCATAATATGACAGTGAAATGTATTTGTCGTCCCCTTAAAAAGTTTTGCGACATATTAATATATATTTATTTAAAAATATTAAATAAACAATTTGACCTCTAAACCATAAGTTGTATGACATTATTTCATAAAAAGTAAAATTGGAAAATTTTGTGGGATAAGTCAGATTAGATTGAAGTTGAAGATAGTTAGGATTATTATACATAAAAATGTTAATTCAGATATAAAAAATCGGTATACAAATTAATAAATATTTATTTTTAACAAACAAAATATTTCCTTATACAATAATTCTTCATAAAAGAAAAAACCAAATAGTTCTTCATAAAAGAAACATTTTTCATTGTATTTAAGTTGGATAGAAGATTTTATGTAAAAGCCGGATAATTTAAATACTTATAGTAAAAGTATTTTCGTTATCGAATATTGTTTTAATTTAACAAATAACTATAAAAAAATATTTTGGGTTGTGTTTTTTACTTAGTATTTAATACTAAGTATAGGTAGATTATGGTATATTTTACTATTATATAGGTAACTGAACTAAATATGCTTAACAGGAATATTCCTAAATGAACTTTCTATAGCAATTACTTTCTCAACATTCTGAGCATATGTTTAGAGTGGATTAATTTTTACCACTAAACTTTGCACCTTCTAAGAACCTGCCTATAAGCCAGTGAGAATATTCTTAGGATTATGCTATATTTCTTCTAAGCATGTTCTTTAGAAGGGAGAGATTGGCTTGGTTTATATTTTAGTGTACACTCTTTATTTAGGATCATCAAAAATCAAGCTCAACACCGCAATGCAGCATCTGCAACAGATCACAGACGGTGGAAACCCGGTGGAAGTAGAACGCAACATGAAACACGTTTACACGGTGGAAACCAACCCGGTGGAATGGGAAAACGCAAACATCGAAGGAAATTACAACGTGATCTCGGAAATTTTCCGCGGGCAATTCTCCACAGTCCTCAAGGCAGTGGATAAACGCACTGACACCGTGGTCATAGCGAAACTGTTGGATGTTTCCGGGGAGAGACTTTCAGAGGTGGACGGCGAATTCGCGGCTTTAAGATCCTTGCGCCACGAACGCGTAGCTGGGCTTTTAGCGGCTTACAGAACGAACGACGCAGCTTGTTTCATACTGGAGAAGCTTCAAGGCGCCGATATTTTGACGTACTTGGCCAGCAAACATGAATATACCGAGCAAACTGTAGCTACAATCGTGACGCAGATGCTGGATGGTGTACAGTATCTGCACTGGAGAGGACTGTGCCATTTGGACTTGCAACCGGATAACGTTGTTATGTGCGGCATCAGATCTGTGCAAGTTAAACTGGTTGACTTGGGTTCCGCGCATCGTGTGACCAAATTGGGCACCAAAGTGCCCATCGTGGGGCATCCAGACTATATTTGTAAGTAACCCACGGTGCTGTTCTGAGAGTTGATTTTTGGACTTTCTGTGAAACCTAATTTATTTTATATTCTTGTTAATTACGTCATAACTAAAATTTTAAGAGCAAAATTAAAAAAAATTGACGGTTTAAATTATTTTAATTGGCTGTTTATTAAAAATATTATGCACTCTTTCAATTATCCAATTAAAACTAGCGATTTAATTTAAATATTTAATATTTGCATAACTAAAAAAAAGGTTTTTACAATTTTTTTTTATATATTTTACTGTTTTGTTGCAATAAACGTTCAAACTTTTAATCTAACCTTTGACGTATCCATTTATGTTCCCTTAATTAATATATCCTTAAAGGTTGCCATGAAACTTAGATCTATTAAAAATTTATTTGACGTTTGAATTGTCATTTTCAGTATACGTATTCTACAATTTTTGTTTAGTTTTTTAAAGTGTTTTTTATAAACAAAAATGAAAAATTGTGGTAAAAGTTACGAAGAAATTCATGAAATTTAACTAAGGTCCGGTTTATTCATCTTTAGTAAAGTTTATCGGGCCGATAACTTTCATGTCTTGGCAATATCTAGTATCCAAAGAAATTATTCGTCAAATAAATCAAACATGAATAAATCAGCCCTAAATAAAATGTGGCACCCTTAGAATTATTGTTTAATAAATGTATACTATACAGTTAACCTTAAATAGAAACTTTAAACGTGTATTACAACAAAACAGTAAAAGATATAAAAATTGTATAGACCTTTTTGTAGGAAATTAACTAATCTTTACTTAATCTGATTTAAAAAGTTATGATAATATTTAAATAAAATCGCAAATTTTAATTGGAGAATTGAAAGTGTGCATACATATTTTTAATAAACATCCAATTAAAACAAAATTAATTTTTTTTATTTTGCTCTTAAAATTTTAGTTATGACCTAATTAACAAGAATATAAAAAAAATTAGGTTTCACAGAAAGTCCAAAAATCACCTCTCAGAACAGCACCGTGAACCGTTAAGAAGTTGTAGAACAATTAAAACAACCATTAATTTATTCATTTTAGCACCTGAAGTTTTGAGTGAAGAACCGGCTTTTCCGCAAACCGACATTTGGACTGTCGGTGTCCTAACCTACGTAATGTTATCGGGAACTTTACCGTTCAAAGGAGAGGACGAAAATGAATCCAGACAAAACACGTTATTCGTACGTTACAGATTCGAGAATCTGTATCAAGAAGTGTCGCAGGAAGCCACAAGATTCCTGATGCTGCTCTTCAAACGACAACCCAAGTAAGTATATCACCGCTGTCGATTAGGGTGATTCATTTCCGCAAAGTTTTTGTTTTCTTCGGTGCTCAAGCAAAATATCAATCTGCATATAGGAAAAAACATTCTCACCAAGTTTGAGCTCTTAATATTAATTTTAAGCACTTACTATTTAAATTTAAAGTTTTACCGTTTAAAATGCATGTAAAAAATTTTTTTTTTTTCAAATTTCTAATGCTTACCCACCTTTGACAATATTGCAAATCGGTTTAATACACCTTATGGGGAATTTCACGCTCTTTAAAATTGCTTTTGAGTTTTTTTGTAACTCGCATTGGTTCGCCAGTAGGAGTCGTCAGTTTTTGAAAAAAATCGTTTTTTTTTTATTTTTTCGAGCAAATCGCAAAAAGTAGTGAGAAAAAAGGGCTGATTCATAAAAAAAAGTTATCCAACCAATATTTAATGAATTTACAGCCATTTTTATAACTGAAAACGTAAGAAATTGATAATTACCAACTCATAATGTTATTTAGATTGATTTTTTCTATTTATTATCATTATATTTCCCTACACTAAGTTTTTTGAAATTATTGATTTCTCACTTAGGTATAATGAATATGAAAACAACAGATAAATTCATAAAAAAACAATAAGAAAATTGTAACGTGGATTTTGCAATTTTTCAACATTTCTGTCATATAGCAAAAAAATATAAATGAAGATTATTTAATTTTTTGAAGCGAAATTTAAAATATGTTACATAACCTTCTGTATATTCCGATTAAAGTTTTGTTGTTTTTTTTATGAATTTATGTGTTGTTTTCATATTCATTATGAGTGAGAAATCATAATAATTTTAAAAAAGTTCTTAGTGTAGGGAAATATAATGATAATAAATAGAAAAATCAATCTAAATTTAAATAACATTATTGGTTGGTATTTATCAATTTCTTACGTTTTCAGTTATAAAAATGGCAGTAAATTCATTAAATATTGGTTGGATAACTTTTTTTTACTTATTTTTTCTCACTACTTTTGGCGATTTGCTCGAAAAAATAAAAAAAACGATTTTTTTCAAAAACTGCCCTTTGACGGCTCCTACTGGTGAACCAAAGCGAGTTACAAAAAAAACTCAAAAGCAATTTTAAAGAGCGTGAAATTCCCCATAAGGTGTATTAAACCGATTTGCAATATGGTCAAAGGTGGGTAAACATTAGAAATTTGAAATAAAAATATATTTTTTACATGCATTTTAAACGGTAAAACTTTAAATTTAAATAGTAAGTGCTTAAAATTAATATTAAGAGCTCAAACTTGGTGTGAATGTTTTTTCCTATATGCAGATTAATATTTTGCTTGAGCACCGAAAAAAAACAAAAACTTTGCGGAAATGAACCCCACTGTCGATGCAGAACGTTTCTTTAAACATGCCACTGATGAAATGTGTTTTAGCAAACGACCATCTCCTGAAGAGTGCCACGAAAATCGCTGGTTGTTGCCCACGGATTACATGATAAAGAAACGTGAAAGAGCAGTATTTTTAGGACATAGAATTAAGGTAAAATATGCAATACAATACAGGGTGAGTTTTAAGTTGACGCGTTCCTTTCAACAGCGTGTAGAAATCAGATAGACAAATAAATATTTTAAGTAACTTTTTTATCAAAACTCAAAAATAAGAGAGTTATAGGCCTTCCAAGTTTAATTAAATTTTGAGCCGGTCCTGGCTATTGTTAACAAAAAACATAACCATAAAAATAAAAACAAAATAAACAATGCAAAATGTCATCTATGACAACAAACATAACCATTTAAATCAAAATGACATTTAGCAATGAAAAATGTCAGTTTTTTTGTGCCTCAATTATTGTTAAAAATGGTTCATAATTATAGCAATATTGAATTAGTGGAAATGTTACTAATTTATGGATATTGTCGTCAAAATGCAAATGCTTAAGTAAATAATGACATTTTTTATTGCAAAATGTCAATTTAATTTAAATGGTTATGTTTGTTGTCAAATATGTCATTTTGCATTGTTTATTTTGATATTTTTATGGTTATGTTTTTCGTTAACAATAGCCAGGACCGGCTTAAAATTTAATTAAACTTTGATGGGCTATAACTTTTTTATTTTTGAGTTTTGATAAAAAAGTTACTTAAAATATTTATTTGTCTAGCTGATTTCTACACACTGTTAAAAGGAACGCGTCAAATTAAAACTCAAACTGTATATTAGACTAGCGTTAAAAAATGGATCGCATATGGACAAAGTTTAAGACGTAAAAAAATATTTTTGCAGGAATATTCGGAAGCGTACCACAACGAAAAAGTGGAGGCAGCTCAAAAATCGACAAGCAATATTGGCGGGAAATTCAGCAGATCGCACAGCATACAAGAAGAATTACTGACTGCGCCATGAAAACATATTTTTTAGTATTAGATTGTAAATATTATTATTTATATGTTGATATTCAAGAGTTCGCGCCTTTCTACTAAATATTTGGGACAAAAATCGAACGCAACTCATTATTTTTCTTTTGTTCTTCTTTACCTTTTTTCTTTAAAGATATTTTGTGTTTTTGGTTTACTGTTAAAACAACTAATTGTTATGAATGGATTTGGGGGAAAATGTCATTATGGATTAAGAATTTATTTGAATAAAAATTATTAATTTAAATGTGTTTTATTTCTTTAAATATAAGTATTATACAGTTTTTTAGTGTAAAAAAAGCACCAAATGGGGTAGTTAAATTTTTTCTGACCTATACTTCTTATGGTTTTATTCAAGGCGTTTTGTAATTTTAAACATTTCTGTGAAATCGGAATTTCAGTTGAGTTTACCGTTTTCGAGATATTTACAAAAAAAATCTCCTAATTACGTCACTAGGCTATTGACAACGTTGCCAGCTTTTTCTATGGTTGCCAGTGTGTTTAGTTTAAGATTCTTACGATAGATGGCGCCACGTTATAATATTTTAGTTTTAAAACCACTTGATCTATAATTTTAGTTGAGAAGAAGAAGAATTGATTTTTTGACGTTTCTTTTTTTCGGGTTATGTTTTTTTTAAATTTAGATTATTGAAAATCAATGTTATTTGTAATTGATATTAGATAAGTGATTTATTAATAACGGACTCCAAAGCAGAGGAATCTTGTGGAATGGTTGGTAACATTGAACATTGGAGCTTTTAAACAAATAAAGTAAGTACCTATAATTATAATCATATTTTGTCGTAAATGCATTTCATTGGTATAATGCCTAGTTCTTTATATTCTTTTAGATATATCTTGGACTCTAAAATATCAAACAGTAATATGATACCTCGTTCTTAATGAATTTGGTGACCATCTTTCACTCAACTGACAGTGACAGTATTTGTACATAACCTCTTCAGGTATTTTCTGACATAACCGAATGAAATCATTAACAAGACAACTTGACAACAGGGTAATTTTCAACCAATAGAAATCTTAGAATGTTGGTCACATGGCGAGGCTTGTGACGTCATAAAAATTTATATTTTTTGTAAATATCTCGAAAACGGTAAACTCAATTGAAATTTTGATTTCACAGAAATGTTTTATATTACAAAACGCCTTGAATAAAACCATAAAAAGTATAGGTCAGAAAAAATTTAACTACTTACCCCATTCTTACCAATAAATCAAATTAATTTTTTTTTAATTATTACCCTACTTTTTTAATATTAAATTTAATTTTTCATTATCAACAACAGCCCTTACATGCTGACTTATAGCCTCCAAAGGGTTTTTACTGAACTGTTTATTTTTTAAAGTCTGTTTAATCATTTTAATACCTGTGAGGAGATTATTTTTTCTCTTCCTTGACTTTTCAACAGCCTTTTTCTTGGGCTGCTCCTTCTCTTTGTGCTTCATGGAAGCCCTACTTTGTAACAAACTCTCCAAAGAAGGCAACGCATCGTGCAAAGGATTTGTATCTCCGATTACAGACACGTTTTTTCTTTTATTCCTCACTTTGAGTTGTTTCTTCATCTGGTTTACAGCGTCGATTTTCTTCATTAAAACGTCGCGTCGCAGTTTTAATTTCTCCTTTTTGGGGAGTATTTTGTTGGATCCTGCTTCTGATTTGGCTGATTTGTAGGATTTTACGCTTTGCACATCATCGTTGAGGTTTTTCTTTAAGTTTGTAAAATCGATGTTTAAACCGGCGAAAATGTTTTCTTTTGGGGGTGTTATTGGTAATAAAGGCGCAGTTTCCATTGACATACTTTCTGTGGCAGGTTTTTTCTTTTTTTGGGAGGATATGTGCAGTTTTTGCCTTATCCTTCGTTGCTTACCCATAACTAAAACAACTCGATTACAGTGATGCTCTAAATTTAAATCATGTTAATTTACCTCAATATTTATATTAAAATAAAGAATGGAGTTATTGGTATTTGAAAAATACGTAAAAAAACACTAAACGAAATGACAAAAAAGTAAGGTTAAGAAGTAATACCAACTTTTTTTTGTTATGTTGGTAACTCAACTCAACTTAAGAATATAAAATACACGTCCATTCTAATATGTCTATGGAAAATACGCTCACTCTGGTTTTCTATTTCTGTGGTTTTTGTCGACATAGCCCACCGTGCGCTGGGGAAAAAATTTCATAACATTTGGTAACATTGGCGTTGACAGTTCGTGCATATCTTCACTGTTATATATTGTATATCCGCCGTAAAATTTCGGCAAGTTTTTGAAATAAATCTGCGGAAATGTCGGACTGGGATCAGGTGACGGTGCTCAAAAAGCGGGCGCCCAAAGCCTCGACCATGAAGAGCGAACAGGCGGTGAACGCCGCTCGCAGACAGGGCGTCGCAGTGGATACGCAACTGAAATGTATGAGGGCCACATGAACGCGGAATTCTAGAATGTTCGCAATTGACCGTTCGAACTTATTTCAGGGGGCGCGGGGAGTAACAAACAGCACGTCGCCACGAAAAACACGGCCAAACTGGACCGCGAGACGGAAGAATTGCGCCACGACGCCATCCCCCTGGACATGGGCAAACTGATCCAGCAGGGCCGGCAGGCCAAAGGGCTCACCCAAAAAGATCTGGCGACCAAAATCAACGAGAAGCCGCAGATTATCACGGACTACGAGGCCGGCAAGGGCATACCAAACAACATCATCATTGGCAAGATCGAGAGGGCTATTGGGATTAAGTTGAGGGGTAAAGATCGCGGTAAGCCGTTGCTCCCCCCGGGAGCCAAAAAGTAAGTCTGTTTGAGGGGTACGTTGGTTTTCTCACACTCTGTAATAATATTAATATGTGGTTCACTGTAGGTTCACTTGTTTGGTAGCCTGCATTTACATATAACTAAATATATACATGGACCTAGATCTTTACTGATTTGTTTTTATTATTGTATTTCTTAAACTATTTACAATAAAGGTATCTGCTAAGGGAACATAGCATTTTTATTATTATATATGTAAAACAAGGTAGCAGGTAAAAAACAAAAGACTTAAAAATTTATTATTTGTTTTATAATATACTGTTTTTATATTATTAACAAAATTACTAACAAAGCTTGTTTATTATGCAACTTTATAGATATAAAAACCATAAGAAGTAATATCTACATAGATGTATTTGTTTTTATTAATGTATTTATAATAAAAGTATCTCATAAACAACTTGTGTAGTTTTATTATTTAATTAAAGGTGCCTTTATTAAAAAAGGAAAAACTTTTGGGAGGCATTCATGTTGCCATAGTAACTGTTTGTATGCTGTTTCAGAAGAAATAAGTTTTTTCCTTGTAAAAAAAAGTAAGTCTTCATTATTGTAGTCTTAAGGCTTGGGTAATTATGAGGTATGAAGACAACACAATTATAATTGTAATAAATTCTACGTCGCATATTTCAATATGCTTTCTTTTTAGCCTAATGACAAAAATGACTTTTTATAAACATAATTTTGAAACCTTTTGACTGGTTTTGGTCATTTTAGACAGTGTAAAGCCTCATTTATAGATTGCCTTCCTCCCGTAAAAGATGAACAATACGAAAATAGTAGTGCCATTTATAGATCCCCGTACGGGAATCTACAAACAACACAATGGTTTTTGTATTGTTCATCTTTTACGGGAGGAAGGAAGGATGCAATCTATAAATCAGGCTTAATATGAAATTGTATAGAAATGTATGTTAAATTAAAAAATAAAGGTTTTTGAAATAATACGTAAGTGACTGATGAAATAAGTTTATTTCAAATCAAAGATTTTGTGTAAAATCAAATAACAAAAGGTTAGGAAGTAATACCAACTTAATATCCTACGTAGTTTTTTGTTTTGTTGGTAGTTTTGTTTAACTGTCAAAATTCGGCAAACTTCAAGTCATTCAACGAAAATAATTGTCATTCTTGTGTTGGTTAAACATAAAAAATGTCTTTAAGTATGGAAGGTATTCGTCCTCACTACCCTGATTACTCGAATGCGCCCATGCAGCGCCATTTCAGCCCCTACGCCGACAACGGAGGGTAAATATTAATAAAATAAATCACTAAAAAGTGAAACTAACTTGTGTTTGTAGGAGCGTTGTTGCCATAGCCGGAGATGACTTTGTAGTTATCGGAGCCGATACCCGTTTGAGTGCTGGCTTCTCAATTTACACCAGAGATCAAAACAAGTTGTTTCCCCTGTCGAAAACCACTGTTTTGGGTTGCGCCGGTTGTTGGTGCGACACCTTAACCTTAACTCGCATTCTGACCTCTCGCATGCAGATGTACCAACAGGAGCACAACAAAACCATGTCCACGGTGGCTTGCGCTCAAATGTTGTCCACCATGTTGTACTACAAGAGGTTTTTCCCGTACTACATTTCCAACGTCTTGGTCGGGTTGGATAACGAGGGAAAAGGCTGCGTTTACAGCTACGATCCCATTGGACATTGCGAGAAGGCCACCTACAAAGCTGGGGGTTCCGCAGGGGCTCTGTTGCAGCCCCTTTTGGATAACCAGATTGGTTTGAAGAATATGGAGATAATTGGGGATTCAAAGCTGACGATTGAGAAAGCTACCAATATCATTAAGGATGTTTTTATTTCTGCAGCCGAGAGGGACATTTACACTGGGGATAGTGTTATTATTAACATAATTACCAAGGAGGGAATTAAGGATGATAAGTTTGAGTTGAGGAAGGATTAGTTTTAATATTTTTCTAATAATAAATATTTCTTTTTAATTTGTTGTTTTTTTCAAAAAAAAAATTATTAATGGAAACTGTTATTTGGATTATTTTATAAAAATCGAATTTCCTTTAATATTAATATAATATTATAGTATATTATGTATCAAGTTTTATAGTTTATGTTTTAGAGTTGCATACTTATACTTTATCTACAACGAACACAAAACAAAATTTAAAGCCAATTTTATTTGTTAAAATTTTGACATCTGTCAACTGTCACCCGAATTTAACCTCATTTTTTTCCCAATTTATAATAAAGCCGACTGCAGCCCGTGACTAAAGAGCTTAAAAGGCACTGTTTCTAACTTCATCCCGTGACTAAAACTCCATAAAGTCAGAGCTCTTCAATGCAGGAGTAGATAATAGTATATTAATATAATTATGTAGGTATCAAGTTTTATAAACGCCAATTTAGTTACAAGTTTTATTAGGCACGAGCGAAGCTTGCGAGCGAGTGATTAATAAAAAGAGAAGCTTATAAAACGAGTTGCATACTATACAGTCTATACCTACTTTATCTACGACGATTTGTCAATCATTTGACATCTGTCAACTTCAAAGTTTGAAGTTCAAACAGATTTAACCTCACTTTCCTAATTAATAATAAAGCTAACTTCAGCCCGTGACTAAAATGCCCAAAAGCCACTATTGCCAAGTTCAGCCCGTGCCTAACATAATATCTTTATTTAGTTTTTACTATATTACCAATAAAAATTGGTATAAAATAAAAATCTATTTGTTTTACTTTATTATTGTTTTCATTAATTTAAAATATATTTTGCATCTTTTTTAATGTTTTTTATAAATAAATCTATATATTTAAATTTTAAATTATTTAAATTTTGAAGAATAGAAAATAATATGTTTACATAACGTATTATCTTTAATTTTAAATTAAAATTTTTAACTTTTAGAAAACAAATGAAAAATAAAAAACAATAATTTTATAAAAAAAAAAACAGTAATTTTACACTATAGTATACTTACTTAATATCCATATTAAATTGTTTCCATAATATATTTAGTTTTTACCATATTATTAATATAAATTGCAATACCATGGTATAAAATAAACATATATTTGTTTTACTTGATTAAAAGTAATGGTCCATTTTTTATCATTTTTAATTCTACATTATAGAACTCTTGCAACATGGATTTTGTATTGGCTTCCTTCTTATATTTTTTATTTTATATATGAATATAAAACCCCATTTTCTGCTAAAAATGTATATAAATTACCTAGTACCTATACTAGGTAATTTTTATACATTTTATATATATCCTTAATTTTGTTGTTCTTTAATCAAATAAAACTAGACGTTGTTTATGAGATACTTTTATTATAAATACATTAATAAAAACAATTAAATCTATGTAGATATTACTTCTTATGGTTTTTATATCTATAAAGTTGCATAATAAACAAGCTTTGTTAGTAATATTGTTAATAATATAAAAACAGTATATTATAAAACAAATAATAAATTTTTAAGTCTTATTTTTTACCTGCTACCTTGTTTTACATATATAATAATAAAAATGCTATGTTCCCTTCGCAGATACCTTTATTGTAAATAATTTTAGAAATACAATAATAAAAACAAATCAGTAAAGATCTAGGTCCATGTATATATTTAGTTATATGTAAATGCAGGCTACCAAACAAGTGAACCTACAGTGAACCACATATTAATATTATTACAGAGTGTGAGAAAACCAAAGTACCCCTCAAACAGACTTACTTTTTGGCTCCCGGGGGGAGCAACGGCTTACCGCGATCTTTACCCCTCAACTTAATCCCAATAGCCCTCTCGATCTTGCCAATGATGATGTTATTTGGAATGCCCTTGCCGGCCTCGTAGTCCGTGATAATCTGCGGCTTCTCGTTGATTTTGGTGGCCAGATCTTTTTGGGTGAGCCCTTTGGCCTGCCGGCCCTGCTGGATCAGTTTGCCCATGTCCAGGGGGATGGCGTCGTGGCGCAATTCTTCCGTCTCGCGGTCCAGTTTGGCCGTGTTTTTCGTGGCGACGTGCTGTTTGTTACTCCCCGCGCCCCCTGAAATCAGTTCGAACGGTCAGTTGGGAACATTCTAGAATTCCGAGTTCATGTGGCCCTCATACATTTCAGCTGCGTATCCACTGCGACGCCCTGTCTGCGAGCGGCGTTCACCGCCTGTTCGCTCTTCATGGTCGAGGCTTTGGGCGCCCGCTTTTTGAGCACCGTCACCTGATCCCAGTCCGACATTTCTGCAGATTTATTTCAGAAACTTGCCGAAATTTTACGGCGGATATACAATATATAATAGTGAAGATAGCTACGAACTGTCAACGCCAATGTTGCCAAGTGTAATAAAATATTTACACCACAGACCTGTGATTTACACCAACGCACAGTGGGCTATATCAACCACAAAACTAGAAGTTTTGTGATATCAACAAAACCCTGGCAAAAGTAAACGTCAAACAAATAAAGCTTAATTTTCATGTATACGTTTGTCCGTTAATCCGTTCATCCGGGAGCGCTCTTAAGCTTAATTTTCATGTATCCGTTTGTCCGTCATCCGTATGTCAGTTTTTCTATAAAATCGTCCGATAAGAAATGTTCTAATTTTCATGCATACGTTTTTTAATGACGTTTAACGGATTGATTTTGCGACAAATAGAAATTAAGTGTCAGTATATTCACTTACTAAATTGTCATAGTTACAATTATGTCAACAATTGTAACTTTAACAGTTAGCTGTCTAATAAATTTAAAGGTAGGTAAATATACCTTATAAAAAGAATATACTAGCCCTAATATACATAAAAATGTATAGTTTTAAAAAAGCAGGTCCTTTTAGTTCTAGTTTTAATTTTTTTTGTTTGTCCTTTCTTTTTTTCCGTTATTCTTATTAAATAAAAACTTAACAGTAAAACATTATTCACATAACGAACGTAATATTTCCGTTTTACAATCTTATTGAAAAAATATAAAAATATTTGAAAATAAATTATCTTAAAATAACGTTAGGCGTCAAAAACAGATGTGTAGTGACGGATGAGTTAAAATTATTTAACCTTTCTCTGTCAGACGTACGAAGTTGAAACTTGACGGACCGATAAAATGTCATAATTTTCGAATTATAATTGTACCAATAAGAGCGCTCCCGGATGAACGGACTGACGGACAAACGGATACATGAAAATTAAGCTTTATTGGTCCAATTATAATTGGAAAATTATGACCACAATCCATTGGATTGTGATTATGACATTTTATCGGTCCGTCAAGTTTCAACTTCGTACGTCTGACAGAGAAAGGTTAAATAATTTTCTCAACGGTAAAATAACATTATATTATGTTGCCATGAATTTGTAGGTATATTTTCTTGTTTTAAATGCAGTTGTCGGCCTTTTTTAGAGAACTCAAATATATAAATGGTTGATTTTAAGGTGCAAAAATTATTTTTTACCAAGTTATTAGTTATACGTATTAACAAAATTTAATGATAACAAATAAAGCCTAAATTATAGATTGCCTTCCTTCCTTCCTCCCGTAGTCGTGCCCGTACGATTTGTGCGTCTTGTAAAAAGTCAATTTATAGATTTCCGTGTAAAATTCCGCAACCATGCGCGATGACACCTAAAATGGTTGACATTTATTTTTGTTTATATTTTGCGTTTTACCCATTGTGTGTAAATATGAAAGATAATCATTTAAATATTAGTGCAGTGATCACAATTTTAATTGCCCTGGCAGCTTGTTGTATACTGCCCAACTATGGAGAAAGGCAGTAACTGCTAAACAAGAAATTTGTGGGAAATTAGCATAAACTACATTTTTATAAAAAGCAGTAGGTATTTAACTGATTTATTTAACTTAAAAGATAGTTTACTGCATTTCTTTGTTGAATTACGATATAAAATGTCCATAGCTTTATCATAGCACAAGAAAACGCATTTGTAGTTACTGCCTTTTTCCATAGTAGGGCAGTATAATGAAAAAAATATAAAACAAGACGTTGGAAGACTTGCCCACTTTACCAAGACCGGTTTTACAAAGCAACGTTTCTAAAAATGAAAGACATTGATCATAAACAATATCTAAATATCCTATTTAGAGACACAAACTATTTAATAAACTAAAGAATCATGTATTTTAAATATTTTGTAATTACGCGCTGTCACCCTACAGCGCATGTCAATAACAAGCACTGTGATTGGTAATGTCAAAGACCTTTACGGTGAAAGATAAAACTTAAAAATTTCTACGGGAGGAAGGAATGCCGTACTCACGGTACGGGAATCTATAACTGGCACTACGATTTAAATAAACATTTTTGACGTAGGTAATTGTCACCATTAACATTGCCCGTTATTAATTTTAATTAAACCTAAGAATTATTGATACTTTAAAATATTAAAATAACTTCAAAATATGATTTTGTTAAGAAAATATTTTATTCTTTGATTTTTTTTATTAACATAATTGCAAAATATTATCACAAAGTGTTAAAAATTCCTACACGGGAAATGTTAATGGCGAGAATTACGTAATGTTCATCTTCTACGGGAGGAAGGAAGGAAGGAAGGAAGGCAATCTATAATACGTAAACTCTCCTTGTTGTCCAATGGCAACGTCGCATTACACCTGTCAACAGTGTGCGCAGCGCATGACATTTGATTTGTATTTTGAATTTAACCGTCACAAACGCTTGCCGTTTTTGCCATTTTTTTGTCCATGTAAAAAAGAAGCCGTTTTTGTGCAATAAGTGAAGTAATACGAGACACAGAACAGCGTAAAGTTTGAAATACATGTTAAATATTAGAATGACGGAAGAGTTTGCCTTTATTGCCCCAAGATTTTATGATTTTAACTCGCCAGAATTGTACAATGACCACGAAAAAATTGATTCGTATTTTGGTGGGTTTTGTGTTGTAGGTATAAATTGAATAATTAATTTGTTTTTTATAGAAATTGACCATGAAAATGTACAGGAAATAAAGGAAGAAGTTGTGCCAAGTATGTATGAAGATATTTCTTTTGAGGAAGTTTTCAATTCCCCAGAAGTTGTTGAAAATACAAATACAGATATAAAAGATGAGTGTAATGAGTCTATATTTTACTCCCCAGTGGGCACCATATCGGGTATGTATAAATAAACATATTTATCTTAATTTTAACTTATATTCCTAGAAGATGGACAGAATTGTAGGAGCACAAATAAGAAAATAAAACCGGAAAGTGTAAAAGTTAAACTACAAGCAAGAAGTGCTAGTGTTGAAATTATAAAACAAAAAAAAGTTAAAAATGAAGTCAATGTCCTAAGGTAAGCGAACAATACTTAACTTTAACAAGATTTCATTGGGGGTGTTAATTTTAGTAATAAAATGAATGGCCTTAAATTAAACCCCAAAAACAATGTTAAATATGCATCAACTGAGAATTTGTGTAAAAATCGTGCATATGGATCTACTAATAGTTTGTCTAGAACTTCATCGAAAGAGCATCTAAACAAACTTGCACAGCCAAAGCACAAATTCTCTTCTGCGGAAAATCTAAGGAAAAATGACTTTGTCAGTGTGGCTGAGGCAATCAATAAGTTTCACAAAGGTACTCCAATAAGATTTAAAAGCAAGCCGAGCATTTTGCCGTTGTCGTTGAAGACCACCATACCCCAATCTCCAGCTTTGAGAACCAAAACTCGGCACAGAGATGTTACGACTTTGACTAGCGAACAGAGGGAGTTACAGGAGTTCGAGAATGAACAAAAGTAAGTAAAAAAAAAATTAATTTTAATTTTTACTTTTTTTCCTTTATTTCTAACTAAATATTTTAGCATATTAAAAATATCATGTATTAACCTTGTTAATTAATTTGACTAAAATTTATTTTTAACTTTCTTTTTATTTAAGTAATTTATTTAATTGATTTTTGAACCACAATGATAAAAATTAATAGAATCCCATTGAAAACGCTTTTTAGGATGATAAATCACATTTTTACAATATTATAATTAAAATGTTATAAAATTAATTAAATTTTCACAAAAACCATTTTTTAACTTGACTTATAATATCACTCTTATTCACAATTTTGGGAATTATTTTTTTAATAATTATTTTTTTCCTTTTTTATTATCTACCCAAATATTTTAACATATTAAAAAATTGGACCAAAATTTATTTTTAATATTTTTTTTGTCAATAAAATTAAAGTATATTTATTTTGTTTTTATGTTATGAAGTGCACATTGCACAACTAGCACAATTTTTATAAATTAATTTCCTTTAGATTATATTGTTACAAAAATGATAACTTTTATAAGAATGTTTCTCTGGCTGACCAAAATTGATTTTTATCAAAAAATGTTTAGTCTAAATTTTCAAAAAATTCAAAATTGCAAATTTTCTGGGAAATGTAAAATATTTTTTTCCTCATGGACATACTGTATAAAAAAATTGATTTTTGAACCACAATAGTAAAAAGTTAATAGAATCCCATTAAAAACGCTTTTTAGGATGATAAATCACATTTTTAGAATATTATAATAATTATAATATTCTAAAAATGTGAATTATTGAAATGTTATAAAATTAATTAATATTTCACAAAAACCATTTTTTAACTTGACTTTTAATATCTCTTATTCAAAAATGCATTCTTGCATTTTCACAATTTTGGGAATTTTAATTTTTTAATAATTATTTTTTTAATTCAATTATTTTCCTTTTTTATTAACTACCCAAATATTTGAACCGATTAAAAAATTTGACTAAAATTTATTTTTAATATTTTTTTTTTGTCAATAAAATTAAAGTATATTTATTTTGTTTTTATGTTATGAAGTGCACATTGCACAACTAGCACAATTTTTATAAATTAATTTCCTTTAGATTGTATTGTTACAAAAATGATAATTTTTTAAGAATGTTTCTCTGACTGGCCAAAATTGATTTTTATCAAAAAATGTTCAGTCTAAAATTTTTAGAAAACTCAAAATTGCAAACTTCCTGAGAAATGTAAAATATTTTTTTTGAACCACAATAGTAAAAAATTAACAGAATCCCATTAAAAACGCTTTTTAGAATGATAAATCAAATTTTTACAATATTACTTACAATATTACAATTGAAATGTTATAAAATTAATTAATTTAAATTAATTTTTAATAAAATTATGGATTTTTGAAACACAATAGTAAAAAAGTAATAGAATCCCATTGAAAACGCTTTTTAGGATGATAAATCCCATTTTTACAATATTATAATTGAAATATTATAAAATTAATTAATTTTTCACAAAAACCATTTTTTAACCTGACTTATAATATCACTGTTATTCAAAAATGCATTTTTGCATTTTCACAATTTTGGGAATTTTAATTTTTTAATTATTATTTTTTTAATTCAATTTTTTTCCTTTTTTAATATCTACCCAAATATTTTAACATATTAAAAAGTTTGACTTAAATTTATTTTTGATATTTTTTTTGTCAATAAAATTAAAGTACATTTATTTTCTTTTTATGTTATGAAATGTACATTGCTCAACTGGCACCATTTTTATAAATTAATTTCCTTTAGATTATATTGTTACAAAAATGATAACTTTTATAAGAATGTTTCTCTGGCTGACCAAAATTGATTTTTATCAAAAAATGTTTGGTCGAAAATTTTCGGAAAATTCAAAATTGCAAACTTTCAGAGAAATGTAAAATATTTTTTTACCTCATTGACATACCATATTCAAAATAATGGATTTTTGAACCACAATAGTAAAAAATTAATAGAATCCCATTGAAAACGCTTTTTAGGTTGATAAATCACATTTTTACAATATTATAATTGAAATGTTATAAAACTAATTAATTTTTCACTCTTATTCAAAAATGCATTTTTGCATTTTCACAACTTTGGGAATTTTAATTTTTTAATAATTATTTTTTTAATTCAATTTTTTTCCTTTTTTGTTATCTACCCAAATATTTTAACATATTAAAAATTTGACTAAAATTTATTTTCAATATTTTTTTTGTCAATAAAATTAAAGTATATTTATTTTGTTTTTATGTCATGCAATCATTTCCTTTAGATTGTATTGTTACAAAAATGATAACTTTTATAAAAATGCTTCTCTGACTGACCAGAATTGATTTTTATATTTTAAATGTTTGGTCCAAAATTTTCAGAAAATTCAAAATTGCAAACTTTCAGAGAAATGTAAAATATTTTTTTTCCTTATGGACATACCGTATTTAAAATAATGGATTTGTGAACCACAATAGTAAAAAATTAATAGAATCCCACTGAAAACGCTTTTTAGGATGATAAATCATATTTTTACTATATTATAATGAAATGTTATAAAATTAATTAATTTTTCACAAAAACCATTTCTTAACTTGACTTATAATATCACTCTTATTCAAAAATGCATGTTTGCATTTTCACAATTTTGGAATTTTTAATTTTGTAATAATTTTTTTTTAATTCAATTTTTTTTCTTTTTTATTATCTACCAAAATATTTTAACATATTAAAAAATTGGACTAAAATTTATTTTTAATATTTTTTTTTCGTCAATAAAATTAAAGTATATTTATTTTGTTTTTATGTTATGCAGTGCACATACTAGCACAATTTTTATAAATTAATTTCCTTTAGATTATATTGTTACAAAAATGATAACTTTTATAAGAATGTTTCTCTGACTGACCAAAATTGATTTTTATCAAAAAATGTTTAGTCCAAAATTTTCAGAAAATTCAAAATTGCAAACTTTCAGAGAAATGTAAAATATTTTTTTTCTCATGGACATACTGTATACAAAATAATGGATTTTTAAACACAATAGTAAAAAATTAATAGAATCCCATTGACAACGCTTTTTAGGATGATTAATCACATTTTTACAATAGGTATTATAATTGAAATATTATAAAATTAATTAATTTTTCACAAAAATCTCTTCTTGGGCTTTAAAACTCATTTTTTCAATATAACTTTGATTACATGTTTAGATATTATTAATTTTATAACATGAGTATTTTTTCACTTATATTTTGAGGCAAGGAATATATGGTATTAAATTATACTTTTTATCCATTTGAGACTTTAAGGGTTCTAGAAAAACGTTGTTTTTTAGGTTTAAGATTAAAGCAAGGCCTATTAACAAAAAAATACTTGGACCCATGAAAGCTATGCCTTCAGCTATACAAAAACCTGTCTCAACTATACCACAGCCGTTTAAATTGACGTATGTGCCGCCAAAAAAGGTGGGTACATTTTTTAATTTTATTATTTATTTAACTTTACTGTAAACAAAAATATTTTAGACAATCGTTTGTTATAGTTATACACTCACGTGCAAAATAATCGATCCACACAAATTTTCGATGAATTTCAATCGCAAATAACTTTTTTATTTGATGTCGGATTTAAACGAATATTAAAGAATATTGTAGATAAATTAATGGACAATCGCTCACATTTTAAAAAAATACTAAAAAATAGACGTACGTTTATAATATACAGGTTTAAACAAAAAGATGTTTTTTACCATAAGTTTAAGACACTCTGTAGAGTGGCAAAACCGTATATTGTTCTAAATTAAGTTTTATTTATCAAGTCACATCTATTCTTAACAGTTTTGTTTTTGGTTCACCTCGATATATTTATTTTTGTGGAAAATATGGATTTTTTTAAAAAACATTGCAATTTCCAATATTTTTCCTGTATGAAGAACTAAGGTTGCTATGGTCCATCCATAGCCTATGGAGAATGACAGTGACAGTTTTGTTAAATCATCCCATACTTGGACATGTCATATACAGCTTTCAAAAGCTATCAAATTGTTTTTTGCAAATTAATGTTTAAATTTTGAGGTGTCTTCTTACTTTTAAAAATGTCTCCGACTAATGTTGCCCTTTGTACTTTACTTCTTATGACGTTTAAAACACTTGCCACGTAATACTGCGACCGTCCATCCTGGATTAAATTAATAGCTCTGGCAACATCAGTCGGAGACATATCCATTTTATAAAGTAAGAAGACACCTCAAAATTTAAACATTAATTTGCAAAAAACAATTTGATAGCTTTTGAAAGCCGTGTATGACATGTCCAAGTATGGGATGATTCAACAAAACTGTCACTGTCATCCTCCATAGGCTATGGATGGACCATAGCAACCTTAGTTCTTCATACAGAAAAATATTGGAAATTGCAATGTTTATTAAAAAAATCTATATTTTCCACAAAAATAAATATATCGAGGTGAACCAAAAACAAAACTGTTAAGAATAGATGTGACTTGATAAATAAAACTTAATTGAGAACGATATACGGTTTTGCCACTCTACAGAGTGTCTTAAACTTACGGTAAAAAACATCTTTTTGTTTAAACCGGTATATTATAAACGTACGTCTATTTTTTAGTATTTTTTTAAAATGTGAGCGATTGTCCATTAATTTATCTACAATATTCTTTAATATTCGTTTAAATCCGACATCAAACAAAAAAGTTATTTGCGATTGAAATTCATCGAAAATTTGTGTGGATCGATTATTTTGCACGTGAGTGTAGTTGGTAGATTATATTTTTTATTTACACATAGGTTCAACCATCTCCTAAAAAAGAGGTACCGGTATTTCACGCAAAACCAGCGCCAAAAAGTTTGTATCAAGAACCAAAGTTAAATTCAGTTGAGTCTAAGGTAACTGAACCCAAAACCCCAGCTTTCATGAGAAGATGCAACTCTTTAAAGAGCCTGGTAAACAAAAATATTATTTTATATTTTTTTATTAATGAAGCCGGTATTGTTTTTTACTTATTTCTCTATTTTTAGAATTTAGTAGAACCCAAGAAAGAAGAAAAACCGAAACAAACGCATCCCCCTAGAAATGATACTTTTGAGGAAAGGCACAAAATAGTGCTAAAGAAAAAAGAGGCTCTTGTTAATAAGGTACCAACTTAAAAAAAAATATTTTCAGGTTTTTTATTCCTGAATAAAATTTTTTAGGTTTTGGAGGAAGAAAAGAAGGCCAGAGAGTTTCATGCAAGGCCTGCACCCAGAAAAATTTACTCTCCATGCAAAACTTCATCAAAAGAAAAATTAAATGTGAGTTTATTTTTTCTATTAAAAATATTTAATGCCAACATTATTAAAATCGTAATTTTATATGTAAAAAATTGTAATTTTATATTTTTTTGGAGTCAACTTTCTTTAAACAGTCAAAAAAGAATATGAAAATTTTTAGTGCTTAATTTTAATCCGTAATACCTCCGAAAACCGTTTTATTTAATTATCAAAATCGCAGTCAAAATTGTACATTTCGTGTAATTTTTAACAAAAGTATTTTTAGATAGACTTTTTTGTAGAGAATCGTATTGCCCATAAACATTCTCTTCACTTTAAATGTGAAAAACTGCTTCTATATCGGATTTCAACGGTTGTTAGTCCATTTTCAAGGGACTCTATACGAATTTTTAATTTAAATCATTTTTAGACAATAAAGATTTGTCGTAAAAAAGTTTAGTATGCAACTCGTTTAAAAAACTAATCTAGGCACTCGCAAGCTCACTTGTGCCTAAATTAAATTCGTGACTAAAATGGCGTTTATCAAACTTGATACATAATATATACTATTAAAAAACTTATATCTATATAAATAAGTTATTAGGTATTTTCAACCTAAATGGCAAATTAATTGTCACAAACTCATGCAAATTAAAATAGTATGGTTACCTTGAATAAATTTTTAATAAAGAAAACAAATGCAAACATTTAAGAGTTATAATTGGTTTTAATCGTATATTGTAGAAAACGATAAATGTTACAAAAAAATTGCTAAAAAACTATTTTTTTAAGAAAATTAAATCACCTGATTAAAACGTTTATTTGTTAAAATTTGAAAACTAATATCTTAAATTTTTAATATCAAATATCTTAGTATCAAAAACTCATTTGACTTTTTGGTTTTTCCTTACCAGCAATTTCTGTTGGTGCTTCAAAAAAAAATATTAAAAAATTTTAATTTTGAAAATCAGTATCACATTGTACAACAATTATTATTCTTATATTATGAATAATGACTTTGTATATAATTATATTAACAGTTGTAACGTGTTAATCAAAATTCTCTAACACTATGATAGTTTTACAAACTTTTTTTCCTAACATTAAGTACTAAAGCTTAGTTTAACTAATTTTGGGCCGCTGATTTAAAAAATGTCATTAGTTTTTCTCTAGGACGTCTAGGATTTAAAATAATTTCGAAATAAAATGCTCTGCTCAATCACCTCAAAATGTAAGTTTTTTGTTGGTATTTTAATTATTTATTAAATTATTTTGGCTTAAATTTATCTTGAATGTGCTAAAGTAATTGGTATACGGCAAATAGATCATATTTATCTTAACAATATGAAATTTTAAATATTAAAACTAAAATTTTAATGCATTTTATGTAAAAAAACAACCATTATTTGACATTTTTTGTCGTTTATTTTAATTATTAAATTTAAAGGGCAACAAAGTAAACCAGTTTCAGTATTTTTTTATCCAAATTAAGCCCTCAAAATTTAATGCATTGCAAAATTTTGCTTTTTTCTACCTTTAAATTTATTAAATCTTATCAAATATCGAATTGGATTATAGTATTATTTTGCTTAATCCTCATCATCGTCGTACATCTTTTGCTACAAATTCCAGCAAATGTCTCCTAGCAATGAATCCAACTTCTTTCCGCTATACCCATATATATATCTATCAATGCTTTAGATTTGCAGTTACTTGGTGAAATCGTTCTCCATGTTCATCAGTTCGGCAAATTTATCAGGAAGAAAAAAAATATGTATTTTAAATGACATATTAACGCTAATTCTTTGCAAAACGGAAAGCATTTTGAATGAATTGGCGCCAATTTTAGGCCCGATATGAATCAAGACAGCTTTAACACTGCCATATGCGTCAAGCTCGTCAACTTTGAGAGCATTTTTGAATGCTTGATCTTTCATTAAACGTCGTGTATCAGGTCCATTTAATATTCCTGCAAAATTAAAGTAGTAGGTATATTTCATAAAATTTTGTAATGAAATATTGCGTTGGTTTTTCTTGGGCGTAAAGGTACCGCAACAAAAACAAAACAAATTTACAACGACGACATAAATGTTCGTCTTCTTTCTCTTTCTCTGCCACTTCCATTGCTGTTTTTTCATTTTTGGTTCTTAAAATCACTTTCAAGTAAAAATACAATTTAAAGTTTAAATTTTAAATGTCAATAATTAATAGATGCACTTTAGTGTGCTTGAACGATAAAATAGATAAAGGCGCCTTTATACTTAAGACTTAATAAAGATTCGAGATTAAATTTTTGGGTACTTTAGGCATGATGTGAACAAAAACATATCAAATAATAGTCGAAGAGTAATGCTTATACCGAAACCCATTTACTTTGTTGCCTTTTCAATTTAATTAGTAATTAAAAAAACGACACAAATACATTTTGAGATAATTGAGCAGAGCATTTTATTACGCAATTATTTCGAATCCTAGACGTCCTGGAGCAAAACGAGTGGCATTTTTGAAATCAGCAGCCCAAAATTAGGTAGTGAATTAACGAATTAAATTAATTGTTTACAATAAAATTGGCAAAAATGTTCTTCTAGAAATCCAACGAAACTTTGGCTCAAAATGCGACCCAACCATCTTTTAAGGCCAGGCCACCCACAGTGCTCTACAAAAAACCGTTTGTACCAAAAAAAGAAGAAACCCAAATCGTGGTTTCCGAATTCCACCTGTACAGTGAAATTCGCGCAAAAGAGCGGGAAGAATTTGACCGCAAAAGCAAGGAAAAAGAACAACAAACGGAAATTATCAGACAACAAAATGAAGAGAGGCGAAGAAAAATAGAAGAAGAAGAACGCGTTAAATTAAGAAAACAGACCGAGTACAAGGCACAACCTGTCAAAAAGTACAAACCTGTTCTCATTCAGCCCTCCAAAAAGGTCACTGAACCCCTTTCCCCTAATTTCATGAGCAACAAGTTTAAACAGGCAAACAAAGAGAATGTTGTTAACAATTATTAGATTTATTATTTTTTAATTTCTTTATTTTATGTTTAGTAATGTGCCAGCAAAAAGCTGAGCTTTTTGATTTTATATATAATCCAAATAAAATACTATTTAGATAAAGGTATATTTTATTTTACTCCATTTTCAGCATTTTTTAATTGCATTGTTTTTGTTGTGGTAAGTTTTTCTATAAAAAAATATAAAAAATATTTGTTTTTTACATTTTTTGTTGTCAAACAGATAACTCCAGTTTGATTTTTTTTTCGTGAAGCTGACATTTTTACAAAAAAAACAAGCTAATGTTGATAAAAATACATGGAAAAATGGCGAAGTTAAGAATTTTTAGTGGAGACCAAAATTCAGTTTTTGACGATTTTTATTTTAATTTTTTTTTGTAATATGTTTATTCTTGTTTCTCGTGTTGGCATAGTGACATTTTTCTGATGTTTTTTGATATTTCAACAAGGTATTTTTGGGTCGTTTTCAAAAAGTAAGTTTGAATTCCAATAACTTTGTTAAAAATTATCGATTTAAAAACCAAGTGAAAGCCTAACAAGCCCTTAGTAAACTCTTTCGGAAAATTTTTGTTTAGTTATTTCAGAATAATTTTTTTTTAATTTTGAAACTTTTTCGCATGTCCCATTAGCGTTTTATAAAACTTACATACATGTTTTTTTTTAAATATTGAATAACCAGAACTTTGTGTTGCTTTGTAGCAATCCATAACATCCTTAGTTAATACAGTAAACAATTTATAAATAAAATAATTAATTTTAATCAACTTTTTTTAAATTTGACTCACGCCCCAGACATTTTTTCCGTTGCGTTACGTCCGTCGCGTTACCGATAGAATATTAAAAAAAAACATATATATGGCAACTTTTTTGGCACTTACGTGATCAACAAATGATATTCGGACGTACACATTACCCAGCTGAATTTATTTATTCAATCAGGAAGAAGATATCGGTTGAAACAGGTGCGGGTAACGCGAATGTAATAATTGTGTCCGCTAAGTTACTCAAAAAAATAATAAAAATAAGGTAAGAAAAAATACTATTTTTCATGTTTATATTTATTTTAGGGCACTAAAGCTCATTGAAAGTAATTAATGACTATAATGTCTTATTATTATTTTTTAAGTATGGTTTTACAAAACTTTGCCCACTGCGTTACCGAGTCCACTATGTTACCTTATGGTAACGCAATGGAATTTAGGGTAACGCAATAGAATTTTTCGACAACAAAGTGGATATTTACCGTCGCTTTTATTAAAAGTAGTTTATGATTAACCAATTTAAAATTATTTGTAATTACAACTCATGATATAGATTACATCCAAGGGAAAATTCCACGCAATATACAAGTACTAAAAGGGACGTAAGACCAGCTTATAGTCAAAGAAAAAGCGTGTCTACAATTTAAAAATCTAAGTTGTTATTGTGCAAGTGAGCACCACTACAAGGGATTTTGTTTATGCATTACTCTAAAATCGTACCACCCTATATAGTTTCTTTTTTACGTTATCTAATTAAGTCCTTTGTGTACCCCTGTCCGTTGTGATACCAATGTCTATTTCGTTACTTTTTTTAGTTTTTGTTAAAAAAATACTTAAAATGGTTTTTATACACTATCACTTGGTAATACGTGTTTATAAATTAGAATTTAACTCACTAATACAGTGACTAAAAGAAAATATTAATGGTATTGTTTTTTTAACAAAGAATCGGAATGGTTTCTTTTAAAAAGTAACTTAACGAACATACATATTTAAAAAAAAAACATACAATAAAATAAAAAATTGGAGTCAAAGTTTGTGAACTAAGTACATTTTATTTCAAATTATTTTTATAACAACTTTTTTTATTGAATTAAATTTTGGATTTCAAATTTTAACACCGTGGAGATATATAAAGCTAGCTAAACACATTTTTCTGAAAAAAACGTAAAAAAAATTAAAAAGTGCACTGCCTGTCTTAAATGTAAGTAAACAAAACTCTAAACATTTATAAAAATCCAACCAAAAGTCAATTTAAGCAAAAAAATATTTTGATCTTCATTTTCCTGAAAGAGGGTGTTTCCTGAAAATGACCCATTACAAAAATTAGTATTTTTGCAAAAATGGCGGATGCGCCGGTATGCAAATATTTTAAAAATTAAGATTTTGTATAATCTATCGAATTATGTAGATGACACAAAGTTTTAATTCATTTGCAGAAATCTAGTGAGGTGGGAGAAAAGGTATATGAGATAGTTGAATGTCGAGGAGAGAGTATTTTATAATTCAATGAAAGTGGTTCCTGTTGTTCTTCGTTTTATTCAGGTACATGTTATATAATTATATAATATAACTAAGTGCAGTGTTGTTAATCCGTAAAAGTGATCTACAAGAATTATTTAGTTTGAAAATTACCACCATCCTGATTGTTCAGTAATTAATATTAATTTTAGTTAATGGAGATAAAGATCATTTTAAATTAATTTTATGTAATTTAAATTAAAATCGAATAAGAATCGTTTCCGATATATTAAAAAAAATTGTCTTAAATGTTATGTCAAAAACTCCAATATAGGACAAAAAAGTTCGCACGTTACTTTGGTGGTAAGATGTTTGTTGTTTTGTTAAGAGCAGGGCTGTGTTTAAATTACAATAAAAAATATTTGTAAAAATTGTACGCAGTGTGTGGTATAAATGTGTTCCTAATGGTTTAAACATTGTCACTTTAATGCGTTTTAATTTAAATTCTGAAAACAAACAGTAAAATGGCCAGTGTCCAATTACTGGTTGGTAAAAAATGCAAATTTCTCTTATTGGACATATGTCCAATATCATACTCTATTTGTATCCCGGGCATTTACCAGCCAATTCTTATGTAAAATTGTCCACTGAATCCGAAAAGACCGCCAAAAACTATAAAAGTTGAGCAGGTTTTGAGATATAGTCAATTCCATATTATATGTTAAATTGATTATATTATATACTTTTATAACTTTTGACGACATTTTCGGATTCAGCGTATAATATTTCATAGGAATTGACTGCTAAATGTCCTGGATACAAATTTCTGTTGACGAGAATTATTAGTGGCTGATTATTCGCTATGACATTTTTGACTAATTCATTTTTAGAGAGTAAGTAATAGAGTGATTTCTTCGTCACAGGACATCTTGCAGAATAACAGTGATTTAAATACAGTGCATGATAGAGAACATAAAAATCTAATGGCAACAAAGTTAATAAATTCGGAAAATACTTTTAACATACCACCCGAAAAAATATTAGATATATATAAATCATCCTGTTCCGGCCTAAACATTATAAATGCTTCACAAACTAGAGATACCACACTTAATGATATTTACAACAAACTATTTCAGAAGTCAGACCAAGGAATTAGTAGTTACCTTAGGAATCTAGAAAAGGGACGAGGAATCAGAGAAAGAAATAGCAATTTATCATAAAAATTGTATGTCCAATAACTATGGTCCAATTACTATATAAAATGTCCAATTACTATACTTTTTGCATGTTTTTATAAAACTATAATTAAAAATTCAAAAATTCTTATTTTAAAAATATTTTTATGAAATATGTAAAATTAGAAATGTTGCTACTTACCTTATACTACAGTATAAAATCATTGCCACGAAGGTCAATATTAATTATGCAACGATTTATTTGACAATTGGGTAAATAAAAATCGAAAGGGAAAGCAGCAAAAAATGCTAAACTGATGTTTGGCTTACCGGAGGTTAAACCCATTTCAGACAGACACTTCCTAAGAAGAGAAAGTATAAGATATTTATTTATATATCAACATATTACAAAATCGTCGTGCTATAATGTTTGGGTTTGGTTGTGCAATTCAAAATTTCTTTTATTTGGGCGGTTTGCTGCGCGCTGTTAAAATTTTTCGTGGTGAAATAATGTTTTTATTAGTTTGCTTTTTAAACATTTCTTTGTATTTAAATTATTTGTTTCATAACAAAAAACTCACTATAGACATATTTTCATTTACGGTAAACGGTTAAAGTTACAGTTAAAAAGTAAAAAATATATTTATAAAAGTATTTTCCTAATTTATTAATTTTGTTGCCATTACTTTTTTATGCTCTCTATCATGCACTGTATTTAAATCACTGTTATTCTGCAAGATGTCCTGTGACGAAGAAATCACTATATTACTTACTCTCTAAAAATGAATTAGTCAAAAATGTCATAGCGAAAACGCAGCCACTAATAATTCTCGTCAACAACAATTTGTATCCAGGACATTTAGCAGTCAATTCCTATGAAATATTATTTGCTGAATCTGAAAATGTCGTCAAAAGTTATAAAAGTAGAACAGTTTTTGAAATATAATCAATTTTACATATAATGTGGAATTGACTATATCTCAAAAACTGCTTAACTTTTATAGTTTTTGGCGGTCTTTTCAGATTCAGGGGACAATTTTACATAAGAATTGGCTGGTAAATGTCCGGGATACAAATAGAGTAAGATATTAGACATACATATGTCCAATAATAGAAATTTTCATTTTTTACCAACCAGTAATTGGACACTGGCCATTTTACTGTTTGTTTTCAGAATTAAAATTAAAACGCATTAAAGTGACAATGTTTAAACCATGAGGAACACATTTATACCACACACTTTTTAGAAATATTTTTTATTGTAATTTAAACACAGCCCTGCTCTTAACAAAAAAACAAAAATCTCACCACCAAAGTAACTTGCGAACTTTTTTGTCCTATATTGGACCCAAAACAAAGTAGTTCTATATTATTACCGACTGAGATCGTTGTAATTGTATACAGCGTCATCTAATGATTTGACTTTAAGGTAACTATTTATAGATCTCTTGTTTTTTACAGTATTAATGTTAATTGTCCAATAACTATAAAATGTCCGATAACTGTCTACTTTATTGTGGAATTCTTTAGGGGATTTCCATTTTTCTAATAAAAAACTCTCAAGTGTTTTAATTAATTTAAACTTTTCTGGCAAATTATAATTATAATTAGTGTATACACTTAATACTTCGTGGAATTCGTGCAACTAAATCAAGAGCAATTCGTAATTAGTCCTGCTAGACCGCAAGCATCTCAGAGATTTAATTGAAAATTCCAGGATTAATCGGTATCTTAAACTAAAACATCCTCCTCATTAAAACTAAATAAGTTAAGACCATTATTTTTAACAGACGCCATTTTAAAGAAAATTGAATGCCCATATTTGGATCTAAATGGGTGAATCTCTCGAAATGTCCCCCCATGATATTACCCCATGATATTTAATAAAACTAAATGAGTTTGACCTACACTTTTATTGTGTTTTGATCTTTTTAACCGCAATTAAATATTTTTTACAATGTTTTAAAAGTCTAAAACCTATCCTCCGTGACTGTTGCTCTTTCTAGGTTAACCTATATGTTTTCAAACATCTGAGTTAGTAAAAGCATACTAAAAATATCAGTTCACCAAGTAAATTAATCACATCCAAAGCAATCGAATCAAATATAAAATATTATTAAAAACTAAAAGAAATAATTTTTATAACCATTTATGTAGGTGTTACGAAAATTGATTCTATCCTCCGTTAATCTGTTTTTGCTTTAAATTTTATGCAACGGATGGCGCTTTAATCATTTTAAATAAGCAAAAACTCTGTGTACGACATTATAGATGCATGTGATTCCTGAAGGTCAGTTAGAATTTATATGCAGATGAGAGTGTTGCTGTTTTATAATTCAAAAGTTTAAGTTCATTAATTTGCAATTTAAAAACCTATCCACCGTGAAGTGTAAATATTAAAACTATGGGAGAATTACCCAGCTGCCTTAGGAATGAAAAAATTATCTTGGTAACAATCACAATAACATTCATTTTCAGAGATGTTTCTAGCAGTAGCGTTACTTGTAATAGTTCTCGGACTGCTAGCATATCTGGATAGCCGAAAACCGAAAAATTTCCCACCAGGGCCTAGATGGTGGCCTCTCATTGGCTCAGCGTTCGAAATCATGGAGGCCAGGAAACGTACCGGGTACCTTTTCCAAGCCACCGCCGAAATGGCCGAGAAGTACGGGCCTGTGCTGGGCCTGAAGTTCGGCAGAGACAAGCTGGTGGTCGTTTATGGGCCAGAGGCGGTTAAGGAGTTTTTGTCGTCTGAGGATTTGTCCGGGAGACCTCACGACGACTTCTACAGGATGAGGACGTTTGGAAAACGAAGAGGTTTGTGCAAAAGTTTTATTATAACAGTTTCTTAAAATTTACAGGGTAGTAACTCAAAATCGGCTTTTTATGTCAGGAGACCACGGACAGTGGTTTAAATTAAATGTCGATATCGCACAATCACCGTTGCTACTCGCTCCAAATAATTAAATATGACTGGTAAAATCACTTAACTAAGTAATAATAGTAAGAAATAACTTCAATTAACAATAAAATTTCCAAAAACCTGCTATTATGTTTTATGGCTACTTTTGTCTTTTTTAATAAAAAAATGCTAATTTGGTCCTGTTCTCCCTACGAAAATTAAAAATTATTACATTTTTAACCAAAACTGTGTATTTTTACATTGACTCGAAACCCAATACTTTTTTGCCTTATCAATTTTGCGCTATCAAACTTGCTTTACCAAAAAACAACACTATTACACTCAGAAAATTGTTTAATAAATATAACAAATATAACAAAAAAAGTAGTTTGTCTTAATAATGCCCAACAATTGCTTTTGTTAAGGCAAAAAGATCATTTTTATAAAAATTATTTATCTACAAACGCTGCTTTCAGTAATAGCATTTGCATTAATTATAAAGTAAATTTACGTTATTTTTATAAAAATAACACTCTTCCAGATGCAGAAACGCATTGATAAATATAGTTATTATTATTTATCAAAAAAAAACAGTTCTATACCGTTTACAAAAACGTTTTGTAGTATTAATGAAACCCTAATGGTATTATTCATAGAAATTTTGTAAATTTTACAAATCCCTTTTCGATTAAAATAAAACTTTTTAATATTAATAAAAATTACGTAAATTTAACAACAAATTAATTGTTAATTCAATAAACTATTTTCATTGTAACAATGGTCACATTTGGGAAGTTTTTTTTTAAACATGGTACTAATAAGTTTAATTTTATTTCAATGTTTTTTTTCATGGATTCCTTGTATTTTGTAAAAATATATATTTTTTATTTTAAAAATACAGTGTATCAAGATCTACACTTTAAAACAAATCCGGTTAAAATCGCACAATAAATAAAGATTTTACAGGGGTGAGTCGCAAAAAAATGGGACACACTGTATGTAACTCAAGCATTTGATGAAAAATACTTTGGTCACTCTAAATTTCTCCAATACTGTATAGTCTCACAAACAAATGACTTGATAAAAAAGTGTCAAAAAAAATAATAGCAGGTTTTTGAAAATTTTATCGTTAATACCATTTTAAGAAATTTATAGTTTACAAGAAATTAATTAAGTTTTTTCAAAAATATTTACGTGGTAACCAGTGGCGGCCCGTGACATTTCATTTTGGTGAAGCAGAGGCAGGGTTTCGCCCTCATTTAAAGGCGAAGAAATTTTTTTAAACCCAACTTAAAAAAACTGACGTCGCAGTTCACAACCTATACTTAAAACTAAGTAAAAAACTTGGACTGTGGTGGGGAAGGAATCCCCTACTTTGTCAATGAAATATATTTTATTGTAAAAATGACGTTTATTTTAAATAAACCTCATTTTTGTCTAATTAATAATTCATTGTTCAGCAAGAACCACGTGAAGGGCAACAATATCGGTACAATTTCTCACCGTAATATCCATAATGACTAAATTCACATAAATCACCAAGTTCAATTAACTAAACCCACAGAATAAACCACTTACAAAAGAATCATAAAATAGACAAACTCATAGAAAAAGAATAAACAAAATATTGCGTAAATAACCACAGATTTGTTCTTTAAACAGTTCAGAATTTTATAACTAAAACAAACATAAAGAAGGAACCTGTATTTATTTTATTGGTTACTGTGATGGCTACAAGATGGCGATAGTGTTAAAATGTTTATTTTAGAATTGAAATATAATTTCGATTAAATCGATTTATTATAAAAAAAACAATACCATTTATTATTGAATTTTGAAAAACGTGTGAAGTATAATTTATCTAAAATTCCGCCACAATACCTGCTTATTTCCTTGGATGTAGGCATTGTAATAGAACGAGACGACAAGGCTAACGCCAATCGTGAGTCTAAATTAGTTTAGGCATGCTTCTGAGCCAATCATCTGGCTATAAATATTAGTTTAAATTGCGGTGGTTTCAAATTCAAATAATTTAAATGTTGCTGGGTATTCCACGTATAAAATCAATCAATTTGGCAACTAATTTTTATATTTAAGGTATCATCCTTGTGGACCAAAACTTCTGGACGGAGCAAAGAAGATTCTTGCTTCGTCACTTAAGAGAGTTTGGTTTCGGACGAAAAACCATGTCTTCTATGATTGAAGATGAAGCCGCTCATTTGGTGACTTACTTGAAGGAAACCATAGTAAAAAATGATTCGGTGGTTTTCAACGTTGAAACATTGTTTAACGTACCGATTCTGAATACAATTTGGAAGATGATGGCGGGGGTTAGGTACCATCCAGACGACAAAAACATGCAAGAACTTCTGGCCATAATGGCCAAGTTATTCGGTACCGTCGACATGACCGGGGCTCTATTCAGCAGATTTCCCATTTTAAAGTACATCGCCCCTGAAATGTCCGGGTACAACATTATGGTGGAACTGCACGTACGGATGTACGAAGTGATAGGTAAAATGCTGGAGGAGCACAAGAGGACGCACAACCCTGACGATCCCAGGGATCTAATGGACGTGTATTTGACAGCCCTGAAATCCGAGAATCCCGGCAGAAGTTTCTCCGAGCAGCAACTCATGGCCATTTGCTTGGACATGTTCATGGCCGGATCTGAAACCACAAGCAACTCTTTGACCTTCGGTGTACTCCACCTGATGTTGAATCAAGAGGCGCAAAATAAAGCTAGAGAGGAAATTGACAGGGTCATTGGAAAGGAACGAAGGCCCACTCTTGATGATAGACCACTGTAAGTTTAACAGTTTTTTAATAATAATAATAATAATATTTATTCTCTTCACCTCCAAATGTTCAAGAACAATCTTTTACTACAATTTTTGTGGTATCATCAGCAAATAGTGTAACATCAGACAAGTTACCAATGTTAGACAGGTCATTTATAAACATCAAAAATAGTATAGGTCCAAGAACAGAGCCTTGAGGTACCCCCACATTAACAGTTCCCCTTTGACTCAATTAGTTCCCAGTTTTCCCTGATAGCAAAATTTGATTTTAAGAATCTTCTATTGCTAAGAATGTTCTTAGGGACTTTTTCTTATGGAGCTTCTAGGAAGCTTTTGATAATATTTCCAAATATTTCAGATACCCACGTTCTAATATGTTGTATTCTACATTCGTAAAATTCTTCAGGAGACGACAAATACGCCTCACTGTCATAATATGACAGTGAAATGTATTTGTCGTCCCCTTAAAAAAATTTGCGACATATTAATATATATTTATTTAAAAATATTAAATAAACAATTTGACCTCTAAACCATAAGTTGTATGACATTATTTCATAAAAAATAAAATTGGAAAATTTTGTGGGATAAGTCAAATTAGATTGAAGTTGAAGATATTATTATACATAAAAATGTTAATTCAGATATAAAAAATCGGTATACAAATTAATTAATATTTATTTTTAACATAAAATAAAATATAAAAAAACAAAATATTTCCTTATAAAATAATTCTTCATAAAAGAAAAAACCAAATAGTTCTTCATAAAAAAACATTTTTCATTGTATTTAAGTTGGATAGAAGATTTTATGTAAAAGCCGGATAATTTAGATACCTATAGTAAAAGTATTTTTGTTATCGAATATTGTTTTAATTTGACAAATAACTATAAAAAAATATTTTGGGTTGTTTTTTACTTAGTATTTAATACTAAGTATAGGTACCTTTATACGTAGATTATGGTATATTTTACTATTATATAGGTACCTAACTGAACTGAATATGCTTAACAGAATGTTCCAGGAATATTCCTAAATGAACTTTCTATAGCAACTACTTTCTCAACATTCTAAGCATATGTTTAGAGTGGATTAATTTTTACCACTAAACTTTGCAACTTCTAAGAACCTGCCTATAGGCCAGTGAGAATAGATATTTTTAGGATTATGCTATATTTCTTTTAAGCATGTTCTTTAGAAGAAATATAGCATGATCCTAAGAATATTCCCACTGGAAGGTTTAAAAAACATTCTTAGAATAAACTGTGGTATCAGGGGTATACTAAATACTAAGTAAAACACAATCCAAAATATTTTTTTATAGTTATTTGTCAAATTAAAACAATATTCGATAACAAAAATACTTTTACTATATGTATTTTATTTTATGTTAAAAATAAATATTTATTAATTTGTATACCGATTTTCTATTTTTTTATGTATAATAATCCTAACTATCTTCAACTTCAATCTAATCCGACTTATCACACAAAATTTTCAAGGTCAAATTGTTTATTTAATATTTTTAAATACATAATTTTTTACGGGGACGACAAATACATTTCACTGTCATATTATGACAGTGAGGCGTATATTTCGTCTCCTGAAGAATTTTACGAATGTAGAATACAACATATTAGAACGTGGGTATCTGACATATTTGGAAATATTCTCAAAAGCTTCCTAGAAGCTCCATAAGAAACCTTCTAAGAACATTCCAAAAACGTATTCTTAAAATGTTCTTAGGATGCTTTTTAGGAAGGTTTTAAGAAGCTTTTAAGAATCTAATTGCATCATTAAAAGGATATCTATTGAATGTTTTAAAAGTCCCTAGGAACATTATTAGCAATAAGGGAATATTCCATTATTCCGGGTCATATCTTCTTAGAAGATTCTTAAAATCAAATTTTGCTATCAGGTTATCTTTTACTACAATTATTGTGGTATCGTCAGCAAATAGTGTAAGATCAGACCAGTTACCAATGTTAGACAGGTCATTTATGAATATCAAAAATAGGGTAGGTGCAAGAACGGAGCCTTGAGGTACCCTTCTTGAAACCAGAAGAGTTTTTAATAATAGTGTTGGCTATATTTGCAAAATATAGCCAACACTATTATAAGGTGATGCTTGTTCTTTTTAGGATGCCTTATTTGGAGTGCGTGGTATTCGAAACACTGAGGATGTTTGGTGGTAGAGTTTTAACCGTCCCACATAGAGCTCTTAAAGATACCCACCTAAATGGATACTTTATTCCTAAGGTACGCCAAGTATGTCAAGTTTTAAATGCTTAAAAAATTAATGAAACCTTTCAGGACGTTCAAGTGATAGCAAACCTTCACGGTTGCATGATGCGGCCTGAAAACGGCTTCGACGATCCTGAAGCCTTCAAGCCTGAAAGGTACCTGAAAAACGGTAAAATCCACCTACCGGAAACTTACATGCCTTTCGCCATGGGCAAACACAGGTGCATGGGCGAAACCATGGCAAGAGCCAACGTTTTCCTATTTTTAACCACCATGATACAAAACTTTGAGTTCAGTGTTGTTCCCGACAGTCCGCCGGATATGAAAATGGTGGACGGGGTCACTCCCGGAATGAAGCACTTCAAAGCCAGGGTCGTTCCCAGGATGTTATAAGTTTGTTTATTAGTTTTAGGAGGGCTCAAGATAACCACTTTTTATTTATCTATAGGTGCAAATTTTTAATTATCTTAATTAAAAAATACAAATATGAGAAACAGATATTTTAAATTCACTAAATTAAAAATATCAGTTCAGCATAAATATTAAATCTTATTTTAAAATATCTGCTATGATATTATTAATTCGCAGAATAAGAATTCTTAGGTGATATTTTTAATTTTAAAACATATGTATAAATAAAAAAAATCACATGGACATGTTTAATCTGCGAATTAAAAATATCATGCGATATTTAAAAATTAGATTTAATTTTTATGTCGAACTGATATTTTTAATTTAGAGAATTTAAAATATCTGTTTCTTATATTTGTATTTTTTGTTCAACACAAATTTGTAATTCGCTTAATTAAAAATATCATGGGCGAATTTTTTAAATGTATTAAAAATACAAAAAATACAAATATGAAGAACAGATTTTAAATTCACAAAATTAAAAATATCAGTTCAGCATAAATAATAAATCTTATTTTAAAATATCTGCTATGATATTATAAATTCGCAGAATAAGAATTCTTATGTGATATTTTTTATTTTAAAATATATGTATAAATAAAAAATATCACATGGACATGTTTAATCTGCGAATTAAAAATATGCGATATTTAAAAATTAGATTTAATTTTTATGTCGAACTGATATTTTTAATTTAGGGAATTTAAAATATCTGTTTCTTAAATTTGTATTTTTTGTTCTACACAAATTTGTAATTCGCATAATTAAAAATAATATGGGAGAAATTTTTAAATGTATTAACAGTACAAAAAATACAAATATGAGAAACAGATATTTTAAATTTGCTAAATTAAAAATATCAGTTCAGCATAAATATTAAATCTTATTTTAAAATATCTGCTATGATAGTATTAATTCGCAGAATAAGAATTCTTATGTGATATTTTTTATTTTAAAATATATGTATAAATAAAAAATACCACATGGACATGTTTAATCTGCGAATTAAAAATATGCGATATTTAAAAATTAGATTTAATTTTTATGTCGAACTGATATTTTTAATTTAGGGAATTTAAAATATCTGTTTCTTATATTTGTATTTTTTGTTCTACACAAATTTGTAATTCGCATAATTAAAAATAATATGGGAGAAATTTTTAAATGTATTAACAGTACAAAAAATACAAATATGAGAAACAGATATTTTAAATTCACTAAATTAAAAATATCAGTTCAGCATAAATATTAAATCTTATTTTAAAATATCTGCTATGATATTATTAATTCGCAGAATAAGAATTCTTACGTGATATTTTTTATTTTAAAATATATGTACAAATAAAAAATATCACATGGACATATTTAACCTGCGAATTAAAAATATCATGCGATATTTAAAAATTACATTTAATTTTTATGTCGAACTGATATTTTTAATTTAGGGAATTTAAAATATCTGTTTCTTATATTTGTATTTTTTGTTCAACACAAATTTGTAATTCGCTTAATTAAAAATATTATGGGAGAATTTTTTAAATGTATTAAAAGTTCAAAAAATACAAATATGAGAAACAGATATTTTAAATTCACTAAATTAAAAATATCGGTTTAGGATAAAAATTAAATCTAATTTTAAAATATCTAATATGATATTATTCATTTTTATTCTTATGATTTATTTTTTATTGAACTGTAGTGTCTGGAAATTAATATAAGAATGGACAAAAAATTTAAATTATTTAAAAAAATTCCGAAAAGTGGTTAAGAAAGAAATAAAAATATATCGACACCTAATTTTTCAAATATAAATAGTTTTGAGTCAAGTACTGATAATTATAAATATTGTAATAGTTAATAATAAATGTTTATTTTTTAAAAAGGTATTTTATTTAAATAAAACCCAAAACAACATAAAGGGATATTTTATTAATATTTAACATTACAAACTTATGAAATTATTAAATATAAAATATTTACAAAACGTTTTAACAAAATAAAATTTAACATGATTAATAATGTAATTAATAACAAGAAATACAATAAAAAACGATGGCACCCATAAAAAATATTAAATCAGGCATATATTTCAAAGTAACCCACCACAAAACAATAATTGAAATAAATGCATGATTTCTGTAACATACTGTACATTTTTATTAATATTCTATGGTAATATTACAAGGTGTAATAAATTATTTACACGTGAAAAAAATGGTTCTACACACTAAATATATCTGTGTATTATGTATGTATGCAGATATGTACTATATATAATGAAAAAATGGTTTATGAATCTAACAATCAAGACTATTTTTGGGAAACAATTTGCTAAAAGTATACAGTGTTCTTAGAAAAAATATAGCAGTTCTATGCTTTAATTATCGACATATTTTAGCCGTTTGTGATTGACATATTAAATGTTGTTATGTATGGTAAGGTGTCCATAAGTGCGCACATATAGCAAATTTGGTGTTGTCAAAGTGCTGTGATTTTTTAAACCTTATTATTCGACAGTAATCAATGAAAAACATTTTGTATCTCATTAATAAATTAATATAAAGCTAAGCTAAATTTTGATGGAGAATTAAGTGTTTTTTTACAAAAAAGATATACTTTGTTTTTTCGTAAACCTAGCCTTTCAAAAGATATCTATCGTCAAATTTAATACACAAAAAACCAAACCTTGAATTTAATTAAATTGATTTAAATTCCAAATTTCCAATTATAAAAAAATTAATGATTTTTGAAGTTAAATTACAAAATTAAAATTTTATAAATCGATTTTTTAAATAACTATGTGGTTTACCCAACATGTTTAAAAGTCTCTTATCAATCCCAGTACCAGAATACTTTTTAAACTAAATATTTTGAAATAAAATTTCAGAAAAAAATGTCAAAATATTTATTATTATTTTAATAAATTTTAAGATATTTCAAAAATTTAGAACTAAAATTAATAATTGTTGCGGTATTTATGAAAAAAATAAGTTGCAATTATCTTTAAAACGCTTATATTTATCAAAAAAACATTTGTATATCAGTTAATTACCAATTAAAATGTGTATTAAGCTTAGCTTTATATTTAGAGATATAAATTTTTTCATGGACTTTTACATTACAACACATAATTTTTTTAAAAATATTTAAAATATGGATGGTATTAATATACACCAATTCCTCAATTCAATTTTCAGTCATTATTAAAAGCAGAAATCTTTCGATTTAAAGCAAACAATATTGTCACACTTCTATAATATATTATTTACTATATTTTGTAATAATTATCGAACAAGAAAAAATTCACAATTGTGCAAATCATCTTCCTTGTTTTTTAAATTTACTATTTACATCTTGATTTTTACTGTATTTTTTAATATTCATTTTTTATAAGATTGAAACCGAAAATTTGTACAATCTGTAAAACACGGTGGTCCCTGTATAAGTTTTTATCAAAATACATTGGTTTAAAAATTAAATAAATTCAAGTTTAACCATTCTTACGCTTTTTTTTATCTTACATTTGATTTACATTCAGTCTCAATTTTTTAAATTTAGCAATTCTCCTCAAATAATTGTTTAGATACTTACTTTCATTAAATACACCCTGTACATTTACGTGACGATAATTGGTATTTTACAGGTGCAAATGGTGACGTTAAATGGACAGGGTACAGGGTAATTAAAACATGTGCCATCCATAGTGAATAGTACATGTTTTATAAAACACCCTGTAAAATATTAGATAACAAATTAACTACTTAAGTACAGCTATTTAGTTGTGAATGTAAACATAACAAATAAAATAATATTTATTATTATTTAGCTACCTAAAAGCTAAAAACAAGAAATATAATTTTTACTATTCCCTGAAAAAAATACCTACATTGCAAAAATCGATAAAAAAATAAAAAATTCGTTGTTTATTCAATTATACAAAATGTGATGTATTGTCTTAAATATTTTAATATCGCCTTAAAAAGTTAAATTTTTTAATAATTCTAGTGGATGAACATTTTTTCATTAGGGTGTTTTTTGCTATAACTTGAAGTATTTTTTATGTTTAAGAAATCACGAAAAAAATTAAATTGTTCACCCACATAAATCAACAAAAAAATCTGTTTTTTAAGGCGAAAACTTCAATTTTGTATTTGCAAAATTGGCTATTATATTGTGAATTTTTAAAGCTCATTCATATTGCTTATAAAACATGGATATTAACTGCATATTGAATTTTAAAATTGCTGGTTGGATTAGGTTTACATTCAATAAGATTTTGTGGTAAAATTTAATATTAAATTAAGTCATTTGCCCATTAACATAAACCTGAAAAGTTTTATTAAATTCGGGCAAGAAGTTTATGAAATTTTTAAGTTTATATAAACTTCTATCGACTTCTAAATTTTCACGATTAAAATTGTAATAATAATAACAATTTTAAGTATTCTCTTTGTTTCCATTTTAACGTAATAAAATTATAATTTTACTTTTACCACATTTGCGGCAAAAGTAAAAACTCGTACAAAGGTAAACAACTGAAGAGGAATTTACTACGAAAGAAATTCCTAAACAAATAAAGGACTGGTAAAAATTAAAGTAAAGTTTTGCGTTATCTCTGAAATTTAAAATATGTTTCAATATGCGAGATATTTAAGAAGGTAGATAAAGCAATTTAAACAATTTAATAGAAATTTAAATAAAGCTGGGCATGTTTTGCATAATACGAATACTTTTTCTGATGTTAAAAATCAAATTAGAAGAATATAAAAATAATAAACATTATTTTTTACATTTTCTGAAAATTCCGTGTTTCCCCTTGTTTTACATTTTTAAAATTCTTTTCTCACTGTTTGGTAAAAAACTTTTTAAAAAAGTGTTAAAACAAAACAAATTTCAACGTAGGATTTGTTTTTTGGCAAAACTGTAATTCTTAAAAATATTTAAAATAAATACAAATTATTTTTATATTTTTAATTGATATTTACCATTTTTAAATTTGTAATTTTTTCATAAAAAAAACTATTTTTAGAATTATTTGAGATTTATTCGAGAACTTTTTATTTGGCATTTTTGGTTTTGGAGGGTTAAAATATAAAAAACTAATTTTTGTTAATTTTTTGAAGCCCTTTAAAAAAATTGGGAAAAATATTATAAATTATAAATTATAAAAATTATAAAAATTATAAAAATTGTAAAAATTGTAAAAATTGTAAAAATTATAAAAATTATAAAAAATATAAAAATTATAAAAATTATAAAAATTTTAAAAATTGTAAAAATTATAAAAATTATAAAAATTGTAAAAATTGTAGAAATTGTAAAAATTGTAAAAATTATAAAAATTATAAAAATTATAATAATTATAAATTATAAAAATTGTTTTATTTATGTATTGATTAAAATAAATATTTTTTTAATAATAAAAGCAAAACTTCAAACAATACTTTTAAAAATTCACAATACAATTTATAACAAACATATCATAAATTATATACAAAACAAAAAGAGAAATAAATACCCCAACCATACTGCGTTTTGTTGACTAAATACAATAACGCCGCTGTGTCAGTCCAAGCAACATTTATTCGTTAACTGTCTTTTCCAAAATGGAAATTCCATACAACGTTATAACAATGCCAATTCAACGTACCCGTTACTCTCATATCTCTACGTCAAGTTTCCAATTTTTTTCGCTGGTATACGGAGTAAAATAATGGGGTGGTTAAATTTTTTCTGACCTGTACTTTTTATGGTTTTATTCAAGGCGTTTTGTAATTTTAAACATTTCTGTGAAATCGGAATTTCAATTGAGTTTACCGTTTTCGACATATTTACAAAAAAAAATCTCCTAATTACGTCACTAGGCTATTGACAACGTTGCCAGCTTTTTCTATGGTTGCCAGTGTGTTTAGTTTAAGATTTTTACGATAGATGGCGCCACGTTATAATATTTTAGTTTTAAAACCACTTGATCTATAATTTTAGTTGAGAAGAAGAAGAAGAATTGATTTTTTTACGTTTTTTTTCGGGTTATGTTTTTTTTAAATTTAGATTATTGAAAATCAATGTTATTTGTAATTGATATTAGATAAGTGATTTATTAATAACGGACTCCAAAGCAGAGGAATTTTGTGGAATGGTTGGTTATATTGAACATTGGAGCTTTTAAACAAATAAAGTAAGTAACTATAATTATAATCATATTTTGTCGTAAATGCATTTCATTAGTATAATGCCTAGTTCTTTATATTCTTTTAGATATATCTTGGACTCTAAAATGTCAAACAGTAATATGATACCTCGTAATAAGGAAGATAGGTACTTAATGAATTTGGTGACCATCTTTCACTCAACTGACAGTGACAGTATTTGTACATAACCTCCTCGGGTATTTTCCGACATAACCGAATGAAATCGTTAACAAGACAACTTGACAACAGGGTAATTTTCAACCAATAGAAATCTTAGAATGTTGGTCACATGGCGAGGTTTGTGACGTCATAAAAATTTATATTTTTTGTAAATATCTCGAAAACGGTAAACTCAATTGAAATTCCGATTTCACAGAAATGTTTAATATTACAAAACGCCTTGAATAAAACCATAAAAAGTATAGGTCAGAAAAAATTTAACTACCCCATTAATGGACAAAAACTGTTCCCATTCAAGCATTGACAATCCCAGTTACTTCAACTTAAACCCTTACCCAACCAACCACCTGCTTGTCGATCAGCACGTCAGCAGGAGCATCAGCAGGGTGCAAGACTCGACAACAGGAGCAGCAGGAGCTTGAGCAGGACAAGATCCGTGTATCACAGTGTATTCGCTGACGAGCGCTCAGGCGCGTAACGATGACGCACGTGCGTCGCGGCGCTGTAGAACGACGCACCGCCGTCCATCATCAAATGCGGCGGCGGTCACCTCCTGGCCAGTTCGTCCTGGATGTGAATCTGGAAAAAGTTCGACTTAAATGTCTTTTTCCGTTCCCAAGAAACTTTAAACGACCACGAATGTAAAACACCCTGTATAACGCAAAGCTCCTAAAAATATTTAAAAAAAATACTCAAGGATATAATGATCAAACATCAAAGTAATAGCATACTAAAAATATCAGTTCACTAAGTAAATTAAACACATCCAAAGCAATCGAATCAAATACAAAATATTATTAAAAATAAAAAGAAATAATTTTTATAACCATTTATGTATTTGTCACAAAAGTTGATTCTATCCTCCGTGAATCTGTTTTTGCTCTAAATTTTATGCAACGGATGGCGCTTTAATCATTTTAAATAAGCAAAAACCTCTGTTTACGACATTATAGATGCATGTGATTCCTGAAGGTCAGTTAGAATTTATATGCAGATGAGAGTGTTGCTGTTTTATAATTCAAAAGTTTAAGTTCATTAATTTGCTATTTAAAAACCTATCCACCGTGAAGTGTAATATCTCAGTGCCTTTCGATTTTCCTTTTGAACATTATTAACGAAATTATGCGTGAATTATTTGGCAAATTAATTAACTAACGAAAATCCGAAATCCCACGTAACTTTTCACTTTAATTAAAGTACGCCAGTTGGGTTGAAGTTCCACAACTTTATGTTCTATTTAAATTAAGTTCAACCCTTGCTAAACTTAACAGTCAATAATCTCTTATTGCATATTAATATATCATTTAATATTACAAAAACGAAATTTTATTTTTTATTGTATCTATGTTTTATTTTTAACCGGGTGAAACCCATAGAAAGTATCTTGTAAAAATGGTCAAAAATGGCGAATGCGCCGGGATTAATATAATGGAATTTTGTAATTATCTAAAAACAGGGCTGTCCAACTTTAAGTGGCCCAATGTAGAGAATAATTTTTAAATTGTTTTGTTAACCTCTAAAAGACTTTATAAAAAGTAAAATAACAAAACTTTCACAAAAGCAAATGTTCTAATTAAGAATTATTGTTTTATATTTTTAAACGTGCATTTTTTACTTTTAGAAGATTTAATCGTGTCTATTATTATTTTTCGTGTTTTTTTAAACAAAGTAAAGTTTTAATTAAAATTGTAGGATGACAAAAGCATTCTGTTAATTTTTAATTGAAAGCAATAAAACGTTGAGCATTTAAGCATTATTTTAATTCATGTTTTTACTTTTACTTTAATCTGTGGAAAGCTTAAAAAAGCTTTAATGTTTTAGTTTTTGTTTTTAATTAAAATATGTAATAAAAATTGTATATTAAATCATATTTAAGTTAGTTTATTGGAGTTATATAGAAAAACCTGCTTTTGAATAAAGCAAAACCTACTATTGGACCAACAGATATTTGTTCTATGTGGTTAGGTCAATAGTATATGCTTTTGTAGCAGGCAAATTTTCTTTCTTAAAAAGTTAAAATAAATAAGAGGTGAGTTCAGAAAATATCGGGAATTTTCGTTATTTGAAACAAATATTTATTTATTCGTCTACATTAATGTTGTCGCCTTCAAAATAGTCCCCATTGGATATTATGCACATGTGCCAGCTCTTCTTCCAATACTCGAAACACTTCTAAAACTCGATCTTTGGAATAGCCTTTAGTTCTTTCAGCGATGCGCTTTTAATGTCATCTATGCTTGCAAAACGACGGCCCTTTAAGGTTCTCTTTATTTTTGGAAATAGGAAAAAGTCAGACAGAGGTAGTCTGGCGAATATGGAGGCTGGGGCATCATTACATGATTTTGTTCAAAATTTAACAATTTTAGAACAAATTTTGGTGCCACGCGTTTCATACTCAAAACATTCGAAAAAATTTCATGGGATGAGCCAATCAATATACCAACATCATCAGCGACTTCTCTGTTGGTTTATAACCATTTCTTCCATTTTTTCCATGTTTTTATCGGTTGTTAATGTGCTTGTGCGTTCGGGGCGTTCGTCATCATCAACGTCTTCACGGCCATCTTGGAAACTCTTATACCACTTGAAAACTCTTGTTTTACTTATAGCAGACTCACTATAGGCCTTTCTTAACATTTCACAGAATTTATTTCATTTTTTAAGCAAAATTGGATAGAAATTCTTTGATCCATTTCTTTTAACGAACGAAAAATCGCCGAGCTCATAAAAGACGTCTAACCTTAGCGGCTGCCACAGACAAAGTAAACAATGAAAACAGCTAAAGTTTTTATCATACTTCGGGGGCATGTATACCAACATAATACCCGCGAAATTTAACAATTCCCGTTATTTTCTGAACACAACTCGTACATTTTAAGTTCTGTTAACATCAATTAAACCATTATAAAATCGATGACTGAACTAATTGAATTAAAATTTGTAAAATATCAAGATTTATACCCCAAATATATGGTGATAAAATTTCATAATGATATCTTTATTGTTTTTTTGTTTAATGGATTTTGGCCTCTTTTTTGCCATTCCAGTCCACAGTGCGGGGCCGAATTAGTTAATCAAATTGGCCAATTAATTATAACACGCCCTCTATCGCAATTAAGATGCAACTGGATGGTTGAACAATCAGTAGGATTCTAAATCATTAATTAATTAGGACATAGGTATGTGCAGGTTATTTAAAATCTGACATGTCCACAAAAAGAAGTTCTTATTTTAGAAAACAGCAACAAAAAAGACAATTTTAAAACAAACAACAATAACAGTTTTAATGTATATTCAAGAAAGGTTTTTTCTTGCTTTCTTAAAAATGTAATATTTTTTAATAAAATCTTTATCATTAATTTTTTATGATTTTAATCGTTTTAAAACGTTTAAAACCATAAATCCACGTTCTATAAAATTATACGACAACAAAATCCTCAGTTTAAACTGGCGGATATTCAAACAAGCTTTTCGCGTATATTAGCAATTTGTATACAAAAACCATTTAACGAAAGCCGTTCAACAAAAAATCGTTTAGCCTAAAATGATAAAAACAATAAATCTTGCTTGAATTTCCCAATATTTAGCACCTCTATTATATAATACCTTTCTAAAAACAACAAAAAAAGTTTAATAAATATAACAAAAAAAGTAGTTTGTATTAATAAAGTAAAGAAACCTATTCGTCCAACAATTGCTTCTGTTACGGCAAAAAGATCATTTTTATAAAAATTATTTATCTACAAACGCTGCTTTCAGTAATAGCATTTGCATTAATTATAAAGTAAATTTACGTTATGTTTATAAAAATATTATTTGTCCAAAAAAACAGTTCTATGCCGTTTACAAAAAGGTTTTGTAGTATTAATGAAACCCTAAAGGTATTATTTATAGAAATTTTGCAAATTTTACAAATCCCTTTTTTTATAATATTATTAAAGTTTATGTAAATTTAACAACAAATTAACTGTTAATTCAATAAACTATTTTTATTGTAACAATGGTCACATTTTCAACCTACTGTTGGGTGTTGGGTAGTTTTTTTAATAATTTCAAGGCATTAAAACAAATTATTTATTATAACAAAAAAATAAATTAACTTATATTATATGATGTACAAAATAAAAAAATATGAATTCACTTTTTAAGCAACAAGTCTGCTTCGTTTATAGAATATACCTTAAATATTTCTTTTAGAAAACGTCGAAATTTTAATTTTCTCAGTGATCTTTTTGATATTTTTATCATGCTAGATTTTACCACACTTCACTCGCACAAGTGAAATCAATAATATTATAATACAGACTGGATTATAAAGTTATTTTCACCAAGGAAAGCGCTGGCCCTTTCCCCCTCTTTTTAAGGGAAATAACAAAAAATTTGTTACCATTGCAAAACAATAGTAATTATTAAAAAAGTCTTTTTATAGCAATAAAATATTTTTGTTATCGTTCTTAACGTAAGCTATTAACAAAGATTTTCTAACAGAAATAAAATTAATTTGAATTACAACGATAGTAATTTAAAAAAGACAAATATGCCATAGTAAAATAAACAAATTTTACTATAACAACTGCGCATTACTTTATGTAAGCGCAATTTACACACAACTAGATTTAACAAAAACATTTTAAGTTCGACAAAGATTCAATATAAACATAAAGTATTTCTTATTGCCATGACAATTTGATAACAACTATTACTTTGTTGGATGAAAATTCCTGCTTCTTTATAGTAAATGAGAATTTTATTGACAGTAAAAAAAGTTTATTCTGAAAATAAAAATAATCTCATTACTATGACAAATCGTAGGTTTTGTCCCGATAATACACTGAACATTTAATTAAAAAGGTACCTTAAGTGGTAAATTTTTTTTATAGCCAAATAATATTATTTATCTCCACGCGGTCTATAATTTAAACTTTATTTTTGTCAACATTCGATAAAGAAATACCTTGTTATGGCCTAGGCCGATAAAAATTTGTATGAGGCAAGTAATTAGTTCGATTTTTTCTCGCTAGGGGTATTGTTTTGACAAATTAATCCATTTTTAAGAAATTAACGTACTAAACTGGTTTAATTTATTTATAATAAGCACTAATCTGTTTGTTTTACTGATAATATTTTTCATTAAATTTTTGTAAAATTAAATATGAATAATAAAACAAAAAGTGAGGTTAGGCAACCAAGAAAACGCACGATTCTTTTTCTACGATTTAAATTATCTTTAATTTTTAATTTGCTTTATGTTTTCAGTGAAATTAAATGTTAAACAAAGCTTAAACATTCCAAACTACCTATTTTTTAAATAAAAATCCAAACAAATTGAAATTACATACCTACCTATTTATTAAACAATTAATTGAATTCAATGTAATAGCAAAAATCCATTTCTACTTAAATCATGTTGATAGGTATTGTCAAACTATTACTGCTTCTAAAAGCAATAATAATTATAATTTATGTAATCTTTAGCTAATTAATAAATGAGATTCTAAAAAAGTGAGGTTAGGCCGCTTTGATGTTGAATTAAATTGACCTATATAAAGTGCTTTGAAGATAAAATGTGCTAGCACAAAAAGCCTTACTTCTTAACCTATAGGAACCTAATCATTATAATGATATAAATAACCATTAAATACTTACTTCGCTAAGGATGGCCCAGTTGTCACTCTCACTGTGCACGTGCAGTCTAAGGGAATGCACTTTGCCTATGGTGTCGTCTGGCACTCCACTGGCCACCCCTGCGCCATCAAACTTCCCTGGAACAACAAAGAATAGCGCTGCTTAATGGACCTCTTTTATGCATTTAAATTAAGCAGGCGGCGTAATGCAGCGCTCTCTAATGCATTAAATGTTCCACGGACCGTGGACAAAGCTTCGTTTACGGAGCGGACCATTTCAGTGCAGTCTATTCACAGTGAAATTGATTTAAAATAATACAAGCAAGAATAGTGGAGCAAAATAAAGCGAAATAGGGATAAAATGGAGTGGGGCACTTTTAGGTTCTTTTCAGCACTTTTACTATGCAGATTTGAGCAAACATTTTAATTAAGTTTGCTAATTGATAAAATAATTCATGTTTGAAAAAATTTTTATAAAATATTTTAACATTTATAAAAATATACACTTTTTTGTACAATTTATAGGATTTTGGACAATTTATACGATTTTATACGATATTTAAATACGTACATTTAAATATTACGAACTGTAGTTTTTTATAAAATATTTAACATTTATAAAATTATACACTTTTTTGTACTGTGTATGCGATTTTATACGATTTATACAATATACGATATTTTAAGTATATGTACATTTAAATATTACGAACTGCAGTTTTTATAAAATATTTTTACAAAATATACACTTTTTTGTACGATTTATACGATTTTATACAATACTTTGATTATGTATAAGTAGGTACATTTAAATATAACGAACTGCAGTTTTTTTTTCAAATATTTGACATTCATAAAAATATACACTTTTTTGTACGATTTATGCGATTTTATAAGATATTTTAAAATTTATAAATCATTTTAACAATTATAAAAATATGAACTTTTTTTTAAGATTTATAAGATTTTATACGATATATTGATTATGTATATGTATAGTTTAATTTAAATATTACGAACTGGTGTTCTATAAAATATTTTTACAAAATCTATCAATCAATTTTTTGTACGATATACTATTTACGGTATACTATTTTATATATTTATATTATATATAGATACAATTAAATAATACAAACCACAGTTTTTATAAAATATTTTAACATAATTAAAAATATACACTTTTTTTGTACAATTTATAAGATTTTAGACGATTTATACGATATTTAATTATTACGAACGGTAGTTTTTTATAAAATATTTAACATTTATAAAATTATACACTTTTATGTACGATTTATGCGAATTTATACGAATTTATACGATTTATACGGTTTACGATAGTTTAAGTATATGTACATTTAAATATTACTTAGGTACTTACATCTTTAAAAACATATACTTTTTTATAAAAATATACACTTTTTTCATAAAAATGTACACTTTTTTGTATAATTTATAAGATTTTAGACGACTTTATACGATATTTAATTATTAAGAACTGTAGTTTTCATAAAATATTTAAAATTTATAAAATTTTACACTTTTATGTACGATTTATGCGATTGTATACGATTTATGCGATTTTATACGATTTATACGATTTACGATAGTTAGGTATATGTACATTTATTATTAATATTACGTAGGTACTGCAGTTTTCATAAAATATTTTTAACAATTATAAAAACACTTTTTTGTACGATTTATACGATATTTTAAATATGTACATTTAAATCTTAAAAGGCAGTTCTAATGAAACATTTACCATTTATAAAATTATACACTTTTTTGTCCGATTTATGCGATTGTCGATTTATACGATATACGATATTTTAAGCAAATGTACATTAAATATTACGAACTGCAGTTTTTGTAAAATATTTTAACATTTATAATAATATACACTTTTTTGTACGATTTATAAAATATACGATATTTTGAGTATATGTACATTTAAATATTACAAACTGCAGTTTTTATAAAATATTTTTACAAATACAAAATATACACTTTTTTATACGATTTATACGATTTTATACGATATTTTGAGTAGGTGTACATTTAAATATTACTAACTGTAGTTTTATAAAATATTTTAACAATTATAAAAATATACACTTTTTTGTACGATTTATACGATTTCATAGGATATTTTGATTATGTATATGTAGATCCATTTAAATATAACATGCTACAGTTTAAAAAAACTATGTTAACGTTTATAAAAACATACACTTTTTGTACGATTTATATGGTATACAATATTTTGAGTTTTTGTACATTTAATATTACGAACTGCAGTTTGTATAAATCATTTTAATAATTATAAAAATATAAACTTTTTTGTAAGATTTATACGATTTTATACGAAATATTGATTATGTATATGTAGGTAAATTTAAATATTACGAACTGCTGTTTTTATAAAATATTTTTACAAAAAATATAGAATTTTTTGTACGATTTTATACGATATTTTAAATCTTAAAAAAGGCATATCATTTATAAAATTATACCCTTTTTGTGCGATTTATACAATATAAGATATTTTGAGTATATGTACAGTTACATACTACGAAATTTAGTTTTAATAAAATATTTAACATTTATAAAATTATACACTTTTTTGTACTATGTATGCGATTTAATACGATTTATGCGATATACGATATTTTAAGTAAATACATGTACATGTACAGTTACGGAAAGAAGTAATGTCCATTTGAATGCTCCATTGTAATTGTTCGGAGGCATTCGGGTTTTGGTAATAAAATTAACATATCTATTTTTAAACTCAATAATTCTACCTACCTGCTATTTACCATTCTTTCTAGGCACATTTCATTTGACTTTTAAGCTTTTATGCAAAAATTAAATATTTAAGGAATAACATTGATTCTGAAATAGTTTAAATATAATATAATATATTATGTTCTATAACTTATTAAATAAACTATATATTATTTAATAAGTTGTTATTAATAAAATAATATATTTAAATGAAATATAGACATTTAATACTAAAATAATTATAAACTTTTGCATAATTTTGCAAATAAAATTGTTAATAACCCTCTTTAATGTATTTACCTTTTTATGTGATTTTTTGTTATCTGGGCAATATAAATTAAAATATTTATTCTTACTATGTAAATTAAACACATTAAAATTTTAAACTAAAATGCATTTTGTGCACTATTAATACGTTTTTCTACTTCTATTGCATATTATTGATATTTTTTGTTTTTTTTTGCGTAAATAATGGTAACCAATATAACCGCCCGGTCTATCAAAGTGAATTATATTTACTTTGTAGGTATCAGTGATTGGCTTATTTTAATATTCACTGATATTTGAAACAATCGGGTTTTAAATTAGAAAAAAGTAAGGTTGACAGATTTCAGATTTATTTATATATACGAGGGGCGACTATAATGATCTTTAAAATAGAAGAAAAGTGAGGTTATAATAAATAAATTTTGTTATCAATGAAAATTTCTTAATTGGAGTAGAACAAACATAGTATTACACTCGAAATAATGCGCATTATTTACTCGGATGAATTACGTCTCTCGCCTGACGGCTCGACATGCAAACCTTATCCTTTTGAATAATAGCCTGCATTATCTCTCGTATAATAATATACTATTATCAACATTTTAGTTTTCATTTCTTGTTTTATGAAATATCTGCCCAATACCAACTTATTTCAATGTATAAAAATCCAATAAAATATGGAAACGGCAAAAATTTATAATTATAATAATTATTATAATATAATTATAATTATTATAATTATTATAATTATAATTGAACTTGGTATTCCCAAAGGGTCTAAGTGTCAAAAATAAAATTGTGTGAAATCAATGAAAATCCATTCATCTTTAAAATACAAAAATAATATGGAAAATATTTTTTTAGTCGTTTTGCATGGCACATAGACTATTTTTAAATGATAATATAATATTTGACCAAATTGGGTCCAAACCCTTTGGGAATGCCATGCTTCAATTATAATTATTAATGTAATTATTTACCATTTCTTTTTAAATAAAAAGGCAGCTTTTTTTGCTTATGGTTTTAGATAATATTTTCCTAAAAAAGGGTCCTACTAAATTTTACCATAAATTTTGTTTTGCTGAAAAAGTTTGAGAATCTTGAAAATTTCTATAAATTCAACTTTTACCTTGAATACCTTTTAAAAGAGCCCTACCAAAATTTGTTTTAGTTTTACTAATCCGTTTACGAGTTATACAATTTTAAAGTATTTTAAAAAATCTCATATTATTTTAATGGGAAATAAAAATTCCCGATGAGGGACCTGTAAATGTAATATTAAGAGCTTGCATTTTAACAGGACCATTTTTTGGTATTTATACTTATAAGTCTAATAATTATATAATATTTTTTATCAAATATTTAATAATTTGTCCTACGTTTAAAATATTAATATGAAATTAAATTAAAATACTTTTTAACATTTTAGTCCGGAAGAACTTCGGCTATAAAATTTATTACCTACTTTTATGATATAATTTATATATTTTCTGTTTATACATCTATAGGTATTGTAATCTTTTCTTATTAAGCCGGATGAGGATTAGCCCTTTCGGCAAGTATTAACTTATACCTCTAATTATGCCTAAATACGCGACGTGTGCGCCGATGATAATTTTAACGGCGCCGGAGTATATTATTATAACTTTAAAGAATAAATATTTTATAATTTTTTACACATTAACCTACATATAATAAAAGAGCAATAAATAAATATGAAGAAATATATAATATATATTTTATAGTTTTATAATATTTATATATTTATATAATATATACAAAATACAAAAGTGCTCTTTTAGTTCCACCCTTACTTCTTAAGAAGTCCCATAAGCCAACAATATTTTATAATTTTATAGCTATTTATGTTTATATGTTTTATAGTTTTTATATGTAAGTTATAGTTTTATAGGTATGTTAACTTTTATATTATAATTATATTAAACATTTTTTGATAAATCCTACTATATTTAATTTAAAAATATACCAAATATAAAAATTTTAATTATTATTGACTGCTTTTTCACTTGTACCGTGGTTAACTATGGAATACCATGGTATCCCAAAATTTAACAGCC